ATCAGATCCTAGTCACATTTGCAAAAGGTCAACTCTTGGTTCAAATCTGAAACTCTAAAAAGCCTGTTATTTGTGGCTAGTCACTAAAAGGACACAAGGATTCTGATGGGTAAGAAACCTATAGGCAAGAAGGCGACTTCCTGGGAGCCAGTCTCTGCTGGTCTTTTCAGTCCTTGAACTTGTAGCCTGAATCCCTCCTAACTCCCATACACCCTGAATCACCTCTCTCTCTCCATTTAGCACCATTTAAGTCTTCATCTGTTCTTCTGGGGCATGATGAATCCTCAGTATATGCAACAACTGTGTTCCTTAAATATTGAATGCAAAAGAAAACTCTTGACAACATGGCTGTGTGGAGGAGCCATTCTTAGAAAATAACTGTCACCAAAGTTGTTAGCAACAAACAATTCTTTAGAAAAGCAAACAATCCTTTCTGTTACCTGAAAAACTATCCCCTAACTTCTCTCTCTTTATAAAGATATTTGTTTATAGTGGATCATGACTGAAAGCAAGGCATATTAGGGTTTTAAAAACACCTCCCTGAGTCATCTGGATTTCTCCAAAAACCAGAAGCATTTCCATGTTCAACACAATACTCCTAATACATGGGAAAGTTCTCATTTGTAGTACAGAATTTTAAAACCTCAACTCTCCCACTGCCAGATCCTCCTTCCCTGCTTACTGGTTAGAACCACTGCTCGAATTTGTCACCCTCTTCCAAGTACTTGGCATCCCCCCTATACACACTTCACAGCTTTAAAAAGGTATCTTTTATTGAGTGCCTACTATGTCCCACACATGGTCTTTATATAGTTTCACATTTAATTTTCGCAACAGTTCTTACAGGTAGTATGATTATCCCCATTTTCTACATGAGAAACCTAAGTTTAAAGAATTTAGGATACTTTGTAAATGGTGGAATTGATATATAAACCCACCTCATGTTTGTCTCCCATCAGTTTGTTTATTGCAATGTAGCTAATAATGTTGCATATTTTATTTAATGTTCCACTATTTTAAATTAACATAATATGATAGAAAGATCATTCCAATGGAGGCAATTCCATTAAGCATTCTTCTGTCATTGGATATTAAATCACATAATTTTGTTCCAACTTTTTATTGCCCTGAAATAAAGATATCTTCATGTATATAGCTTTCATTTTCTTTTGAAAATTTTCCACCATGTTGTGGATATTGTTTCCCTTTAAACAGCTTATTTAAATAGAATTGACATACAATAAACAATACATAAAGTGTGTAAATGGATAGAGATGAATAGATAAACACATGCATATAAACATCTATATATTTTGACACTATTGCTATAATCAAGATAGTGAACATATCCATCACTCCCAAAAGTTTACTATTGTCTCTTTGCCCTTCTTCTGACCTTCCAGTTCTCTTCTTCCATTCTCAGGTAACATCTGATTTAATTTCTATCACTACAGACTAGTTGGAGCTTTCTTGAATTTTCTAAAAATGGAGTACATATACACTGTGTATTCATTTTTGTCATACTTCTTTTACTCAGCATAATTGTGAGAATAACTTAGGCTGTTGTAGCAATATTTCATTTGTTTTTGTCCCTGAATAGTATTTCATTATGAAGATATACTATAATTTGTTTATCCATTCACATGATAATGGACATTTGGTTGTTTAGAGTTCTGGCTGCTACAAATACAGCTGCTATGAATATTCATGTATAAGTCTTTGAATGGAAATATGCATTCTTTTCTCTTGGACAAATACCTAGGAGTGGAATGGCTGGATCATATGGTAGGTATATGCTTAACTTTTTAAGAATCCACCAAAATTGTTTTCTAAAGTCATTCAACTATTTGACATATCCACCATGAGTGTCTGAGAGTTCTAGGTCCTTCATGTCCTTACCAGTATTTGCTATGATCAGTCTTGATAATTTTAGCCATTCTAACATGAGTGTAAAAAAATTTTATTGTGTCTTTAATTTACAATTCCCTAAGGACTAATAGGTTAATATTTTTTCATGTACTTGTCATTCCAAAACCTCTTTGGTGAAGTATCTATTTAAATTTTCTGCCCATTAAAAAGATATTATATATTGACTTTTGAGGTTTTTTGAAAAAACCTAGTCTGGCTACAAGTCCTTTAATCAGCTATTTTGTAGTAAATATTGTCTCCAAGTCTGCAGCTTGTCATTTTCTTAATAGTGTCTTGGTCAAGATATAGCATCCTTTGTATATATTGTTTGATTTGAATTGGCAAATTTTGTTTAGAATTTTTCCATCTATATTCATGAGGGATATTGATCTGTAGTTTCCTTGTCATATAATATTTGTGTTCCTTGTAATACTGGCCACACAGAATGAGAAAATATTCCTTCACTGAGATCGTCTGGATGATGTTTGTAGAATTGGTACTATTTCTTCCTTAAGTATTTATGGCTTTCAGTATTGACGCTATCTGAGCCTGAACTTTTGTGAGAAAGTTTAAAACTACAAATTCAATTTCTGTAATAATTAACAAGGTTTTTCAAGTCATCCATTTTTTCTTGATTGAGTTTTGACAGGCTGTGTCTTTCCAGGAATATTTCCATTCATTTAAGTTGTATACTGGCACAAATTCTTTATGATAGTCCCTTGGTATTCTTTTAGTAGCTATAGAATCTATGAGGATGTTACTTCTCCTTCCTGATATTAGTAATCTATGACCTCTTTCATTTTTCCTGATCTATCTGGTTAGATTTACCGACTTTATTGATATTCTCAATGAACCCACTTTGATTTCATTGATTTTATCTACTGTTTTTGTTTTCTACTTCATAGATTTCTGCTCTGATAATTTCTATTTCCTTATTTCTTTCTTCTTTTTCTAGTTTCAAGTGGAAGCTGAGATTGACTTTTCTTCCTTTCTAATATAGATAATTACTGTTGTAAAATTTCTTTGATACGTTGTATTTTCATTTTCATTCAGTTCACCATACTTTTGAATTTCCCCTTTGATTTCTTCTTTACCCCACGAGTTAAAGAAATCTATAATTAGTTTCTAAACACTTGGGGACTTTCTAGAGATATTTCTGTTATTGATTTCTAATTTAATTGCACATGGTCAGAGAACATATTTTGTATGACTTGAATCCTTTTAAATTTATTGAGACTCATTTTATGTCCTAGAATATAGCCTGCCCTGGTAAATGTTCCCTGGGCACTTGAAGAGAATGTGTATCATGCTGTTGCTGGATAAAATATTTTATAATTGTCAACTAGGCTAATTTGGTTAACGGTGTCTACATTTCTGTATCCTTCCTAATTTTCTGCTTACTAGTGCTATCAATTATTGAGAGGGGTATTAACATTTAATACTGTAATTATATATTTTTTTATTTCTTCTTGCAGTTGTTTCATGCATTTTTAAACTTTGTTATTAGATGCTGAATGTCTAGGATTATTATGTCTTCTTGATGTATTGACCACTTTTAAATTATAGAATAACTTCTTTATCCTTGGTAATAGTCTTTACTCAAAAGTCTACTATGATATTAATATAGCCGATCCAGTTCTTTTGATCAGTTTTAGGATGGTATATGTATATTTCCATTTTTCTTCTGTAGGGTAAGTTGGGATTAATTGCCTTTGGGAAGCAAAAATACAGACAGGGATAGAAGCAAAAGGTGAACTCATAACTTCACTGCTTGGGAAAACTATTGCAGGTTACCACAAGGCGTTTGATGGAAGTGTTGGTTGATTTTTATTCCTCTCTGTCTTAAGATAAACTAAACTTTATTGCCCAACAGAATATAAGATCTATAAAAACTGTTCAAAATGAACAGTTATATGTGTAAGTTATGAGGACAGTGTATTCATTTCCTGCATGTTCCTGTTCAAAAGACTTGTAAAATTAATTTTAAGAAAATCATGGCACTCTGGATTCTACAGACATTCAGACACAGGTCTCCCCTCGTTAATGGGAGGAAGTGGAAGAAGATCAACAAAGCAGTACTATAAATTAAAAAATACGTACAATTAACATTCTCTTCCCCTTAATCAACTATATGAACAAATAAAAACTTGGGTGAGACATAGGGCAAAGATTGGAATAAGTATCTTGGATAAGTCAGATAAACATGTAGCAAATACATCAACCCATCTATAGCTATTTTAAAAAGATTTTATATGGTGATTTTTAATAGTGTTTTTTATTGAGATATATTGTCTGTAACATAAAATTCACCATTTTAAAGTGTTCGCTTCAGTGATTTTTAATAGATTCACTATGTTATGCAACCATCACCACTATCTAATTCCAGAACATTTCCATCCCTTCAAAAAGCAACCCTATACTTATCAGCAGTTACTCCCAATTTCCCCTTCCTCCCAACCCCTGGCAACAACTAAATTAATCTTCTTTCTGTCTTTATAGATTCGTCTATTCTAGACATTTCATATAAATGGAATCATTCAATACATGGCCTTATGTGTCTATCTTTTTATCACTTACAATAATGTTTTCAAGTATATGGTGAATTTTATCATTCATCATTCAAAGATTTTACTTGAATATAGTAGAACCATTTGCTCAGAGTGGCAACAGATAAATGGAATAATCAGAAGAGATTCATCCTGCACTTTGGAAGACCCTAGTTCTAATGATCATTTCTTCCCACTTTCACATCTCAGGACTTCAGTCCCATCTGCTGTACAATAAGGAATTTAGATGAGATGATATCAAAGGTCTCTTTTTTATTCCTGTTACTCCAAGAGCTCAATGACATAGAGACACACACTGCTTGTCCTTTTGGAAAAAAAAAATTATTAGAATCTCAATTAGCTATATTTGAAAACTTTAGTTCCTAACTTGATCTGGAGACAGGAAATTTGGGACAGCTGCTATCAAGAACACTTTGACCTGATTATAAACTCAGAAAGTTAACACCAGTTTCTTAATCGAGAAAGAACTATAACAAAAGACAGCCTGAGCTGTTTGTATCATTATGTTTCTTCAAAAAGCAACCCTATACTTATCAGCAGTTACTCCCAATTTCCCCTTCCTCCCAACCCCTGGCAACAACTAAATTAATCTTCTTTCTGTCTTTATAGATTCGTCTATTCTAGACATTTCATATAAATGGAATCATTCAATACATGGCCTTATGTGTCTATCTTTTTATCACTTACAATAATGTTTTCAAGTATATGGTGAATTTTATCATTCATCATTCAAAGATTTTACTTGAATATAGTAGAACCATTTGCTCAGAGTGGCAACAGATAAATGGAATAATCAGAAGAGATTCATCCTGCACTTTGGAAGACCCTAGTTCTAATGATCATTTCTTCCCACTTTCACATCTCAGGACTTCAGTCCCATCTGCTGTACAATAAGGAATTTAGATGAGATGATATCAAAGGTCTCTTTTTTATTCCTGTTACTCCAAGAGCTCAATGACATAGAGACACACACTGCTTGTCCTTTTGGAAAAAAAAAATTATTAGAATCTCAATTAGCTATATTTGAAAACTTTAGTTCCTAACTTGATCTGGAGACAGGAAATTTGGGACAGCTGCTATCAAGAACACTTTGACCTGATTATAAACTCAGAAAGTTAACACCAGTTTCTTAATCGAGAAAGAACTATAACAAAAGACAGCCTGAGCTGTTTGTATCATTATGTTTCCCCTCCAATTATGAAAAGAGATAATGTAATCAATGATTTCCACTGACTTCCTCCCTAATAAAAATCTTCATACTTAAAAAAAAAGAACTCTTAGAAATTTTAATATAGGCCCTACACTTTTATACTTTTGTTTCCCTATCATTCAGGACAATATCTTCAGTATCTAGAACAATGTCAGACACAGGGTTGGCATTCCATATTCAATATGTTAAATGAATGGTGGCTGGATGGATGGGCAGCTGGGTGGATGGACGGAAGCTATGTAACTAAAGGCTAATCTAAACAGTAAGTGTAAAAGGGACATGTTGAGTTTTCTTTTTTATTCCTTCTTACAATGGGCCAAATAAATGTAAAATGTTAAAAACTAAAGGAACAGTGGTTCAGAACTAGAAATACATTTTGTTAATTTTGAAACAATGTTAGATATAGTACATTTAATGTGATTCTTTGTTGCAGAAATTATCAGTACCAGTTTATGGTTTAAATTACACAGAACTGTAGTGTTAATGAAAATTTGTGCATATTCTTTATGGCTATATTAGAAACATATAAAAACAGAAATGTAAATAAATGTCACCAGGTTCATTTTTACCATTCACTGGGAGGAGATGAAATAATTATTGTATATTTTTCAAGTTTATGTTTAGCAAATGTATGCTGTATATATGTATGTTTTTGTTAAAGAACAAAAACCAGAAAGTTCTGAAAAGCTACATACTATTCAGCTGGGTTAATGCCCTGGACTGAACATTTGTGAGCGGTAGTCAAGTCTGGGAGAAGAGCTGGGTGGCATTCAGGACCTTCTTTCTGATGCTCTCCTTCTCAGGGACCATCAGTCCCCATCTCTTCCTACTCAACCCTTCTCTCCTCTCTCCCCTTGCCTCTCCTATAATCTCCCATTCCCATTCTACCACTACTCCATTTCCTTCCATCCTACTCTCACCAGAACCTGAAGGGTGACAGTAATCAATCAAGGTGGAGAGAACCACAACAATCATTTACTGCTTCCCATCCTGAGTCAAAGTCCAATCAGGAGAAAGAAATGAGGTCATGATGAACGTGGCCCATGATGACCCTAACCTTGCCTGAATTTTAATTTGTAACTTCTTTCAGTTCCTAGGATTTCATTTCATTTCATGATTAGGCATATTTTTTAAGTATTCTCATTTTTCTAGCTGCTATAAAAATCAAAATATTCTCTCTTTATGCTAACATTCACAATTACACTTAAATATCATTGCCATTGCAGAAATGTACAATAAAATCTACCATGCTGACCAGGTTCTACACAGTTGTCATGGTTCTGGATTTCCAGTTCTAAAAAGTTAATATAGTTCTAAAGTTCTAGTAGGAAGGACTGGACCTTGAATTCTTCATTCCTTGAACTTTCTCTTTCCCTTCTATGATGTAACCCTTTAGGTAAACAACTATTCATTGCCTTATCTGGCATCCCACCTTCCCACACTGCAAAGGCCAGCCGATCAGAAGGGATTGGAGCCGGCACGAAGGATGGGTGTTGCATCTTATGGTTAAACACCACAGAGTGCTTGTCATTCATACAGAAGACTTGTATATTCTACCAGTCCAGAGCCTACTTGTGATATCAAAGGTATGGAGCCTCCTGGTTCTACAGTGATGCTTAAATGTAAGTGGTAGAATGTCTAAATAGAATGTCTAAATCTTATCCCAGCCTCTCTTTGTAAATATTTCCATTAATAAAAATCTTGAAAAATAATCAGAAATAAGCTTGTCACATTTTATATCCAGAAACTGGATCAAATTTTTTCATTCAAGGTATTATTATAATAAAACCTGTGCCTTAGTTCTAGTCTACTTGGATATTCCATTTTGATTCTAAAGTTACACTAGTGCTCATATAGCAAGTTACATTTGGCACAACCATATTTTTCAGGGAGTATGAAAGAGGAAAAGTTTGAGTAAATGTTTCAGAAATAAATTTCTAATTTCCTGTAATTAAACTTTGATTTCAGGAGGGAGTTCTTGTAAGGTTGCAACATGCTTCACTGCTACAAAAATGTTTTACTCAGCTGACATTAAATTAGTAAGTTACCTTTAGACTGCAGATTCAAGTTCACCCGGCATTTCTACAAATATTGAAGATTTAAGGCCTCAAAACTGTATCAGAATCCTTTCTGAGAATATAGGCTTCGAAGGGCTCTGTGCTCAGTTTTACTATTCCTTGTTCATCAGAGTAGTTCACTGGGACACCTCTGAGGAAGCAGTATTTTTCCTCCCTGTGTCAACCATCATTCATTTATATTCTCTGTCCCAAATGTCCTTGAGGAGTGCCAGTCAGTGCTATAAACACGAATGAAGACAGAGTCTTGGGTTACTTCAAATTTCTCATGACTCTGTAAGGCCGGGGAAATCTAATCATTAGCTTTGGAATGGAACAATGCCAACATTCATACTGGAAAATGTCTCATGAGTAGTGATGGGTAGATCTCTGAAGTACAAGGAGCTCCTGAATTCTTGCCTGAACTAGATAGTTTTGCAGATGAACCTCCATCTGCAAGATTCTTGCATTGAAAGCTTCCTTTTCCACACACAGAGAAATCTCCTTTGTATCCACGTTTTCTATCTCAGGCTTCACATTTGAAAGGGCTCCAGAGGGACAAAGCAACCTTTTGCAGTTCAAACTTGATCTAATGAACTGGTAGGGTTAGCTTCACTCAGACTGAAGCAGCAGAAACACCTGCAATACAGACTTTGGAATGGGCTCATTTGAGGTATAGGGACACAAATACCCAAGAACTGTGGAACTAGCACTGACCAAGATAGAATGGGGTTGGGATGGGGGTTCTGGAATTAGCAAATCTTGCACCATATAATACTTCAGGCATTTATTCCTGTAGGAAACACTCATTTATCAATCTTCCTGGAACTATTCATCTATGATCCTTTTTTACTGGGTAGAATCACTCAAACACTATGATTTAAAAAAATGTACCAAGTCAGTCATGATATCTTGTTTTCTATTGAGCAATAGTCACGAATTCTGTAAATAAATAGATGAGAAATCCCAAGTGTACAACCTGTAAGGCCAATTAAGGCCAGTTACATTTAGAGTTTCCTGGAGCACACATAATTGTGAGCTTTGCCCTTCCTACAGTTCTGTGTTTGCCATTTCCCTTGTCTTTGAACCAAAACACAGTTCTTGCCAGGCTTTGAATGTCGAGGGGGCCCTCTCTTCCAGTTGGTGAAGTTGACAGGCTCACCGCCGATCCACTCCCAGTGACCAGCACGTACTTGATCATTCAAACCTAAAGTGAACCAAAAGAACGTGCCAGACAATTTTATTACATTTATACTTGGATAGCTTATCAGTCTATTGTTCTACGCTTTGTAATCACATGCAAACATGAGCTTATATTCTAAACATGGAACAGAGTGTTGGAATCTTCTTATAAGACACAATTAAGAACATAAAGCTTTGGGGTCAGGCAGATCCAAAGTCGAATCCCAGGTCCTCCCCTCAATAGTTGAGCATTTGGGGGCAGGTTTAGCCCCTCTGAGTTTTAGTTTCCTCATCTAAGAAATAGGAATAAAAATAGTATACCTAGGGCTGTTTTGAGGATTAAATAATGCATGGCTAGCTCATGGCATATGTCAGTGTTTAATAAAGAGCAATTATGATTCATATTCTCCTATAGCAGGACTCTTATCACAGAGAAAAAGATATACTGTTGTCTATTGTTCTTTCTCATTATTTAAACATCTTGGTTTTCATATTTGAAAGTAGCTTACTAAGTATCATTTTTAGTCTGGAATTTAAGATTATTTTCTATCTGCTACAATTGCAATTAAAAGAAGCTTTTCTCAATTTGCCTCTCTACTTCCACTGGAAATTTTACAAATTACATCTTAATGTTGTAAAGTTTTGTACTTTTTCTTAAAGAAGCATTCCTCCCCACTTCATGTGCTATCATAACAGAAATAAAAAGGAATAAAATGAGAAAAGAATCTCCTGCAATAGCATGATCTGACATCTCCCAAACCAAATTTAATTGTGAAAATAGTCTTAGTTACATAACATGTAACCTTCTCTAGATTCTCAGTCAATAATTTTTGATAGGATAAAATATAGTACTTTTGATTAGGAATAACCTATCTCCTTCTGGACTGTTTGCTTCAACTACTGATGGGGCAATACTGAAATCAGTAGTTGTGGATGTAAACTGATCTTCCAGCTGTAACTTAACGTGTTCACACAATTTCAGAATTTAGAAACACTGGATATCAGAGATTTTGAGAGGCCAAGAGTGAATTTATTATAGTTCTCCCTGAACTACAATACCTTTAAGGAAAGATGGTGAGGAATACTGACTTTGATGTGCCCTGAGAATTCTACTTCTAGAAGTAGAATCTTAGAAGATTTGTATTATTGTTAAAATTGTAGAGAAAAAGGCTTTGGAAAACAAAGGATAAAATTAAGATCACATATAATTCTTAACTGAAGGTAAGACATTTCGAATTCTTTGGCATATTACTTTATATGTATGTAAATATATCACATGTGTATACTCTTTTTATTCTGATTTAATGCTTCATATGCTGTAGACTCTGCTTTTTTTACTTAGCAGTTAAATGCTAGTCGTCTTGCACCACAAATGCAAGACTTTACATATTTTATATATAATATTAATCCAACCCATATTTACTGAATGAATAAACTTAAAGCAATTTGTCATGGCTTTAATATTTAATGCTCTATAGATGCCTTTAATATTAAATACTCCTTTATATGCCTATTCTGTAATTTATTTAACCATCCCCTTTATAGCTATTTCTAATCATTCACTTTCAGAAATACCATTTCTCGACTTCTCTTATTATCAAACCACATCCCTTATTATTTTTTGAGATAGATGCCCAACAATGAAAGTATTGTATAATTAAGGTGAGTTTTAGAAGACAGACTGTCCAATCATCTAACTGTTGCTTGTTATTGTAAACCACAATTGTCTGGCACATAAAAGGTAGATGTTCTCTTTCTGATCTTGCCTCCCTCCTCAGCACGGTGCAAATACTTGCCTATCCAAAAGGGCTTTCTTCCACTGATATCCCAGAGCCATCGCATATGCTGCCTGGAGAGCACCGTTACAAGGCTGCCCTGGTGACTATAGGCAAACGAATAAAAAGTGTCAGTGACAAGTTCAGCGTGTCTGTTGATATGAAATGCACAACAAAAATAAAAGTTAGTTTGAAATAGAAAAAAAAGTCTATTATGTAGAAAGAACTTTCCAGATTTTAGTACTCTATTTTTTTACTCTAATGGGTGTCCATAGGGTGGGGTGGGTGATAGCAAAGAAAGTAATATTTATTATAGTATCTGGGCTTTAAAACACAAATTCAATCATGTTCCAAGAAAATCAGCAACTATCTACTCATAAAGACTAATTACTTAATGCCAGATATTACTCTTCTCATAGAAAGTTTAATGCAGTAAATCTCTGCATAAATTTGGCAATTATCCAGTCAATTTGATCAGTAAGGTAACCCAAACTATTTGTTAAAATTACTTGAGGCCCTCATTTTGAGCTTGGTATGGTTAGTCAAATTCCCCAGGAACTGTGACCCTTTCATCCTACTCAGTGAAATGAGCATGGCTTCACTGTCAAACTTTATATATTGTGTAGAAGTAAAAGACCTGTTCTTACAAACATATATAATATTTCCCCCAAAATAGAACTCCTTTTTTTAAAAATAAGTTTAAAGTATACAGTGTAAGGCTTGACTTACATTTATTGTAAAACAATTACAATAAGTTTAGGTAACATCCATCACTTCATATATACACACACAAAAAGAAAACAAACGTTTTCTTCCTTGTGATGAGAACTCTTAGGATTTACTCTTTTGTAACAACTTTCGTAGACAACATACAGCAGTGGTAGCTCTGGTCATCACGTGGAACATACATCGCTAGGATTTACCTTATACCTGGAAGTGTGTACCTTTTCACCACCTTCCTCCAATTCTCCCACTGTACATTCCCTACCTCTGGTAACCACAAATCTGATCTCTTTTTCTATAAGGTTGTTTAGTATTTTTTTTAATTCCACAAATAAGTGAGAGTACTTGTCTTCCTCTGTCTGACTTATTTCACTTAGCATAATGTGCTCAAGGTCCATCCTCCATCCGTGCTGTTGGTAATGGCAGGATTTCCTTCTTTTGGTCGCTGAATAATATTCCATTGTGTGAGTGTGCATCAGTCACAACTTGTTTATCCATTCATCCATCTATGGACACAGGTTATTTCCATGCCTTGACTGTTGTAAATAATAAACATGCTATAAACATGGGCTGCAAATATGACTTTCACATAGTGTTTTCATTTCCTTCAGATATATTCCCAGAAGTGGGATTGCTGGATCAAACGGTAGTTCTGTTTTTTATTTTGAGGAACTTCAACACTGCCTTCCATAGAGGCTGCACCAATTTACATCCCTACCAGCAGTGTATGAGGCTTTCCTTTTCTCCACATCCTCACAGGCATTTGTTATCTCTTGTCTTTTTGATGAAAGGCACTCTAACAGGGATGGGAGTTCTTTATGAAGTATTTTTGCAGCTCGTTGAATTATTCCTATAAGTAATATTAGATTGTGTCTATGTCCCCAGAAGTTCTGATTAAAAGCTCTTTAAACATGTTTTAAGTAAAAAGCCAATAGATAATTATATTTTCTTTTCTTCTTCTTTTTTTTTACTGTAGAAACTTTTGAACAAGAAACAAAGTCACCATGATCTTCCTGCCTGGCTAATATCCATTGATATTTTTAAAAAGTCAGAAGCAAAATTAGTAATACTTGTATAAGTTTAGACAGCTGCTGAATTGAATTTTATTCATTTTTCCTATGTCTTTCTAGACTTCAGTTCCATTTCTCTGCTTTTCCAGACCATATATAGTGAACATAATTTATCTATTTCTTAATGAATTTTTCCCACTAATGCCAGTATTGCTGTCTTTTTATTTTTTTACTGTTTAGAGTGCTTCTATAATACAAGCATTGACTTCTTGGCCTTCTGAGAAATGTTAGCCTCTTTACTGCTTCTCTAAATGGCCTCAGACAGCTGAATTAAGATTTTGTGACTTGGATCGGACCTCATTATTTACTGTCAGCTCTTGTCTGACAGTTACAGCAGATATGACAACACATCTTCCCCCTCCCCTCACATCCAAACTGGTGCTGAGGGTTTAGAACACAGAATATCAAATGTGTGCTAAACACAGGGGCAGGAAAGGCTTGAGGGTCTGCCTCAGTTAACGTGGTATATTTAGACAGAGAGTGGGAGTCCTGGGTTCCACTTCCTGCTCTGCTCCTAATTCCCCAATGGGTGTGACTTCAGGATCGTCTTCACCATCAGGAAGTAATTACTCAAGGATATTTAATATCTCATCCCACTTAAGAGTCTTTAAAATGTATTAAAAACAGACTTAGTAAAATACTAATTTTAGCAGGTCAAGTACAAGCTTGATTTCGTTTTTGACTCTCCAAGACGAAAAATGTCCCAAAAGAGCAAGATGGGAAAATAGCTGTGTTTAGAATAGGTAAGTGTTAGACTATAACTATCCTTAAAAGGAAATTCTTAGGCATTTGTATGCTGAATATTTTATAAAAACATTCCTTTTCTTTTATGTCCATATACATATAAAATATGGTGGACAGTGTCTCTATAGATATGTATACAGAGAGATGTAAAAATAAAATATAGGCACACACAAATAAAAATCTTTTGACAGCTCTCAGAGTCAAAAGGCATTCAGAGCAGAGTATTAAAAACAGAAACCTTAATTTTTTAGTTATAGAAATAAACATGTACTTCTTTGAAACTTTTTGATTAAGTATAGATATATTTCAGGGAAACTTTTTAAGGAAAGGCCAGCAGGGGTTCCAGACACTCCTGAGGAAACCAGGATGGTTTCATAGATAATGATTTATAATAATGGAATTACCAAATGTACAATGACTGCCTAAGGAAATGAGCAGATGAGATTACAATATGTAAATTCAAGAAATACCTAATTGTGGAGTCTGGCTCCTCTGGGTTAGAAAAATAATAAAACACCAATGGGGAAGAAAGGAGATTGGAGATAAAGACTGGGTTGAATTAGCAATCTGATTAGGGACACGGGATAAAGTAACATTTACTGTTCTTGAAACTTGGCTGCTGCAAATGACTCTCTAATAAAGGACCTTTAGGTAGCAAGAGAGGGCACGGAAACATAGCCCAGAATTAAATAACAGGCCCTGAGACAGAATAAAAAACATACTAGATGCATATTAATTCTAATTATAGAATCTAAAAACATCTAAAAATACATTATGAAAAGGTAAATATCCAGGTTGTAAAGTGTTGAAACTATGACTTTTACATCATAGAAGGAATTGATAGTTCCCAGAATACCTATTTTTCAAATCAAAGGGGTTGGAGAAGAGAACAAAATGAGCCAGGAAAGTAGTGGGTAAAGGGAAGCAGGAAGGCCCACAGCACGAATGAAAACACGTTGAATGGTAGCAGAGGTACTGGAGTTCAGAGAAAAATTATACTGAGAAGGCGGTGCGGCCTTACCACCCAAAAATGTCCCTCTTGGAATGACTAATCCAAAGGGATAGGGAGATATTTTATTTTTCTTTTAGTTTGCTTTTAATCTCTGCTAGACAGTTTCTGAAATGACTGTAAGAGGTATTAACTTATCTTGGGGTAATCATTCTTAACCTTTTGAAACAAAATGCATATTAAAATAATTTCTACAAATACAATCAGATCAAATATTTGTACTTATTTCTAAATTTAGATTCAGGAACTTTTTTTTTTGTTATTTTAGAAATCTCACACCATATATATTTTCCTTACCTCTTTTCTTTCACACCCTGGTATACCACCAGAAGTGGTACTTAATACATGTTTTGACTTCTGGGAAAATATGGTGAATAGATAATGGATAGCTCAAAACTGTTTTAGTAATAGACATATAGTCACTTTCTAAAATACAATGAAAACTCCAATTGTTCCTAAAACCTTTCTTTTGTTTTGAAAGCATTCTCAATTTTACACTAAAAAGGAAATCACAGTTCTACACCTTAAAACAATTTCTTGAGACAAGAGCTTATCAAAATAATATGAACAAATTAGTTCTGAACTTGCTTTTAATCTCATGTCTGAGCTACTAGATATGTTCACTAAACCCCTTGAATTAATAGGGGAAATGGAAATTTTCCATCACTATTATAATAGATTTTATAATAGTTTACTCCATAACAAATATCTTTCTATTTCTACTATTTCTAAATACTATTTATTCTTACATATACAACCAAGAAACATTCTTGTAACTATAGATTGGAAATGTAATATTACTATATTTAGGTCCAGAGAACTTTTTAATTGGACCGATAGTAAGGTACCAACTCAATGAAAGCTGAAATTCTGTAACTTTAATTTAGTGATTTTCACAGTCTTGATAAAGCTTTGTGCTAAGGGAACCTGGGAAGGAATTATCAAGGTTGTGTGACAACCTTACTGATATGAAATGCGGGGTTTAAGGACTTGCCATATAGAGCAACTGTACGTGGAGAGCTTTGGTATCTATTTCTCTGAAGCTCACTGAAGAATGAGGAATTTAGCTCTTGTGCTGTGAGGCCAATACTGGGAAATAATACTTAAGAGTGTAGTCTGATCTAGACATTCCCAGTATAATAAGTGCCCAAGTAAGTATCTGTTGAATGAATGAATCCATAAACTCAGAACCTGATTGTACCTAAAGTTTACCCTGGAAGGTTACTTTACTTCCAATTCAAAGGAAACTTTAGGATCCATAATTTAATAAAAATCTTAATACGTCTTTGTTGTGAAAGATACAAAATTATTAACACATAGTTTTGAAAACCTATTTCAGGTTAGCCCAACACAAAGTTAAGAAAGGTATACTTGTCAATACACCTGAGATGAGATATCACTTCTATTTATGGAGCCATTTTGGAGAGTATAATAAAAAGTTAAATCCTGTCTCTTCCATTTACTTGCCTGCATGACCATGAGCAAATGATTTTCCTTCCTTGAATCTCTTTTATCTGAAAAATATAGATAATACCTCCTTCCCTTACAGAAGTGATGGGAGATTCAAATAAACTAAAATACAGGAAAGAATTCTATAAAGTATAATATAAAAGTAGGGCCTATTAGCAGGAAGATGTGTGGAACTAGGTCAGGCTAGTGTAAAAAGGTCATGGTATGAAGGTGTTTAAAACCAAGTTACAGATGAAATCTTAGGTCAAATGCATAAGGAAGTAGCTCAGCTTTTAAATTAATTTGGACCTTAAGTTTATTTTTGCTATGAGTGAATTGTATAACATTAATAGATTTATAAAGAACCCTTTATAATTAGTCTTACTACTCTGTACTTACCATCAAAACCCAGCTGCAAGAGACAGATCAATAACAGTTTTAAAAATAAGATATCAGGAGACTAATGCAGGGTTGTCAACATGAAGACATCAGTAATATTATTATAAGTTACCATTATTTCATAAGAAATTATTTTTGATGTCAAAAAAGCAGAAGATCATAATCTCAGAATAAAGAACCATCCTTCCAAGAAAAGACACTTGGTGACCTTATACCAACACTGAAGAATGGATGGAAAGATGTTACATAATACACATTGCCCTCATTTTCCTCACAACATTAAGGACCCATTAAAACTTCATTATAGACCAGCATGGTTACTTGCACTGTCATTTGAGAGCCACTGGAATATGCACAATAGTTGGGCAGATTCAAAATTGAGACTGGGGGGATCTGTTGCTCTGTTCATCTATGTTTCACCAATAAACCCCAGCAGCAATTTCATCTTGATAACCTTGGCTGAGCTTAACTGCCTGCTGCACTTACCTTCATTTCTGTCAGTAGAAAAACTATATCTCCCTTTGCAGCATGCTGCAATCTTCTCCTTGCTGGCTAAGAGAGCTTTTGATCCCACATTAAAGCTTTTTCCTCAAGCAGGAAAAAAGACTGATACCACTATTCCTACCTGAGTTTTCAATGCACTAAGACAAACTTTAAATAAAAGCTGGACCCAGTTATTTAAATAAAAGCTGACCCAGTTACTGTGGTAGAACAACGTGTTAATTGTTCTTTAACATACAGCATCATGGGACTATTGCATTTAAACAATGATTATTTACAAGATTGAAAAAAATATTTTAACTTATTTTATACCATGAACTCATCAACAAAAACCTGAATGCTACTGACTAATTTCTATGGTACCTTTACTTATACTTAGGACATGAAATACACCAGTGAAGAAAAGGGTTGTTGGTTTGACCCTTTTAAAATATTCAATTAGTTTTTCAATTTTTTTGGTATAATTTACATACAATAAAATGCATGAATTTTTAAGTGTTCAGTATGATGAATTTTGACAATTGTAAATATCCATGTAACAACCACCCAGGGCAAGACATGGAATAGATCCATCATTCCAGACTTTTACCTCATGCTATTTTCCAGTTACTGCACAATCCCTGCCAGAGATAGTCATTTTTTATTTCTAATACCAACTAATAGATTAGTTTTTCCTTTTCATGCAAATGAAATCACACAATATGTATTCTTATATGGTGGATATGTATTCTTATATGGTGGTCTGCTTCCTCTCTGTACAATGTTTTCGAGATTGATCCACATTGTTGGAGGTTTAAGTAATTCATTCCATGTTATTGTTTTATTGTTTATTGCATTTATTTGTTCCAAATAACTTACCATTTTTAGAAAATTTATCTATTCCCTTGTTGATGGAGAAAATACAAAGAACTCCTATAAATCAATACAAAAAGACAAATGAACTGTTATTATTATGAAAAATGTCAAATTCTTGTGAATGTTTTTTTTTAAACTTGTATTTTTATTTCTCTTGGGTAAACACCTAGGAATTGAATTGCAAGGTCACAGAAGCATGACTTCTAAAACTGGATAAAGTAGATGCATGCAACTTTATAAGAAACCACTAGACAGTAACTCTATAAAGTAGTTGTATCATTTTACACTCCCTCCCCACCAAATACAAAAGAGTTAGTTTCATTTGCTCTACTTTTGGTATTGTCAGTCTTCCTGATTTTACCTATTCTAATGGGTATGCAGCAGTATTTCACTGTGGTTTTAATTTGCATTCCCTGATTCCTAATGGTAGTGATCACCTTTCATATACTCATTGACTAATTGTGTATCTTTTCTTGTGAAGTCTCCTAGTCATTTGCAATTTTTTAAATCAGGTTGTCTTTTTGTTATTGATTTGTAGAAACTGTTTGTATTTTCTGGACTCAAGATCTTTATCAGATATATGATTTGAAATTAGCTTTTTCCAAATTTTGTTTGTCCTTTCATTTTATTAATAGTGTTTTTATACAAGCATAACTTCTAAAATTGGATGAAGTATAAGTTTTGACCAATATTCACCAGGATTCTCTAGTCTCAGTTTCCAGCCAAGGGATGTATTAGTCTAAATGCATTGCTTCGGATAATATCCAGGTAGGTAGGAAAGAGGATCACATGAATTTTAAAAATCCTTCTAAACCAGATAAATTTTGTCATTGTTTGACCACAAGTCATCCTTCACTGAGTGTTCAATGACCCTTTGTCCAACTTGTCTGGTGTCATAATCATCAGTATATCTTGCCCTGTTATAGTTCTGAGAGTATAAGACCTTTCATTGCTATATATTTTCAAATCGGTGGGGAGGAATTCCTATTTAATTTAGAAAATGATAGAAACTACAGAGTGCTGCTGACTCAGAAAAGCTCCTTCTGACTTTCTTCAAAATATCGAGTGCTAAGTAGAAATACATTATCCAGGTCAGTCCCAAATCCATTCTGAAGCAGAGAACTCCCTCCTGGTTCCTGAAACACAGCCTGGTAGATACTGGACACTCAACACTTGAATGAATGAAGCAACCCTGGGGTTCCATGAGAAAATAGAGAAACAGTAGAGAAGAGAACATCAATCAAATGTGAAATAGAGATTCTTACTGTTCCCTGCAAGCTTCGGCAGCTGTGCTCCAGGTGCCTTTCTGCTCTGTGACCAAGGAGTGGCAGTAGCCTGAGTGACGGTGCCACCCAGCTGGGCAGGGTTTGCCTTCCACCTCCTGTAAAACAGTTGTCTGTGTTCATATCATACTGGTCTTTACCATCTGGGGTCTGTCCTCAGCTTAAAGAGACCTATGAGTCCCCAACTTGAATAGAGTAGTTTTCTCACCAGAAACATCAGCCCCTTGTCCCAATTCTCCCCTTGAGAAATGCAGTGGCTTCTTACAGAAAACAATACTAAACTCAGCGAAGTTTCCATTTTACACCTTTGACATTCTGATAATTAAACAAAATAAGAAAACACCTTTCTAAATTGTATTGACTAACTAATGTATTCTGTGATTTTTAAAACACTGCTTGGGCCATTTGTCTTCTCCACCTTCACAGTGTAACAAGGGCAGGTAGATGTAGCAGGAGGCGACAGATCATTCCCTATTAGTTTGTCACAGGACGTACTGCAAGCAAAGGATGTCGGCTGCTTGGTCTGTGTCCCCCCAGGGTTTTGGGGCTCCAAGCTTTCCAGGCCCTTCCATTGCATTTATATAGCTTTTGGAGGCTTTCTTCAAAGTGGAAGAGTCCCTTTAATTCCAGTGTGCAGTCCCTTGGGAATGAGGGCAACCGATCCTATGGAACAGAAGGCAATTTAGATTTGATTTAATGTAAGTTGATCACACACTTACCTCCTTAGGTTTTCACTTGTTGGGTAGCGTTCATGTTGCGTGAACTATCCCTGAGCTTGAAGGCTGCTTTATGACCCAGCAAACAGCTTGTTGTAAGGTGACTAGGAAGTAAAAAGATTTTCATACCTGTCTGGGGAAGTGTGAGTCCATTGTGGATTCCACCTTATCTGCTTGAGGCAATTCTGCCACTTTGCTTGTCTTAAGTGGCTGACTAATGATGGGCACTTGGGCCTTCTTCTTATGAGCTGGGGAACTGTCATCCTCCAGTTTCAGGGAAATCATGCCATGATACTTGAGGAAATCAACAGAAATAAAGAAAAAACAAACACCACGATAGCAAACAAGAGCATTTGTTACAAAAATGAGCAATTCAAAAATTGGATCAAAGCAAAAAAGATAAAGGTTTTTTTCTGACCACCCAAGCCTCTTAAATAAATTTCAGGTTTTTAAGATAAATACATAAATATGCAAGGTATGAAAAATAGTTTCACTTGCATCCATAAATACAATAAATTTAGCAATTCTCTCAGGAGATGCTTACATTATAGATGATGTCTGTTCCATTTCTATAAACAGAGGATGGATAAACCTGAAATCAACAGAGAACAAAATTGGCTTGAATAGTAATTAGCAATAGGGTAAAACCTTCCAGTAAGATCTTGTTAATGTCTACAAAATTTTAAAACATATGTTTCCTAAGGTTTTCCATGCTCAAATCATTAGAATTAAAAAAAATCACTGGTCCCAATCACAACTTATTAACGGTGATTCTTACTTTCATAGTCCCAGTTAGGGAGAAAAGACATCCTCATTTTGTTGGTAGGACACAGAGGTGTAAGTAAACACACACACACAGACACACAGACACACACACACACACACACATACACACACACACACACACACTCATGAGTATGTGCCTGGTTAGAATGCTAACCAGGTGCTAATAAGGTCAAAGCCATAGGTCAGTACTCAAGTAGATGACTGAATGTCATTCTATTTCAGGGTCACTGATCATTCCCTATCTGTTTTGATCACAAAAGAAACCAAAGCAGAAAATCGTATAGATGAGTCAGTGTGTCTCTATCACCTCAATTGGTACAACTGATGAAGTGAGGCAACATCGTTTGTATACGTGAGGCCCTGCAGGGTTGCGCAATGAGCCATGGCCCCCACTCACTGTGACAACCAAAACAGCTTCTCCAATATTTCAGAATACTTAATACCCTTTGGTTCTTTTAATATATACACCATACATCAAATCCCAGGTGGTACCCCCCCTTACCATTTTGCCATTCCCTTGGGTCTGAAGCTTCACTGGTGAAAGATCTGTAGGATTAAAGCTCCGCAGGCTGTGCCCTCTGATGACTGCTAGTTGCTTGGAAGATGGAAGGAGTCTCCTTTCCAGAGGAGAGGAACCAGAAGTGGTAGGTGAGGAAGACCCTGGGGACAGTGGGTGCCAAATGCCCTTCCCCCCTGCACTGTGCTGGTCTGTGTTGAAGGCATATGAAGGATGGCACTGTCCTGGAGGCATGAGAGATGGCAGGTCAGGTCATTTTACACAAACAGCTAAGTGATCACATCAACACAGCGCCTGGAGCAGCCTGTCATTAAACTTAGATGGATGGTTTTCCCACCAGATGGGCCTTTTTGCTATTTGCCAGAAACTCCTTTCCTCTTCATCAGTTTCCATGCAGGAAAGCTGTGCCCTTCTGCACATCTACAGGGTGATTATAAAGTCATGAAGCTGATTTCACAAATTACAAATGAAAACCACTGTCGTGGTATTATAATCATGCTGTATACTTGGGAAATAGTCTCGCTTCTCTTCGTATTATAGCACTCCTCAGTACCTCAGATGTATTCTGTGATCAAATATCATTCCACAACCACTTCAAAAGTGCTCATCCTTTCCCCAGACTTCTAGGGGTAGAAGCTGAAGTTGTTTGAAATTGTCAGTGAAATCAAATAACAGTTATAAAAAAATTAGCATTCAACTATTACAGAACAAGGATCCAATAAATCTTCATGATGACAATTCTACTGGAAAGAATGCCAACTTATAAGCAAAAAATTCTATACATAGAACCCTCACCTGGATATTTTACACTCAATGTGTAAAGTATATGTTTCACATATTTTGTGTGCTTAATGTGACCAGAAAGTTCTACTGATAAAAAATTGAATTTGGTGAGGAGAAGCAGGGGGGAGAGATGTTGATATATGAGTCGTATAAAGGAAAGAAGATAGTTTCTATGTTTATTAAGGATAAGAAAGAGAAGGGGAGATAATAGATTTCAGATAATGAAAACTTATGGATCATGGGGCATAACAGGTATAAAAATGGGGTATAAGGCCAAACATGATAACTGGACACTGATCAAATGCTAAATAGACCCCTAAGTAGAAAGTATTTGGCAGAAAAAAACCAGAGTTCCAAGTACTGTGTTTCATCTTTACTTTACTTAGTTCACAGGTTGTTCTTCAGCGCATTCTATCCAGGACCTATTTGGCTCTGCAGCCCAGGGTTGGTCATTAATATTCTCCAGCTGCTCCCGAAGCCCCAAGCCAGCTGCATCTTTCACATCTATTTTTTTCTCCGATTCCTTCTTCTCTTAGAATTTTCCTGGTCACAGTACAGTGGGGGCTCAGATTTTAGGCATTAAGAGCTCTCTTTAACAGAGGAAGATAATTACAACCCTCCAAACTCGGGGAAAATAATTGTCGATAGATTCTCACCAACATTGTTTGCCCCTTGGTGAGAACAACAAACGGGGAGGGAAAAAAACAACTATGGCGCTGACTTGTTGCTTTTCTCCAGCGATAGTTCTTAGCAGGAGGAAAACCACATGAAGCAGAAACGAGAATAAAGGGCCTACATCACGACTGAGGTTGCTTTCTTGACAAGAAATGAAGCATTTTGATTTGAAGGCGTTATCAAGCATGTTGGCTGTTGAAAGCAAGCAGCTAAAGTGCCAGAACTGCTCCTGATTTCAAGATGAGGATCAAAAGAATACCTCCTTTTGAGTCCAAAATTTTCACCGCAGCTTTTGTCTTAGTGCCAAGAACAGCATTCACAGGGGAGTTCAGAATTACTTCAAAGACCTCATCATCTTCCTCTAATCCGTCATAGGTAATTGCTATATTCCACATCTTAGTTGACATTCCTACAAGAAGTAAACATTTTAATTACTCTTTAATTGCTATTTCAATCACCTAGGTGTCAGAGAAATATATTAATTAACATGTCTACAGCTAGGCTGCAGTAGCCTGAGTGAGCTATTGTACTGCTACCGGCTCACTGAAGTCCTGCTGTTCTCTCAAATATTATTAAAAGACCACATTTGTTCCTGGACAATGATGATTCCGTTTAAATGCAAACACTGTAACAAAAAGGTAAAAAAGCTGCATTATGCAAGGGGTGAACAAAAAATGGGTAGTAGATGAGATCCAAGACTTATTTTTTTTCCTAATCTGCCCCTTCTCAAGAATAAACAAGTACTGCAATATTAAAACCTTAATAGTTTATAAAATCTTAAGCAGTTGGTGTGACAATTAAAAGTGATTATTGGATGGTACTTCATACTCTTCATGGAACCCTTGAAATGATTGATTTCTGTAGACAGCTGCCTCCATCAGCTGCCTACTTCCTGAGAGCCTTCTAGCCTGAATATGCTTTATCTGGTGATGTTATAATATTCAGTAGTTTGATATCCTTCTAGAGAGAATTTATGGGCTGGAATTCCGGAAATAGAGGCTTTTTTTTTCTTTTCTCGTTGTGTCTGCTTCTGTTCATGGAGTTAACAATCAAGCTTGGTTCATAGTAACTTTGTGAACTTAATACTGTAAACAGTTTTGACATTACAAACATATCCCCAGCCAGTCTGTCATCACTAAGGTGGGACACAAAGCAACCCCAGGAACGCCAAATATTAAAGCTGCTAGAAACTTCTAAAATGTTCTAATACTGACAGTTTCTATAACATAGATTACAGGACATCCCCTTGAGTTTATTTAGGAGAGAAAGTGGTGGTAGAAGAAAAGTACTGGTTAGCGCAGAAACTAGATTTAGTGGAGCAAGTTAAGGGGGAAAAAAGAAACTTGTAGCTTAATCTTCTAGGACTAAGTTTTGAAAACTTTATTCTGTCATTTACTCATTGGCTATTTGAGTGCCTTTATGCCCATAAACCCACCTATATAAGCAGTTAAACATTTTTTTTCCTAGCCTTCTCTTTTGAAAATCTGGGTTCTTTTCTCCCTGCAGTTTTCTAGAGATTTATGCCTCCCAATTGTGCAATCTATAGGACAGTCTTCTCGAAGTTGCACTGCATATAGACTTCATGATCTAATCAGTCTCCTCGATCTCCAACAGAATCCGATGGAAAGATTAAACTGTTCACTTATCCTACTCTGGCACATAGAGCAAAAAAATTAAGTGTACTTAAAATAAATGTTTTAAAAAATATAAGCTGATTGTATTTACTGAGTTAATACATCAATTACTTTTGTAATCTTGGCAAAAACAGATGTTGAAGCATCTAATATAAAAATCTATATAAGTCCCACCTCATGGATGGATGAATCAATTCAATAAAATACATATTTTGGATCTTTTATGTACTCATCTTTATTTTAGATGCTATGGAAAATACCCGAGGGGTAACATAAACAAATTCTGACATAAAGGAATTTAAACCCTCTTTGAAGAGACAAGATGTAAATACCAGAGAAGTCAATTCCAAGGCTATGTATGATTAGCTTCCAATAGATAAAGAAGAGATGGCAAGTATTATATGCATGTAGGCTCCAGAGCTGGAAGAATTCAGAGGGAGGAAATGGGAAACAACACAAGGCAGGAAGACGGCAAGGCAGAGGCCTCGACCAGGGAAGGCTGAGCAGATTGGCCGGCGGGAGTAGAGGTCATGTTAGTGAATAGGTGGTGATGAGCTTGCAATGGCAGTCTGTAGCCAGACTGCACAGAGCCCTGGACATTTGGTGGCTTCCCATAGGCAGTAGGGAAGCCTCTTGAAAGTGGATGTTTTAGAATAATGAAACAGAAAGTATCATGTAGGAAGATTTAGCGGCCCAGGCAGAGAGGCAGAGAGGCTAGAAGTTGGGAGACCACTGACAGCTGTTACAATAAAACTGACATGACAAGATAAGTCATGGCTGCACAATGAAGAAAGCATATGAATACTGAGATTTTTAATATCCAGGAAACTGTTTTAACTCTGATAGCCCACAATATTAAGCATCATTCAAGTAGAAATCCTATACAAAAAAAATATTTCCAAGCCCAAACCAACTTCTCTCTTTAAGAATCAAAAAAAATTACAGTGCCTCTTCAAAAAAATCCTTAAAGTTTTTGTAAGACCTTATGGAGTAGAACCACATGGTTAGAGAAAACCCATTCCAAGTAATATAAGCTGATTGTATTTACTGAGTTAATACATCAATTACTTTTGTAATCTTGGCAAAAACAGATGTTGAAGCATCTAATATAAAAATCTATATAAGTCCCACCTCATGGATGGATGAATCAATTCAATAAAATACATATTTTGGATCTTTTATGTACTCATCTTTATTTTAGATGCTATGGAAAATACCCGAGGGGTAACATAAACAAATTCTGACATAAAGGAATTTAAACCCTCTTTGAAGAGACAAGATGTAAATACCAGAGAAGTCAATTCCAAGGCTATGTATGATTAGCTTCCAATAGATAAAGAAGAGATGGCAAGTATTATATGCATGTAGGCTCCAGAGCTGGAAGAATTCAGAGGGAGGAAATGGGAAACAACACAAGGCAGGAAGACGGCAAGGCAGAGGCCTCGACCAGGGAAGGCTGAGCAGATTGGCCGGCGGGAGTAGAGGTCATGTTAGTGAATAGGTGGTGATGAGCTTGCAATGGCAGTCTGTAGCCAGACTGCACAGAGCCCTGGACATTTGGTGGCTTCCCATAGGCAGTAGGGAAGCCTCTTGAAAGTGGATGTTTTAGAATAATGAAACAGAAAGTATCATGTAGGAAGATTTAGCGGCCCAGGCAGAGAGGCAGAGAGGCTAGAAGTTGGGAGACCACTGACAGCTGTTACAATAAAACTGACATGACAAGATAAGTCATGGCTGCACAATGAAGAAAGCATATGAATACTGAGATTTTTAATATCCAGGAAACTGTTTTAACTCTGATAGCCCACAATATTAAGCATTATTCAAGTAGAAATCCTATACAAAAAAAGTATTTCCAAGCCCAAACCAACTTCTCTCTTTAAGAATCAAAAAAAATTACAGTGCCTCTTCAAAAAAATCCTTAAAGTTTTTGTAAGACCTTATGGAGTAGAACCACATGGTTAGAGAAAACCCATTCCAAGTTTCATTTAACTGTTTCTGATTTGTTTGCCTGCATTTCAGCTTTGTGTCTGTGCCTACCAGGTGTGCACATAGAACCAACTTCTCTAGGTTAATGAGATTGGAAGTAGGGACTTTCTTGGTTTTTCTTTTTCCTTCCTCTCCCACTTTCAAGGTGCAAAGTAGTTGTTAAATCACTGAGATTACCAATAATTTCAGAAGGCTTGAATAGGCCCCCTAGTCCCATAAAACAAAAGGTGCTGAAGAGGAGGCAGAAGGTGTCACTTTATGCAGATACACTCCACTTTGCAGAGTATGTCAATTCTGGGGTTTTTTTTCCTGCAAAGATTTCACTCTTGAAAGACATATTCTCAGTTTTATTTAGTAAATGGCATTTTAGAGATCTGTTCATTTGGAAAACATTTTGACTCTGAGGAATGAAGTCCCAATTAAGAATGCAGCAAATCTTTCAAGAATATATACTCTTAAAAGAAAACAATAATTTCCTTAAGAATATTTACATTTCCACTCTCAAAATTAGTTACAATAGCTGAATGCAAAGTAGGATTAAGTTTTAGTTTGGTACAATGGCTGCAAGCTTTTATGAGTATATGGCTCACAAGACTGAGAATCACAAAAGGAGTTTTTCTCCAGCTCCTTCCCAAGAGTTCTTAAACCTTAAACTATCCCACTATCTTTTATTTCTCACTCTCTGTTTCTTCATCAAACATGGAAGCTGCTGTTTTTAAAGAAATGAACAGTTTATTTTAGGAAAAGGGAGTGAGGGAGGGGATGGGAACACCAGACCCAAAAGAGACAAAGACTGACAATCTGGGAGGAAATAAAAATTTACAGAACCTGTGAACACAGGGAACTTTAAAATTCTCCAAAGTAAGACTTCAGTTTTGAAACTGTTCCTGGTTAAGAAGTTCCAAAACAATGAACAGCCAAGTGTTGTTTCTTTTTAATTTGTAAGATATGTTTTTTATTCTTAAAATGTCTAAAGCGCCACTACAATCATGACTATTTAGAGCCCCCAGAAGTCATTAGCATCTACTTAAATCAGCATGTAAACACTTCTAGACAAATGGGTGTTTAACTTATCCAGTGGAATCTCCAAGAAGTAGATTTCGGAGACACCTACAGTGTGGTACATTCTAGTTCCTATCAATTCAAACAGAGCACCTGGTGAGCTTCTCAGAATCTACTGAAAGCCAAAATCACTCTGATCTTGTGACAAACAAACCTCAAATAATAAAGATGACAGACATATGGCAAAGACTCTTGGCTCTCAAAAAGTAGAAAGGTGGGCACTGCCTTACCATGAGGCACATAGGAACAAAGCACAGATGCATCCAATCCTTTCATCTCAGGGTTGACCAGAGCACAGGAGGGTAAACATCAAATACGTGATGGCCACAGCTATTCTCACCAAGTGTGGTCAGCCCGAGGAACAAACTTAGGCAAGTCACAAACTTAAATATCATATGTGATGGCCACAGCTATTCTCACCAAGTGTGGTCAGCCCGAGGAACAAACTTAGGCAAGTCACAAACTTAAATATCATAGGAAGGAGGCCAATAACAATATTTGGGTTATCACATGTCAAATTTATGGCTCATTGTCATAGGTTGAATTGTATCACTAAAAAATCCATATGTTGAAGTCTTAATTCCCAGTACTACAGAATGTGGCTTTATTTGGAAATAGGGTCATTACGGATGCAATTAGTTAAAATGAAGTCATACTACAGTACATCCCTAATCCATGATGATTTGTGTCCATAACAAAAGGGGGAATTTGGACCCAGGCACACATGCAAGGGGAACTCCATGTGGAGATGAAGGCAGAGACTATGTGATGCAGCAGAACCAAGGAACGCCATGGATTCCAGCAAACCCCGGAGCAAGAAAGAGAGGCTGCAACAGACTCCCAGTCCTAGGAAGGAATCAAGCCTGATCAAGGAATCAACCTTGATCTTGAAATTCTAAACTCCAAAATGGTGAGAAAATAAATCTTTGATTTTACCCAGGGCAGCCTTAGCAAACTAATAGTTAATCAAACATGATAGTATGTGTGAAATGCAGAAAGGCATTTCTTTTCTACATTTAACATAAGGTTGTCGATTTTGCAGTGGTGATGGATTTAGGTTGTTTCGTTTTGTCTTTGCTGGAAACATCATGTGTCAGTGGCAGATAACGGCACGAGTTTTGACTTGGTGGAGTGTTCTCAGGGCAGCTCGTCTGCAGAACACAAAGCCACAGCCCTGGCTGCGTCTCAAGGCCTTTTCCATTTGCCCTGGGACAAATTCAGGTCCATCTCAGGCCACTTGGAAAGAAACAGACCCACGCACTAGGTGAGCATGAGCCACCTGCCTCCACCTACAGAAGCCAAGGAAAGAAGGCATGGCTCCAGCCTGGGTGCTTTAGGCACAGTACTGCAAAAGCATGTCAGTCCTTCCAGCCTGCCATCCCCTTCTTCTTCGATTGGCTCAGAATACCATCTCCCCTGGGAAGTCTTCTAGGATTTTCACTAGCCAGAACAATTGCCCATCCTTTGGGTCCCAATGTACATTTAGTGATTTGTTTTTGTGTTTCTATCTTCCACACAATAAAACATTCTTGGGAGTAGGCACCATACTTTTATATTTCCTTTGTACCTAGCAAAATTTTCCCATGGACTTAGAACAACATATGTGTCTTCTAATCAAATAATAATTTCCTCTGGAATCCCCTTATATCAACCTATTTCAAGAAAGATCATTTAGAAATGCCCTTTAGGAATCCATGTGACTACAACATTCTGAAATTTTCCATCGAAATACGAAGCAATTAAATCATTTCAGCTTTGTGTCAGGCCTTTGAATAATTTTTAAATGACATTTCTTCTGGATTTTTCACATTTACTTTGATATTTTATATGTGTTATTTATCATGATCCTTCTTCTCATTTTAAATAATATTCATTGTAAAAAAAAAATGTGAGGGGTAAAACCTCCAGTCCAAACTGATCTTTCCTGGAGTGGGATGATATAGTTCCCTGAGGAGTTTCTAGTTGGCTGAAGTTACATAATATTCTGTCTCCTCCACAGTCTCCAGACTTACTAACAAAAACATGAAACAAACTGTAGACATAAAACATACCTGGATCGAACTGAATTAGTTTAGATGGAGTCAGGGTGAAATCTTTTCCAACTGTAGCTGACACTTGGTTAACCTTAAGAAGGAAAAAGTGTCTTTTTTAATAGAAACAAATATTCTGTGAGAGAGTAACATCTAGTCATTTCTTATTAGAATAAACTCATGCTCTTATATCTGTTTTTAACACGAAGCTTTTTTTTTAAATCATGGTAAACCATTTTAGATCCAGGGTACACGGATTTTCCTTAAGTTGATTTTTTTCTTAGAGTAATATCAGTGGAAGTAAAACTAAAGCTTTTTTATTTTTTGCTTCTCCTTTATAAATGATTAAGTTATTGGAGAAAATAAAGTGAATTTTAAAGAAGATTTTTCTCCTTGTTACGAGCGTCAGTCTCCTTCATTGACTGCCCCTGAACAGCAGCCTGGCTTTAGAAGCGGGCCTTAGCACAGAGGGCAGGCAGGGGAGGAGGGCCCGGGATGTGAGCCGCCAGCCAGCCGGGGTGTCCTGCAAGCTCCGGGGCCCTGGAAGCCTTCCGATTAGATGAACTAAAACAAGTCTGGACTGTTTTCCTGTCTGATGAAACCATCCTTCTTCACAGAAATGAATGAGAGCTTTGTGGGGATGACAGACCTGGTGAACAGTCGCACAAAGGCAATCCGCACCCAGAACTGCGGGCTTTTAGAGGCTCCATCAAGTAAATTGTTAAAAGAAAAAAAGAAAAGAAAAGAAAAGAAAAAGAAAAATCGTTCTAGCCTAAAGAGACTATTGGCTGATCTTCTGTTCTCTACCCTAGGGCTAAAAGTCAGAGGCGAGTTAAGGACTCTAAAGTCATGATCTTACCTTCCCCCAAAGAAGCCCAAATATATGTTAAGAATAATATCCTTGGCTGGTTCAAAAAAGAGGTCATCAAATGAGAACCCCGTGTAACCCTGTGCAATAGGGCACAGCTGTTCCTTTACAATTTTTTTAGACATTAAAGATGGTCAGGAAGTGGGTTAGTACATTTCTTCATTTTCATATGAATGAATGAAGCGCACAATTAAAAACTTAGAAGTTGCTATTTCTATGGCCTCAGGCATTATCTCCATATCTAATCAATCACCCTACTATCTACTAACGTGTTTGCAGTGGCAACATTTTGCTGAGGAAGGATATTACCTGCTAAGTTTCCATTTGCTCTTTGTCTACAATGCCAAGGCTCCTCATGAACAACCTTTCATTGTGAAAAGGCAGCCCACTGTACCCTTGTATCTGCCATATGCTGCAAGTTACATTTCCCCACACGGTTCTCGCATGTGCAATTTCCTGGTATTTACCACCACTGAGTTTACAGAATCCTATGAAGAAAAGGAATGGTCTGACGCAAGGTGGTTGGAGAAGTCAGTCTGGTGAAGGAGCACAGTTCAAAACAAAGCAAGCTGCAGAGGTGAAAGTGCTTTTGCTTTCCTTGCTTCTATCTAGGCAAGCAGCCAAAAGCTCTAGTATTCAGAGACAGGCAGTGCTCTGGGTAGAGCTGTCCCTGAGGCTCAGGGCTATGTTTGATGCAGGCCTGCACACTCAGCTGGCAGGTTCATGGTGTGCATTCTGCTTATGTAGATAGAAGGTCCTAGGTCACACCATGCATGGTCTGTCTACCTGGTAGGGTGAATGGTGTGTGGCCCAAAACTCCAGACTGGAGCATATAATGCTTTCTATAGAGAATCAGAGGATTATCAGAGAACCATCCAGGCAGATTCTTTCTTTTTTCATATACATTCCACCAGAAAATTGTAGGGCATACCACGTTGGCTGATTTTTGTAGTAGCAATAAAGCACCCACAGACACCAGAAAAAGAGTCTAAGCCCACTGGGAAGATAAATACTGAGTCAGAATACAGTAGAATTAGGTGCACAAGGTTCTGAGGGTGAGCTGAATTTATTTTCATCATCAAAACTTAACAGAAATGCCATTTTCCCCAAAATCAGTGCCCTTTTCATTAGACTGGGGAGGGGAATCATTAAGGCTCATTTGTCATTGTTAGTAAGTAAAAGCTTTACATGCTCTCTTTCCCTTGAAGTGCTATTGTGATAGCGACTCCTAAAAAAATCCCTCAATTCAAGAAGCCATAGGTTGTGTTCCATGAACACGTCAATGAAGAATAGCAAATTGACTAATCCAAAAGTGATTTCTCAATATTCTTTATATTTCAGGGTGTCTGTAGTGATATAAGCTCTCTTAATTCTGCATACTTGGGCACTCTTAAGATAGGTTTGTCCCCCAATTTTCCTTATCTAAGACCACAGGAACTAATCCTGATGCATACTAAGAAGAAGGCATTTAGGGACTGAAATTTGCTGAGTACCTCAAAGAATGTCTTGCATACAACTTTTCTTTCCAAAGCAGAGTTAGGGCCAAGTTTACTAGGTGGGATATATCTCCATGTGAAATCAAACTTCCAGACTTAATGACCAGATTTAAAACTAAAAATGGGTTAGAGCATATCCAGGAACAAATGAAGCTGTATAAAGGATGGAGGGACAAGGAGATTTTATAATTAGAACCTCCTGAAGGGTGGGGCACTTCTGCTGTTTGAAATTTCCTTGGTTATTTTCATTTTTTTTTGAAGGAAATAACCAAAGCAACCTACACTTTGGCTTGACAGCTTACATTTTAGAGTTGTTACCTTTACACTCACAAAAGCCGAGTCCATGGAATATCCCCTTCTGGTAATTTCCAAGGGCAACACGCCCACATCCTCACAGACCTGATACTCAGTCTGTGACCATTCAACATGAGACCACTTCAGTTCCAGACTGTGCATGGAAGGAAAACAAAAGGGAAAATTATAAGAAATGCATATTAAATGCCATAGAGTCCTCTGCTGAGTAGGAGACTGAAGCCCTGGCTCACATCGTGGCGACAGAGGTGGCTCATCAGCTTGCACTGATGCTAACGATCCTCCGTGTTTGTTTTGTACGTCTTAGTTCACAAATAACTTTCCCTAACACCATCTCATTTGAGGCTTACAACACCATGAGGTAGAGCACTAGAGTTCCCATTTTACAAATGCAGAAACTAAGATTAAAGACTGTCAGAGGTCCCACAGTTCTTAATGACAACAAAAAGGGACTCAAACTTGAGTGTTCTGAAGGGAAAGGATCCAGCAGTTGTGAGGCTCAAGGAGACATTCATTTTTGGAAGGGACTTTGATATGAAATCTTCTCTCTTATTTCTTGGCCTTCTTTATCAGTGCAACAAGAACTTTCCAGATACAATTCTTCTCTGAATTTGGGTTCAGTTTAATAACAAGGTAACTTGAGGATGTGTCTAGGAATTAAATGTGCATGTGTTTTATAACTTATCTGTTGCTTCTTTTGTGAATATGAAAAAGCTGTACTCAGATGTACCTTGGGTGCAGCTATACAACTGAATAAACCTTATAAATAGAGGGTGGTCTTTCTCCCCACAGTATGTTTTGGAGGAAAATATAGTGAGTCCAACATCTGATGGAAACTGTCTCCTTTAATCCTTATAATATGGACAGGAATTCTTTTTCCAGTAAAGAAAACTAAGCCTAAGAGAAGCAAAATAACCAGCTTAAAGGCAAAATGCTAAGACAAAACTAATAGATATTTGAGATGAAATTCCTAGCATAAACCTGAAGTCAGAAGTCCTGTACAATTATTCTCCCCAGTTACAGTTCTTCATGACTCTTCTTGTTTGAGCTCAGAGGAACACATTTTTATCTTTACCTTAAGGTATTTCCCTTTTTGGTGTTAGAAAACTTGAAATGTTGCACCTAAACATTTCTCTCCACACATTACCTTTTCTACCCCCTGTAACCTTCAACAGTATAAAAGACACAAGCAATCTTCACTATGATCACTTGACACACTTCCATTGTTTTGGTTTTATGCATTTCTCTTTCCTTCTATATTCAAAAAAACCCCAGTGGTTGTCTTACTGAATTCCCAAAATTCCAACTGGATTCAGGCTCTTTCCTCAGGGTTTCTTAATTTACTTTTTTACCTTTTTTTTTTCTTACAGAACTAGACATTCTGGGTGCCACCATGTGACGCATGGAGATCACAAATTTCACAGGGCTCTCCAGACTTTCCTGGGGACCATGCATGTTAGAAAGTAAGTTTACCCTCTAATAAGCATTTTATGTCCTTGTACCAACCATGTGTCACTGTTATGTCCTCTAGATTAAGCTGGCTAGCAAAATAAACCCAATAGCATTGTCTCCTACTCCAAGGGCCAGTGGACAAAGGTAGTATGGAATTATTGGAAAGGTTCATGAATCTATATGAACATAGATGTTTATTCAATCAATAGATCTGAAATTTATTGTTACTGGCATGCTGGGCTTCATTAAATTTTGACATGAAAACAGGATCCTTATATTTTAAACTACTGGGTTATTCATGTATCTTTGATACAACAGAATTCAAATCTGGAATGACAGATCAAGAAACAAATAAATGACTGCTTAAAGAATCATAAGATAAGAGGAAACATGTATATTACAAATGCCTATAGAAATGCCATATTGCAAAAAATTCCTAAAGGTTCCAGCTAAATGAGAAAGGGAAAAAAAATCAGCAAGAGGGATTGGGGAAAGACAGAAGAGAAAGTAGAGCAGTGGGAATGAGTAAATTAGATCAATATGGGTGGACTTCAGCCAAGTCTCGGTAGGGTTCAAATGAGTTTTAATGTCCAGTCTTTTGAGAATCCATCCATTGCTGATGCTAAACAGGACAAGCAAAAATTCATCCATGTCACTCTGCTGACCCAGGTGACCTCAAGGATGAAAACTAAATGCAATTTGATTGATATAGATCCATAAGGGGACCATACAGAGTGCTGCTCATGTTCAAAACATAAAGGGTTATGGGGGCTCTCTTGTCCCCTCCTGGCATGAGCCAGGAGCTCTGTCCTCTCACTTTATCTCTAAATAAAAGCCTCTGCCTTGCTCTCCTAAAAAAAAACATGAAGGGTGATGGTGGTGGAGAACATGTGTGCGTTTCCCTGATGTAGACCATTACATATGCTTAGACATTAAGTTGTCATTACACATTCCTTAAAACTAGTCACTACAAATAGAAGAGATCTATTGAAAAGTCAAGAAATTTAAGCCAGGCAATATATTTCCCAGACAAATATTTAAATGGCAAAGCACCTGCATACCTACAGGACAGGTGCAACACGTTTCAAATGTGGTTTTTTGTTTTGTGGTACCGTATTTGAGACCTTTCTATGCTGAGACTGTGGTTACTTAAATTCTACACAACACCTGGAAGAAAAGTTAAGAAATATAGTCAATCACTTGGGAATTCTCCCTACCAGAAGCCACACAGCTGTATGCTTGGCATCATGTAGGTAACCAGATCCTGAAGCCCGTGAGAGAAATTTGGAAAGTTCTGGATGTCCAAGTGTCATGTAGACAAAGGTTCAAATCTTCACATTTTAAAGATCCCTCCCTTCTCCTATTACCATTGAATAAAGCTCATTCTAAGGTCAGAACTGAGGTTTATGGACATACTTTATGAGAAATCCACATGGAAATCATTTCAAGTTATTTAGCAGGAGCTGAGAACTCCTTCAGCCCCTTCATCAGGGTCCCTCGGCCTTGACTATTGACATTGGGGCCAGATAGTGTTTTGTTGTGGGGAGTGTCCTGCACACTACAGAACATTTAGCGGTGTCCCTGGTCTCCATCCACTAGATGCAGTCACACCACTGCCTACCTGTTTCCACGATCAAAACTGTTTCCAGATGTTTCCCAATGTCCCTGAGGAGAAAGTCATCCTCAGTTGAGAAACACTTTCCTAAGTGATTCTGGGGTACTCATCACAATGGAAAATTTGATTTAATAAGAAAACTAAATTTTGGTTCCCAATAACAGCTACTGTGAATATTAGACATTGGATGGAGTAGAAGAAATTAAACTGGATCCTGGTTCCTCAGCCATGCAATAATTCCATGTCAGGTGCAAGAAAAGCTAGGTGTTTTGTTTTGGGGGTGGGTTTGGCTCCATTTTTATGCTTCTTTTGTTTTGCTTTAGCACATATTTTTCATTTATATATTGCCTTGTTATACTTTATATATTCATGTAAGCAGGGATATATCTGTAAATGTTTTAACAAGGGACTCTCCAGAGGAAAGGGGTGTGTGTGTACAATAGTGTAATACTGGTATAAGGGTGTATAGCACATAACTTTAAGGAATATTATATATGCCATATTTTTTATTGTTGATTTCATATAGTCAATTGATGCTCAGAGGATATTTTTGCTAATTTTTCCAAATTAGCTTTTGTATGCGTGCAAGAAAGTTATTTAATCTTCCATTTTAAAATTACAATCCATCCCCAAAGTCCAGCATCTATGATTATGATGATCCCCCTTATCCTGACCAGTTTTCTCATTCTGGGAGGTACATATCACATGTAACATACTATGTAATTTACTTAGATACTATATATGCTCCAAGTAAACACGAGTCTTTGATTCACCAGATGGATTCCCAAGTCCTCTTGGGAGTGACTGGAACATAGTAAGTGTTCAACAAATATTTGTTAAATGAATGAATGACTCTTGTTTAGCCTGTGGTTACCCAAACTAAGTTCACCAGAGAAATATTTTTTCTCCACAGCCCCATTAACATCATATTTCACATCATTTTTAAGTGCTAGCCTAGATGATTCTCACATTTTTTTCTAGCCCTTACTCTGGATTCTTTGGCTATTACTGGACTTCAGTAGAAAGAAAGATGGCACTGATACAAAAGCATTCTACCAGGAAGCATGATTTCTTAACACACATGTATGCTATTTCCCAAGGTGTGTATGTGCTTCCCAACATTTGGCAATGCCTAAAGAAAGCTGTGATGCTCACACCTGGAAAGAGGATGATACTGGCATTAATGGGTAGAGGTCAAGAATGCTCTTAAACACTGTCCAATGCACACAATCCAACCACAGCAAAAGTATCTGGTCCCAAATGGCAATAGTGCTGAGATACAGTCAAAAACATATACTTTCTGATGTTTTCTTTTTTGGCTACCTGATTCATTATAGGAACAATGAACTGAAAAAAACATTTGGGATTAAAGCTCCAGTTTGGGATTTGGGAGAGTAATCTAGGTTAAAGAGAGTATGTGAAAAGGGTACACAGCTGCTCAATGCCTCAGTTTCCTCACTTCCCAAAGTACAATAATGATGAGTCTGTACTTCAAAGGGTGTTAAATGAACCTTAATGAATAGTCACAAAGTATCTTCAGTTTCTCAATGAAAGGTTTATGGAAGCTAAAATGGTGATTAATTATTCTTAAACTAGATCCTCACTTACAGTCAAGTAGCATATGACTAAAGAAATTGAAATATTAAAAAATGTCTTTCCAAGTACTCAATCCAAGACTTATCCATTCAAAGACGATGCTATTAATCTCCATAATGTAATGCTATGAACACCTGTGTTTTCATTTTTGCCTTTCTCTCATGATAATGGGGAAATCGTGTTTAGTCAGGAGGTAACATAGTGAGAACCCAGAAATAAGTGCTTTGGAGTTAGGCACATCTTGCAACCACTTATTAGTGTGTGATTGTGGTCAGTTACTCAGTCCCCTGTGGGCCTCAGTTTTCATTATCCTTAAAAGGAGGAAAATTCAAATCATGTCAAATGATGAAAATTAGTATTTGTTAATATGTATAAAGCACCGATACATAGTGGGTGCTTAATAAGTGCCATTTCTCCTGCCTTCCTCTGTGCTTCCCTAGATCTAGTCAGGAGACAAATACTTTAGCTTCTGGCTTGTAGGTAGTATGAAAGCTTTACCTAGTCAATACTTTTAACCTTTTGCCCTTTCAGGTGTTTCATAAAAGTTACTAAAACATTGCAAAGTTTTCCTGCTAGAAATTCCTTTTCTTTTTTATTTCTTTTGTCCCCTGTCTTTTAAAGCCAAGAATGAACAACAGAACAGTTAGAATGAGGGTAGCCAGAGGGAAGAGGAGAATCAGGGTGTTGGGAATCATGCAGCAGCTGGAGAAGCAGCCCCTGAGCTGTGAACATCAGCAAGGGACACCTTTTCTTTTGAAATGCCCTTTTTCCCCAAAGTTGGTTGCATTCTGTTGTCTGCAAAGGTGTTTTTGATGAGTGGCGTGGATCCTGTGTAGCTTACTTTGGGAGTTCTGCAGATCATTTTGAGATTTGAGCGGAACCAGAGAACAGACATGAGCTTGTGAGTGAGTCAGGCCGAGGCATGAGCCAATAAGGGGAGCACTCACTCTGAGGCTAGGAGGTCAGGGTTCACTTTCAGCTCTCCTACTCGTGCACTTAGTGACCTCTGGCCAATTACTTAAATGCTTTTAGCCTGATTTCCTTGTAACCCTCAGAGGACTGTGTTTTGCAGATTAAATGGGACAACATACATTAAAGCACCTAGTGCAGTGCCTGAAATTTAGGCACTTGGCCAAATCCAAATCTTAATGCAAATTTCCATGTATTTCAATGTTGTAAAATAATTTCTATTTACAATGCAATGTCTCCCAAATATATTCCATGAAAAATTCATTCCATGAGCTACTCTGGGGTGGAGTGGTGGAGGTTTCATTATCAAATGAGGTTGAGATATGCTGCACACTATATCCCACTCTCAGAGATTCTAATTCACACAAACATCTCCATGATTCTGGGATGTGATGCAGTTAAACAACATGCAAGCTAGCTAGCTAGCAACAACTTGATTAAATCAAGATATCCTGACTTTTTTCTCTAATGGAATTATCTGTTGACACTTCAGGATTGATATTCTGTAGAACTCTGCAATAGCAAAAATATCAGCCCTCAAGACTCAAGGACAATCCCATTGAACATAGGTCCTTCTTGTTCTTTGAAAGAGTTTCCTTTTGGTTCCAGATTACACCCAATGGTCCCTTTAGTTTTCACCCCTTCAAATAGGCAGAATATTAATGCAACAATCTTGCCTAAGCCAAATAAGAACACAAAGTTGCACAGCATTTAGCTTATGATTAACATGCATATTGATTATACACTTTGTGAATCATCCCATAATCAATTTGTAATTAGAGATGGGCTTTAGCTGATAACCACATGGTTCTGGGACACTTGCAACCACACAATTGAGCAATAACAGTAATCACTATCACAAGTTACAGACTTTAAATATACAAGATGCTGTCATTTGTTTTACCTTATTTATTTCTCTAAACAAATGTCTTATTGCATCCATTTGACGGATGAGATAACTAAGGCTTGAACAGTCATCAAGGTCAATGGCAGAGTCAAAGCTCAAACCCTGTTCTTTGGCTCTAAGTTCAGTGGTTTATTATTATTTACACCATAATTTCCAATGTGTTGGACATGGAGTGCACATTAAATATTAATATCTATAATTTACATTTTAAAAAACAACTAAAACTTAAGGTCCTTGACAAGTAAGTATTCCTCCTTTCTTGTTGGATGGGTGGCCAATGACTAGAGGGAAGGGAGATAAGTCTGCTGGCTGCTCCTTACCGTTAGCATACTCATTTAGAGTGAGGAAGAAGTTCTTTATTGCAGTGAGGAGGAACATGCACTCTAGAGCTGTATTTCCTGCGCCTGCATCACAGTTCCTTCACTAATCAGCTTCATGTGATTGGAGAATTCACTTCCTACCTCCATGCTTCAGTTTCCTCACCTGTAAATTCTGGATTATGATGGTGCCTAACTCATAGGTGATTGTCATGATTAAATGAAGAGCAACCCAACAGAGTAGAAAACAGTCATATGATAAATGCCTATGATTTACATTATACATTAACTAGGTTCTTGTTGGCTGCCTCAAGAAGGCAGACCATTGTTCATAACATTGTTTCTTACTGGAAAGATGTGTTTTCTTGTTGCAAAAAACATCTATGTACAAAGGAAGTTTGGGTCAGCTCCACCATTCCAAACTTACGAAGATTAATGCTGAGTCATTTCTGCCACCCCTGGCCACTCTAAAGAAGACAACCTAATATATGTCAGAATCAAATCAAAATTAATTTAGAACTAACTCTTGGTAGGCATATTTAACATCATCTTGTTCTACTGGCTCCGATCATTTCAGGCTGCCTTAGAAATATCTTCAGCCTTGGTTATGAAAATTGATATCCAGCACAAGCAGGAACCTATTTAAAATAGCCTCAATTAAAGTTGTAAATTCTTCTATGATTCTCCTATGAAAATTTCAGGGTTATTTAAAAACATAAACCATCTTTAAAAGCAATGTCCTTGGTAACAATGAAGAATGAAAAGGGCAGTATCAACTGCTTCATTAGCTCCACTGCAGATAGAAGAAGTTCTCCGTCAGCTATGCTGTGTTCACATGTGGAGGACCAGAAGTCAGCATGAGGCTGTAGCAAGACTCATCAATATTCTTATGTTTTTTAGTTGAACTATTAAAAAGCAAGTGAAACCAATTTATGAATGTTTTGGTAGCAGGATTTTTTTTTTTTACATGTTCTTTAAAACTGGGAGACAGTTGTCTGAAATTGCAATTAGGCAATACACTTTCTTTTTTTTAATTGAAATATAATTGATATACAATATTGGTTTCAAGCACACAACATAATGATTCGCAGGAAATATATTTTCTATAAGGACTGTAATCCCAAAGAATCATTTATTTTAGATGAGAGTAGTTTAATGAGTGGTAATCATCCATTTTAGGTTTAACCTCAAGAAAATATTTTCATGTCAGAGGCCAGATCTTCCTTCCTCATGCCTATTTCCCAGTTCCTAATATTATGCAGGTGGCAAATAGTAGCCACTCAATAACAATCTGCGGTTATAAATCTGGGCCCTGCTATACTTTATCAGGGTAATGGAGGTGGGACCCTGGAATGCATTTTGTTGAGGACGTTTTTCTAACAATAACTACAGAGACCTCTGCTGGCAAGTATTGGGACTACAAATCAGGATCCCAAAGAGAAAGCGAGAACGAAGAGCACAGAGGTGAATTTCTCAGTTCTTTGTCCGTATTCTTTTCTTTCTTTGTTCATATTCTATTTAAAAAAGCCTATAAAGGGGCTGTACTCACTTACAGTGTGTAGTTTGACTAGAATATTATATACATTAAAACTAGGATAAATTAACAACTTCTCTTTGAAAAAGAAAAGGGAAGGGTATCAATTTTAAAAAGAAAAAATACAGCACAAGGAGGACAGGACTGATTAACCCTTCTGTGATCATCTGATAACTGGCAAGTTATTCAAGGTCTACACTCAAGAAAGCCCTAGAATAGGGACCCATTAAGCGAAATTACTATGGTCTATTAATCATGTTAATTTTGAGAATTTGTTACTCTTGTTACTCTGAGGGTCAAACACTTTAAACAATTTGTAAGGTTCATTTAAAAACTCCCCAAGTCAATTTTACGCTTTATACTGTCTTCATCTTACCTATGACAGGATTACTAACTTTGTGCTTTGGGGCTGGAAGGCGTTGGAATGGAAGAGATGTTTGCTAACCTTTCCTGACTACCTCATTCTTCCCACTCCAGAGAGTTTAGCCTATATTTAGGTTCTAACGCAGTCCTGGAGCGACCTCTTGCTGCAGGATTTATACAAGCGCCTGCAAGCTCAGTCTGGATGTTAGTGACTTGTCAAGACAGAAACCTCTCTGCGTGTGAAAGTGTACGCATCTACATGCGTAATATGAATAACCCAGAACTCTACAACTTAACTTTTTAATATTTCCGGACTATGCAAAGCTATGGCTTTCCCATTATCAAGCAGCGATGGAAAGAAAATTTCCTCTCCAAAATAAATTCAATGAGCTTGTGAAATCCATTTATCCTCTTAGATTCTGTTTGACAAAGAACATATCACATTCCTATCAGATACATTCTGGGCGTTATATGCAGGGCTATTGATTAAGCAAAATAATTTACATTTGAGGAGTGGCAGAGTTCCCTGTGGGGTCCATGATTTGAAACTCTATGACGTCTGAATTAACTTCCAAAGATGGGTTTATGATGTAAACAATGGTCTTACTGTTTAAATCCTTTTGGATAAATTTCTCACGGATAAATTCACCTACAAAAAAGAAAGAAATTAATTTCATGGATGCAAACAAAATATTTAAAAAGAGCATACCTAAAGTTGAATGGCTATGTTATTATAAACAGCTTTAAAACCAGCCAGAGTAATTTTTTAAGGGAGTTGACATTATTGCAACCATCTTAAAACTCATATTCAAGGAATTTATATTAGAATATAAAATGTACTGTCTCAGAAATATGCCTTAAAGAAAATATAAAAATAGAGGGAGACTAGGTAAATATTGCAATAAAATCTGTAATTCTGTGCCATCCTTTTTAGCGACATATTTTGATCATTGCCTTCATAAAGCAGAAATAATATACAATCCAGAGAAATCATGATAATAAAAAAACAACCAGAACTTTTTTAATGAACTGACTCCATTTAGAGTTCATGATAGAAAAAAATTAGTCACAAATATGAATTTGTTCCTGACACTGTGTTCCACTGAATATATTACAATCTGGCTATTAAAAACAATTGTAAATAATAAACAGCTGCGTATCAGTATCTGGTTCTCCCACTCAAGATAAATTTAGGGAAGCTCAGCTTCAAGCCTTCTTTAGCGCCAATATTGATTTATAAACTGCATCTATCAGTAAGCCCTGGGGAGTGTTTACCAAATGGGCCTACACTTAATTAAATTACTCTCTAGCACTGCCAGCCACTGGGTATTTTAAAATGAGCAATTAAAGGATTAAAGAAGGCAGTACCTGTTGTTGTGTTCTCCAGATGTCCATGTTGGGGGCCTTGTAAAATCTTAAAGATGATCTGATCATCATTGGTGTCAGGGTCCGAAGCCTTCAACATGCGGGAAGTGATGTAAATCCCATAACAGCCATTTTTCAGGAGCCCCACTTGAGAAGGGGAATGCAAATATGTGATGTGAGGGGCTGTTTTGTCCAGCTGGTCCACCTGCATCATCAATAATTACATACAACGTTATATAAAAAGCTTCTCAACTCCTTGCAACATAGGGCTTTAATGTCTAACAACAACAAACTCTCCCAAATTTCAGATTCTTCATCCTCCTCGTTTGTTAATTTCTGCTAAAGGCAGTCTTGTTGTCAACTTCCTCAGTACATACAGTGCTTGAAACAGAGATCACCTTTCCATTGTAAACTTTGACCTAACTTTATTTATTTGCCCATTGTCTGCCTCCCTTTAGGACATAAGCTCCCTGATGGGGGATCTCATGCCCCGCCCCCTCTTTCCTGCACCTGGAACAGTGCCTGAACCAAAACTGAAGCTCGAGGAATATTTGTTGAATGAACACATTAAAATTGACCCAAGATTGTACTGCAAACTTAATGTTAGCTCCACAGAAGGATTACTCCATTTTCCCAGTATTTGGTAATTTACAGAAACAAAATTTTAATGGTTTACAAATGCACTGAATATCTTTTTGGTTTGTCTTTGTTCAAATAGAAAAAATGTTGAATACAAATTAAAACATCTCAGGGAGAAAAAAAGTGAAAGGTGATTACTTGCAGGCATTTGCATATTTGTTTCATTGAGGATGAGAGCCAGGTAACTAAATAGACAGAGTCAATTTGTGAAGACATGGATAGGCAGTTACTCATGGGTGAAAGACAGCACAAACTGTACAAAGGGCCTCATTCAGGTATAGTAACATCCACCTTGCAAATGACTGTTGCAGGTAGGGATGGAGCAGGTCTGGATGGATTAGCACAACTCACCACTGATACTACAAAACAGGTACAAGAACACTATCCTCATTCCTCTCATGCCTAATCATTCAGTTCTTATGATGTTATCATTTACCCAAAAATAATACTGTTGTAAATCTTAGTTCCCCCTACCAAAGTAAAGAAGTGTTGATAAGATATATATATTATAATATTGATAATATATATATATTATATTGGTAATATATATATATTATATATGAAGATAAAATAAACTACTGTTCAGCTATTAAAAAGAAAAAGAGGTAGGATAAACTGATAATGAATAATTTCCACAACCTTGTGTTAACTGGTAAAAACAAAAACAGCAGGTTGCAGAATAGGATATGACTATAATACAATATTTTTGTTCAAAACAAATACATACATTTGTTCATACAGACACAGACAAAATTCTAGGAGCATTTACACAAATTGTTCACGTGCTTTGGGGTGGGAAAGAATTACCACTCCTCTTATGTGTATTTCTGATTGGAATTTTGTAACAATCAAACATTTTTTTCCACTCAAGTTGGCAAGATTTTTTTTTTATTAAGAAACATAATCCTACCTAATCATATCTCATGTTGGTAAATGTTTGGAAAAACAGACATTTTAATATTTGGCTGGAAGGGGTGCAAATTAGTGAAAATTTCTGGAGGGAAATTGGGCATATATGTATATTAAAAATGTGATATAATTTTATCCAAAACTTTCACTTTTTGAGCATATCCCACATAGTTAGATGTGCACACAAAAAATATGTGTGTATAAATATATACATACACACATGGATATTCACTAAAATATAATTTATAACAATTAACAAAAATTCCATAAAATACAAAAGTCCAACAGGAGATTTATAAGCCATTTCTACCTGATACTGAGTGACATGTAGCCTTTAAGACTTATGTGTTCAAAGAAGATTCAGTGACATAAATGAAAATTTCATAGCATGATGAAGAGTACAGACAGGCACCATGCATTATAGCACATATAATATTATCTCACTTTTTCTGTTGCACAGAATACAAGAATGGAAGGAAGCCCCCAAAGATAGTTTTCTTTAAGTGGTATGATTGCAAAAGGTATTTTTCTTGTCCATTTCTGTAGTTTACAAATTCTTTACAATAAACAATTATTTTATAAACTGAAATAACAACAAAAGTTGTTTTTTCAAAAGTTACAGCCATTCTCCTCTGCACAGTGTGGATGGCAACGGCAGATCCGTGAGAATGGGTGGGAGGTACGGGACCAAGTAGTTACAGGTCCGTTAGGGGAGAAGCTCCTACAACCCCGGTGGCCAGCAGGAGGGATGGCCAATGGCAGGAGAGGAACAACAAACATACTTCAAGCCATGTAGAAACACTCAAAATTGATAAATAACTGAGTGTTAAGTGTAGTTTTGTTTGTTTTTTAAATATTTTCCTTAAAAACTCAAGTGTTACAAAAGGAATAAATGCCTGCACTGATTTGTTTTTGTTCTTTTTAAGTTGGTATTAAAACTCTGGTTACATGGTTCCCTGCTGTTTTTTTGGTCATAAACTTATTTAACTTTCCGTTAAATGACTTCTTATTAAACTTCTCATTTTTTCAAAAACAGGTCTTCTGGCTCAGTATATCAGAAGCATTTTTAAATGCTGGGGTACAAATTTTTTGTCTTTTTTAAGGGCTACATCCCTATAAAAATTTGTGTTGGATTTACTGAAAACCATGTCAGACATGCCTAAACTGTAGAAAGCAATGACATGGTCCTTTCACCCCCATTACCAGCTCCAGCCCCAGCCTCTTTTAAGGACAATTATAAGAATCCCTGCAGCCAGACTGCAGTATTTGGTCAGACAGACATGGTCTGCCACATGAAGCTCAGATTGTGTCTGCTGAGACCTATGAGATGCACCTGTGTTTTGCATTTGTTAGGTCCAGTAGCTTTGACCTTGCTTACCCAGGTTGGAACTGTAAGAGTAGGATGCCCATGTTTGGGACACTAATTTGAATGAACTCATCACTTAGTGGTGGTTGACATTATACTGTCTTATCAGGAAAAGCTCTTGAAGGCAAGAGACAGTGGGGAGTCAGTCATTTACTAAACTGCTTGACCTCACTTCTCAGGGAAACCAAGGAGGTCCAGGAGTTCTGAGAGAAAATCTGAGGCTTTCCTTGTGGTTTTTTACACATAATGATTTTTTGTTGGAGGAGGACAAGGAAAGCCTTGTACTTTTGATGAGAAAGAAACTTTACAACCTATATCCAACATTTTCCTATTAGTGAATTCTGCAACTTCCAAGAAATAACTTTCTCACAAGAACATGGTGTTAAAGATGAATGTTGGTGTTGGAAGAGACCTGATTTAAATTCTGGTACTCTCTCCAAATTCTGCCCCTAACAGAGGTAACACCAGGCTAGAAAACATCATCAAACACCAGGCTAGATGTTGCTGCAAAGGTATTTTTTAGAGGTGATTAACATTTTAATCAGTAGACTTTAAAGAAAGCAGATTACCCTCCATAGTGTGGGTGGGCCTCACCAAATCAGTTGAAAGCCTTAAGAGAAAAGACTGAGGTCTGCTGGAGAGGAAGGAATTCTGCCTCTAGACTGCCTTCAGACTCCAGACTGCAACATCAACTCCTGCTGGAATTTGCATTCTGCTGACCTACCTTATAGATTTTGGACATGTTGAACCCCACAATTGTGTGAGACAATTCCTGAAAATCACTCAATCAGCCTTGCTCTGTCTCTCTCTGTCTCTGTCTCTGACTCTCTCTCCCTTTCTCTAGTTCTCCATCCTAACTGTTCTGTCTCTTCTGGAGAACACTGACAAATACAGAGACTAAAGAGCAAGAGAAATTATGATTATTTTATATATTTTATATGAAGTAAGAGACAGATTTATATCTTTTTTACTGTTGGTGAAGTGTGCAGAACAAGATGAATTACATCCAAGGAAGAGTGGATTCAAGGGTTTAAGAGCTATAACATACTTGACGTGTTTTGACTGAAAAAAGAAAAACACATAAAATGCCCTCCAAAAAACACTGTAGTAGTCAACACAAATGTGGCAGTGTAATGTCATACAAAGGACACAGAATTTGGGATCAGAAGGATGTGAGGTTTTTATGTGTGTTTGATCAAACTACATAACTTCTGAAAAAATAAAAAATAAAATGGTGTTAAACATACCTCAGGATTTTTATGAGATTTATGTAAAGTATTTCTGACCTACAGTTAACACTCCAAAAACTGTAGGTGCTGCAATTATTTTCCTGTCTTTATTACATGTATAATATTGATATTACCTTATAACTTTTCATATTAAATATTTAAATTAAAAACTATTAAATTTAATAGTTTTCATAACTATTAAAATGCCAGTAGGTGACATGGGCCAATAAGCACCATCATAATAGCATAGTTAGATATTAGAGTGGAAATTTCAAGATACTGAATATCTAATATTCAACCCATATGCTATGCCTTGGATACCTATTCTTATTTGATTCTCACCACAATGCTGTAAGGCATGTTTTTCAAAGAAGGAAAAGTAGAATCAGAGAAGTTAAAGAACTTTCTTAAGGACACACAGCTAATAAATGACAGAGCAGGAATTCTAGCCAAGGAGTGTCTGACTCCAAAGCCCAGATTTTTTGTTCCTTTCTGTACTACCACCAACTCGGAAGGCCAGTCATTAGCCCACACACAGGGACTACTTTGTACTGTTCATACTAGGCGGCCTGGTGCCTGCTGAGTGCCTGACCTGCTGCAGATGCACAGTACGTATCTGAATGCAGGAAGGAAGGGAAGAAGGAACTAGTTCTCCTTGAAGTCATTTTCTCCACACCTATGGCAATGAGCTGAGTATTTGTCATACTTGCCTTGATGGTAAATGAAACAGGTTCTTGCCACACTCTCCCATCCATAACAAAGCCTTGGTTTGTTCTATCTGTGGCCACAAAAGTGAAGCGGTCCAGCTGCGAGTCCCCTCCCAAGTGCCTGTAGGCCACGTTCCTGCTGTCCACATCCTGCTGGGTGAAGCCATGCTGAAGCAGCATGGTCCCGCGCACATAGAGCTGGCCATGCTGTGGGAACTGGGCCAAAAGGAAGGTGAGCTTCTCCACCGGAGTGTCGGGGTCCGTCAGCTGAAGGAGGTCAGCGGTGAGCAGGCCCGTGGCCCCTTCTGCCAGCCTCAAACCCTTGTTCCTGGTCACCGTGGGTAAGGCCCTGTCTCCAGTCTCCAGTGTGATCTCGAACACCCCGGGCTTGGTCTGCAGTCCGTTGCTGATGATAAATCTGGCAAAGAGAGGCAAGGTAGCCTTCAGCATGGATTCATGTGTCACCATCTACTGGAATGAAATGATAACAATACACACCTTTACTAAAGGACATGTGGTGTTGGGACTCAAATGGGAACACAAGGACAGATATTTTAGGACAGTGTTCTATCCATCGAACCAGTCACTATGTACCACACAAACTACCTGCCTTCTACACCATCTACGCACAAAGTATTTTCTCAGCAGCAGTGACAGTAGCCAGGGGTGGAGCAGGCTAAATAACTCTGCCACTATTTCTCAAGCTCATCACTGCTTAGTGTAGTTCCTTGCCCTGAGTAAGAATTTCACACCGACTATACCCACTGCATGAGTTTGAAGAGTACACTCATTTTTTGTATTTATAATGTTGCCATTGTGTTTTCTTAGAGGGTATTGAAAAAGTTAAAATAGAGTGGTTCTCTATTTGCTACCAGACCTCTGTATCAAAATGTGCTCCTGTGGACAGTTTTAAACCAGCTGTTTATAGTTTAGCACAAATTTAAGCCTTTTATGAAAATTACTATTAGTATTAATGTTGAATTAAAGACTTTGCACTCCATTAAAAGCATGTTACATATTGGGTGGAGAAGGGAAGGGGATCAGCAGCAAGAAGGTTAAATGGGAATCCAAGTCACTGTCAGGGGCTCCATCAGAGGCTGCCATTATGAGCACCTGATCTTCACTTTCCTCTCTGGAGATTCGATTCTGAAAGTGCCAGACCAGGTTGTAGAAGCTCAGCCTCAGGAAGCCACATTTCTCCACGAGTGCATGACCTATGTGAGGGCACCTAAGATATCTTATGGTCCAGACTGTCCATCTCAGACTCCTCCCTGCCCGATGATGAGGATCTAACCACACCAGAAATGGGCAGCCTGCCATCAGACAGATGGGAATGAGGGCAACCAGGCCAGGGACCATATAAGAGTAAGAAATATGTTTACCGAGGCCACTGTTCCCAGCTGGGACACCAGGGCAGCTGTCTGCGCTGGCCGAAAGCTAATAAACCAGTGGTGCAAAGGAAGCAATTTCTAAACACGACCTGATCAAACAGATCGTTTCACTTCCCCAAGAAACAATGCAAACTACGCCCAGGCGGAGAAACATTATCAGAGGGGAAGGCAGGGTAAATGGTCATGGTTGGCTGCCCAGTCAAAAGAAGCCTAGCAGAACAAGTGCAACAAGGCCAAGTTGTTCATGTCTGCAAAGGTTACCAGATGATCTTCCAAATGCTCCCCTTTTCCCTCAAAGAAACCTCCATAATATATTCTCAAGTTAAAACAACGGTGCCATTGCTATGATAACATCCATTCCAAGGATAAGAGGCTGGTGGTATTGAGCTAGTGGTCCCGTCTGTGTACCCGGTGTGTTTAATTTCCTTTATTATGCTCCTGTATGAAGAGATACAGCCAAGATGACCACTGTTCTCATGCGATCTGGGGAATGACTCTCAGATTTGTCTGGGGTGCCTGCCTGGTCTGATTTTACCATTACCGTGGTGCTTTCAAGCTTTCTGTATTCCCTGGCAATAGAGTTGGCTGAAGAATCTGCCATCTGTCATGGCATTTAAAAGATAAAAATGGAAATCATAAACAGAGCCAGTTCCTCAGAAAAAAAAAAAAAGTCCAGCCAGCATGTCAAAATGGAGGACATTAGCATGTTCTTTTAGTACCCGGCTGCCAGCAGCTGAAGTCAGCTTGCTAATCACTTGGTGTCATCTGTCCTAGGACACGCTGCCAAAGCTTTCTTCCAGGCCAGCAGCGCCAAACAATGCAGGGGAAATTTATGAGCCACAAAATATTTTTGTGGAAGGTAAAATCTGACCATTAAACTCCCCCATTTAATTAATGCTGCCGTATCTTACATTAAAAAGAGAAGGGGGACAAAATCCTCTGCCACAGAATTTCTCTCTTCCACCCTGCCAAATTCCTTGCCAGATTTAACAGCAAGCAACATAAATTTAGGTGATTAGATTGGTTGCATATATTTAATTTTTAAAAAGCACCATGATCACACTTCCATTAAAACAGGTTTTCAGCGTTGGTGTAACACCATTTGACAAACAGCACAGTGGTCCGTGATCGGGTTAGTAAAATGACAAGATTAAAACGAGGGTCTTCGGCAGATGCTAGGCTCCTCCATTATGAATATGTAAAACTGCTGGCCAAACACCAGAATGACACGTTGAGGAGGTTCCTTTGCACAAGTGCATATTCTCCACAAATTTTTGGTACAATGTTAAGAGCTCTTCAAAATGAGATCTTAGCCCAACTTCAGCTCTGACACTCAGTTCTGTTAATTTAGGCAACTTTCTTTGCCTCTTTGAACCTCAGTTTTTCATGCATAAAATGGTACCAAATCATGTCTCTCAAGGTGGTGGTATAAGGCTTAACGCAAATGACATACAAGGAAGGGTCTAGTACATTGCCTGGTACATTACAGTTATTCAAGCAATATCAGCTTTCCTTCATGCACATGAAAGGACTGGAGTAAATCAATGCTTTTCATGGTTGATTTTCTCCCTATAGACTGTTTCCTAATATTGAGTCATTCAAACATCACTGTTAAAATCTTTGACATATTCTTTCATTATGGCTTATACTGTCCTCTTCTGATACTGTATATTCTTTTACTGTACTCTTATTATTTGTTATTTGCTTTATGTCAAAATACAAATTTTTTACTTAAATAAATGAATTCAATGGAGATATTTTTATATTTATTGTATTTAAATAAATGTATTCAAAAGGAAACCTTTTAACCATTTTAAAAATCCTAAAAAATCATCATAAATACTATAAAAATAAATACAAGAAATCAATGTTTTTGATTCTAGCTAGATCTTGTTGCCCAGTGGCTTGGAACCTGAGGCCTATATTCTCTTTGCTAAAAAGAGGAAGCAGTTAATACTGAAGTGCTGTTAAGGACATATTCGCACCAGCCTGAGACTTCCTTCTTGAACCAATCAGAAGGACTTAAAGAACTGAAAGGGAGTTGTTTCTCACTCTTGGTTCCCTGTCATTTATTGCCTTCTTCCCGCACCAGTCCACATCATTTTGCATCTTTATGCCACTGGTGGCTGGTAACAAATCACTCACTTTGGGAAATAGAGCCACAGCCTTTTTGCTAAAAGAAAACCCTTCCTGGAAGCCTACTGTGCAAGACAAACTGAAAAACATGCCATCAAAACTACAAAACAAAACAAAGCTTTAATCAGTAAATTGGGGTGTGGGCCTCAGAGCCCTACCAACTCAGCTCCTCCAATTTCCTGTCTCTGGGGGGCCCCAAGAGGACTTCCATAAATCCTTCAAGCTCTTCAGAATGTTCTTGCAAAAATGGGCAGGCCCAGAGCAGTGATTGCTAGCTCAACGGCATCAGAACCACCTGGAGAGCTGTTAAAAATACAGATTCATGGGCCTGAGGCTGGATTTGCTATCACGGCCTCTCTGAAGTAAGGGCCAAGAATATTTGTAAATCTTCCAGAGTTCTCCTGAGGGTCTAGAAATTTAGAAATTCCTGGGATAGATGGTTTCAAAAATACCATTTTGTATGATTTTCTATGGAATTTAATTAGGACATTTTATTGTATCACCAATCCTCACATGCAGGGATTTTGTTTTCCATTCTCAGCTCTTCACCACCATCTTATTAATACCTATCCCTTATTTCTGAATATTTTTACACGTTCATTCATTGGCTTCTCCAGAAGGGCCACTGGTTCCCCCAATACAGTCATTAATGTCTTCAGCAGACTCTCCCGTGGACACTGACTGGGGGAAGCAGGGATGGATGGGAGCAAAAAGTTCCAGAAATGAGAGTAAAATGAAAATCCCCTGAACTGATGTAAGTGTGTTAAGGAAGATGCACCCAGCCTCCATCAGCAAATAGGAAAAAACAAGTAAAACCATTGCTCTTCTTTGGAACTTTCTTTCTCTTCCAAGATTAATTCTGGTGTTATCAAATTCAGAGGGAAGAGGGGGACCAAGGAAATAATCTAATAATGAATGATGACAACAATGACAGCAACAGTAATAATGGCAGGTAGCAGTTACTTCATTCTTCCTATGTGCCACATATTGTTATAAGTAGTCTATATGCATATGCTCACTTACACCTCCCAACACCCATGTCAGGCAGATGCTATGAGCATCAATCCTCTTCCCAGAGGAGGAAACAAGCACAGGAGGACGTGGGACTTGACTAAGGCCTCAGAGTTGTGAGCAACAGAGGCAGTGTGGGCCCCAAGCCTCTGTCTTCATAACTACACTATCCCACTTCACCGGCAGAAGACCCAGCATGAAGAGGAATCCCCACCTTATGTTTTGCTTAATGCCTAGCAATACTTAGACACTGAACTGTTATTAAGGCATTGATCAGCCAAATGATTATCCATTGATATTTGCTCATTAAGGACATTTGTCATAAGAAACAAAGAAGGTACTAGTTTGAACTTTCCTGGATTTTTTTTGTTTAGTAGTATCCAAATCATCTTTCCAAATTATCATTCCAAATGCTAAAGAGGCAAGCAAAATCATCTTTACTGACATTTGAGCAGTGTTTATCATAGCAGACATACTGGATTTAGATAGACAAAATGTACACTCTGGGATAGTAGTATCTGAACATGGTTGTATAAGTACACTGGAAAATTCATGGGAGTTCATTGACCAACACAGGAGTATGCTATCTTCATGTTAGAGCTCTTTTCATATAGAGCTCTTTTCAAGGTTGTATTCTTACCTGGTGGAAATTATAGTGGGAGCCAGAAGCCCTGCATATATGGCAAATAACCAATGCTGTCACGGCCTCCTTCCTTATTGGTAAAATTCAGGGTTGCACAGGTACCATGGTTCCCCCAAAAGCTGGTCCAAGATTTTTAGGTTCATATTCCAGCCCTTGGGATCTGCATGTGTCTATCAAGGACCTTGAGTTCAGCCAGCTTTAAGAACTGCTAAATGATGGATCCTCGAGAGTTTCTCTGGCTTTATGTGACTGGAAATAAATTTCAATATTTTATATGAATGTAGACTTTCATTAATGTTGTATCTTTGCCTGTTATTTGTTCTGATGATTTATTTGATACAGAATCCTTGAGCAGGTGCACAGCCCCCAATTATAACCCTGTTTCTATGGGGAAGTGTGACTCACTTTATGACAACATGATTTATGATTTAGTTACCGCGAACACATTGTGTCAAAAGGCAGTGTCTGCTTCTGCCAAATGTTTACTAAAAGTAAATACCTTTTCCTCATATAGGAAAAGATGCTCAGAATAAGGTAGATTACTACTCTTCTTAGCTGGGGTCCTTTGGTCTTCACACTCCTCCTCACAGAACAGCGTACATTTAGATTTGCTGATGTGTTTATTTTTAAACAGTGAGCCTAAATTGCTTGCCTTCCTGTGTCATTTTAATTGTGCCCCTTCACCTTTCATACTTCTAGGCAGTAGGATAGCATGCAAAAGGAATTAGAATAGAATAGAATTTGGAATAGAATACCAAATAGAATGCTATATCAGAGCTGGAAAAAGATTCATTTTTTTTCCCCACCTGTTCTCTTTTCAAGCATCAATCCAGGGAACTGTTCTGAAAATGCTCCTTGGGGGCTCACCTGAATGTGTCCCTGGGGACAGGTGCCTTGCTTTTATGTACATAGCACACTGTCTGTCCTGCTATGTCCATCTGGCTGAAGCTTGTAATGGGGACTCCAGGATAGCGGACATATTCAACCTGGCCGTGTCGCGGTGGGGAGGTGATGACATAGAGCAGCTCCTCAGGCTTGTCTGTTCCATCCATAGCAAGGAGAGTGGTGGTCGTCAAGAAGCCTCTGCCACCTTTCGGCACCACAAGGGGTTTTGTAAAGATAACAATATCACCTGCATGGCAGAGGAGGTTGTGGTCAAGAACCAAATTAAAAAATAATAATAAAATGTCCAAGGTAAAGGTAAAAAGCAAGGGCTGAACTATAGAAATCAAAACTTATATGCCATAGAATGTTTATATGATGAATAAAAGAATTAGGTGAAAGACAAGAGCAGATATTACACAGAAGGGGAAACACATATGGTCAATAAAGATACAAAAAGATGCTCAGTCTCTTTAATAATCATGGAAATACAAACCAGGATCACAACTGTCACCTTGTAACCTTTTGATTGGCAAAAATGTAGAAATCTGATGATACCAAGTGTTGAAGAGGATGTAGAATCTTGCTCATAATTCTGGTAGGAGTGTAAATTGGTACACAATTTAGCATTATTGTGTAAAGAGTTGAATATTCACATATGCCTTGACCCATTGAGTTCACTCAGCTGTGTACTGGAGAGAAACATGTGCCCCAGGAGACGTGTTCCAGAATGGCCATTGCAGCAGTGTTTGTAATTGGGAGCACTGGAGACCACCCAAAGGCTATTTCAAAAGGTAAGTGTATAAGCAAACTGTGCTCTCTTCAAACAGCTGAATATGATACAGTAGCAACATGAATGGACTACAGCTACTTGCCACACCACAGATGTAGCTTATTCACATCTGTTAGTTGGATGATCAAGTCCCAGAAAACCACATGCAAAAGTAAGAAACTTAACACAAACTCAGGGTGGTAGTTCTCTCTGGAGGACAGGAAGAGCACATAGGTAGATGTTTGTTTATGTTAATATTCCAGTCCTTGAACTATGGTGGTCGCACAGGTGTTTATTATGTATTTTTAAAAGAATGCATGAATGAGTGTATGAATGAGTGAAGCAAAAGTGGGCCACATGTGGATCAATGACCCAGTGTCTCACCAACTGAGGATTATAATCCAGTATTGCTCTCCTGAGGTTCATTTTAAAAAGGATAACTACTCTGCGCTTCTACTCTGTGTCAGGCCCAGGGCCCAGGATTCTTACATTTTCACATCAGCACTTTCACTTGCCAACAGTGTGTATTATCCTATCTCCCAGGTTACAAACGAGGAAGCTAAGGTGGAGAAATGCTAGCTAACTTGCTGGTGATTACACAGCTAATAAAAGGGGAGCTAGAATGCGTTCTCAAGCCATCTGACTCAAGAGCACAAACTTAAACACTATATTATTTTGCTTCCTCTCTCTAAATATGTAGGGACTAAAACCAACACTAAAAGGGTATACATCCAAAAGGGTGTGAAGTAAATGCCAAACCTTTTCTAAATTTAAAAGTACAAATGGTCAAAATTTTGAAAAGATATCCAGCCCCACGAGGAAACAAAAACTGAGAACAAAACATCAAGGAAATATAACTTTAGAACAGTGATTCTCAACAAGCAGTGATTTTTGTCACCCGGGGATATCTGGAAGTGTCTGGAGACATTTTTGGTTGTCAGAAGTGGGGGTTGCTACTGACTTCTAGTAAGTAGAGGCCAGAGATGCTACTAAATGTTGAACGATGCATAAGAAAGTCCATTACAACAGAGAATTATTATCCCGATAGGTCCACAGTGCCAAGACTGGGAAACCCTGTTCTCAACAATCAAATTCCTTTTTTGTTATCTATGCTTTTAACTCAGAATGCTATCCAACTTTAGTCTGATGTAGAACCAAAGACTATCCTACCTTTTAATCAAAACCTGAGCCCCTGATGGGGCTTGACTCAAGGGAGTGAAGATGAATATGTTAAGGAAGTACGAAGAATGGACAGAGCTGGGGAAACAAACATCAGCCACAAGAGGTTCCACCAAGACCGGAAGGTCCATCTGAGGGAAGGAAGAGCCTCTGGGTTTGCCTCAGCGCAAGGTTTCAGCAACACGACTGCACCGTAGGGCTTAGGGCGATGTCCTCCTAAACTCCGAAAACCCTCCACATCATCTCTGCACCTGTGCGCATCAGAAGACACCACACAGTTGCAAGGCCTGATGTTATTTATAATAGCTCCCAAGTGGAAATAATCAATATTAGGGTTATGGTTTAGTCTAATTAATTCAGTGTAGTTTTATTTAGAGATGAACAATTATGGTTATAAAGGTGTGCTGTAACCTAAGGAAATTCATGCTAGGTTAAAGAAAAAATACAACACTGTATATATAAAAAAAAAGTTCAAGAAGAAACAAAGGGAAGGAATTTGGAATTTCAGAAAATGTTCATAGGTTAATATAAACACTTGATATAAGCGTTCATAAATACTTCTAGAAAATAATCACATATCAGTTGTAGCAGAGACTGATGGGGTGCTCTCCAGGCTCATGTCCTTTTCTGGGCACCTCCGCCAGGTGCACCTTTAGAGTTTCTATTGCTCAGACTCTCTTAATGTGGCGTGTGACTGCCATTCAGTCACCAGGATGTGTAGAAGACAGGTACCCTAGTTTCAAGCCTTACCCAGGAACACTTCTAATTTTTCATCACATCTCACTTCCAAAGTGACTTTAGAGATGAAAGATACCCTAGCTAGAAACAATTTCCAGCTGGCTATGTGGAACAGAACTCTCATTAAGCCCAGAGAATGCACTGCACTTAGCCAATGAGAAGACAGCCCACCCTAATACATTAGTTGTCCAACCTAATATATTATTTGTATTACCTTTGGTCTGAATATACACTTATGATGAATATAGTCTTACTCTTGCTATATTGTGTGTCCTGTGAATCTAGCTTATCTGAGAGTCACTTATGAGATATCTTTAAAGAACATATTTTACAACAGGAAGCAACCAAATAAAATATATTATTTTACAGCCCCAAATAAACATCTCAAAATCAACAAAGCTGACTTAAATTTTTTTTTTATAATTCAGGACAATTATAATTCCAGCACACACATAAAATAAGATTTTTTACTGTACTTGACCATCTAACTTAGCTATGAGCTTCCTGGTAGCCAAGGCAAAAAGGAAGCATTCAGTTAATAAAGCATGTATTGAGGATCTAAGACTATGCTTGGCCCTGGGAATATATAGATTCTGGGACTATGTACATAAACGAGATATTATCTTACCTCACATATGCTATAAACAAAATTATGGGGTAGCCACAGGTAGGCATTAAGGGCTTATACTATCCATTTCTGAGCTTCCCTTCCAGTATTTTTTTTTGCCTCCTCCTTCCACCATTTATATGATGTTGAGTCCTGTTATACAAATGGGTCTGCTTAATTAATTCAAGAGAAGCTTATTATCTTATAGTATTCTCTCTTGTCCCTAAGGAGTTTGTATTAACATTTTCAAAGTGAAAAGAGCAACTGTCCAACATTTTCAATGACAAAGTTCTTTTTTATCATTTCTTATTTTAAAATGTATTTATTTTTATTTCCTTTTTTATTATTATATTGGAAATAGCTTTCCTTGGCAACTCCATTTTCAAGTAATAATTCGCTGCCTAAAGATAAAACTGGATTTATCACACTGATTCAGTACAGTTTTACTTAAAGGGAAAAGCCCATATGGGTAACATAACCTGTGCAGCCTCCTGTGGGCAAGACTGGATTTCCAGTAGGCTTTGGAACTACTGAAAGTGGAGAATGGGTTGGCTACTCTCACAAATCTCATAGACTCCAGGCAAAGTAGGTGAGGAGTTAAAGGAACAAATCATAAATGATAGGCTTTCAGGTATAAAAGGTAGAAGGAAAAAAAAGGAAACAAGAGAAGCAGGATGGGAGGGAAGGAAAGAGGGGAGAAGGAAGGAGTCAACCCTTGAGTGCTTACACCAGGTCATTTCTGGTTGGAAAGTTGATCCCAATTAACCTTGGCAAAACTGCTTTTACCTTTTCCCGTATCCTTGATGGTGATGTGACAGTCAAATACTGGTGACTTGTTGTCACCGTCCCAGAGGTAGAAGGCGAAGCTGTCTTGGTCCTGGGAGTCCACTGCCCCAGTATGTGTGTATCTCAGCAAGTTCAGATCCACTTCCTCCTGAGTGCATTTCATGCCAGGGTAGAGAGGGACCCAGTCCCTCCCTATCTGAAAAGTGCCAGAATTAGTCAGCTGCCCATGGCTCATTTGTTTTTTTCCAAGCTGTGTTAATGGACGTGTTCCATATCCCCTAAAAATCTCCAGTACAAATGGTATTTCAGGGAAACTCCGGATTCAATTTTATGCCATTTAACCTTACATTTTTCCTTTCAAAGAAATATATTAAAACAATGTAAGACTTTAAAAAAAAAACGAGCTCCAACCAAAGGATTTTTGACAAAGTCATGTGGTAATTCAGCAGCAGTGCTATTTCCAAGGTATTTATCACAAGCAATCGTAGCTGATTAAATATTCCAATTAATGAGAGCAGGTGGGTAACTGAGCTTACGGAATTGCTTCTTTAAAAATTAAATGTGTTTCATTTGGCTTTTCCTTTTTTTCCAGTTTATATCATTCTAATCAAACCTATCTATTCAAACTGGTTTGCCACTGGGCTTATCCAAAGTAGTGAAAACAAAAATAAAAGAGATGTATTTACTCCCCATACACTTTTCAGCCTTAGCAAAACCCAAAGAAAATTATCAAGACCTTAATACTCCCTACATTTATATAATGAGTCAGCAAAAAAAAAAACCCTGTAGATATTATATATTATTTTTTTTTAGAATCTTCTAAATACAAGCTAGCATCAGTTAGGCATATATTCTGTACAGTACTAAGTGCTGAAATTGTGGCATTTTCAATGAAAAGAGTTCTTATACTGAGTGTGGGGGCTGATAACAGAGAGTATTAGAAAATATGATAATAATAAACCTATATCTGATTAAGATTTCTATTGTTATTCTCTTAAGATATATAGCTTTCCCTAAGAACAGCTTGTAAAAGTCATTTGACATAATCCAAGAAAAATTTCATCTTAAAAATTTACTACACAATATTCTCTTTTTTGAGACTACCTTTCCCTGTCTGATTTAAGAGACTAAAATAGTAATTTAAATCATTCATTTTTTATTTCCCTTGACACATTATTCACAGACTTCCAGTTCCTGGCAAAAATGCTTTGCCCTCCTCTCCCTTCTGTGTGTTACCACTTCCTTTAGGTCATCCTATTTGAAAAAGTTTCCTCCCCTTTAATAATTCTTGCCCATCTGATGTTTGTACACAGTTATTTCTGTCCCAGTGCTCACTGGGTGAAAGTTAATTATTTTGTAATAATTAAGCTCATTGTTTATTTCCATCATTAGATCTGTTTGCAAGTTTAATTTTTAAAGGAGATTCTCCTCAGGTTCTAAAGTGGGCAACCTGCAATTCTATTTAACTTGTTTCCTTTGTAATCGTCATCCAGAAAGTAAATACAGAAGATATCTTTTGCTGTCCCTCATCTCCATCTAATTCCCCAGTTGCTCTCCCAAACTCAAGCTTTGACTTGACGAAAGCATTTGCAAACCCCAGAAGAGGAAGAAAATAAGAGTCAGAATCAAGGAGGGGAAAACTAAGGAAAGTCAACAAGAAAACAAGAACCCTTGAGAAAGTCTGGGAGGCATGAAGACCTGGTCTCTGGTCTTAGAGAGACTTGGGGTACACCTAAGGAACTGGGGCAGAACTATGTGGTGACATACTGGGAACCTGAGCCCATCTGGATTTTCACATACCCAAAACACTTCTGTTTCCATGCCACCCAAATGTGTGAGCTCTCACTGCACTTCTGCTTCATTACTCCCTGAAATGAAATCAGGACACAGCTGTACCTCAATTTAAATCAGTGATTGCTCTTCACTCTGATTCTCTATGGTGCCTACAGTCTAAGACAATCAAACTGTTTCACACAGAATGAATCCTTGCTGCTTTTCTAGGACTGTGTCTACATTACATTAAAAGTTAAACATTCAGTCAAATAATCACACTGGGGATGGTGGGTCATTGTTGCTAGCCTTAATCTGCCATTCAAATAAACATTTTGATGGATTACTCAAGTGACTGATCTATAATTTGTGCTGGGCTAATTCTCAGGCATCATGCACACAATATGAATCAGACTGGTGAGCAAGACTTGTTAAAAGACTATCTTTTCTCCATTGCATCTCCTCTGCTTCTTTGTCAGACATCAATTGTCTATATTTAAGAGGGTTAGTTTCTGAGTTCTCCATTACATTCCATTGATCTATTTGTCTGTTCTTTCACCAAACCCACACTGTCTGGATTACTGTAGCTTAATCAAGTCTAAAAGTCAGGTACTATCAGTCCTTCAACTTTTTCCCCATCAGTATGGTGCTGGTTATTTTGCCTCCATAGAAACTTTAGAATCAGCTTGTTGATATCCACTGCTCTAAAAATGGAGGTTTTCCTTTTTTTAATTTGGGCTTATTAAATGAAGATGAATGAAGTTATTTCAAAGGATGCCTGATTCTCACTAGAACCTAGACAACTTACTTTACCCCAGTAATTCCCTCCCCCAAATTATAGGTACAACCTCACTGGGGGAGGGAATAATGAAAGCACCTTAATATTGGTTGAATTTATCCTGAGTAAGAAAACTTAGAATAGTGTGAGTTCACTCCAAACTAGGAAAATGAATTTTCTACTTCTGGGCAAAATATAACTATGAGGAAATAAACTCAGTGATAGAAATCCACGTATTGAGAAAGTTTACACCTGTTATATTAGTCTTGGAAAATAAACATCAAAAGGCTACTAACCTTAAGCTGAAGTTGCCCATTTTGAGGAAGCTTTTCAAATAAATAGTGAATCTTCTCCCTGGGTGAGTCTTCATCTATGGCTGAAAGAACAGCACTAGAAATAATACGAGTCTCACCCATATTCACTGTAATTTCAGCCGCCCTGAGAAAAGGAAAATGTCCAGGTTGATACGAAAATAGAAGATATCACTTTAGCAGGGGACGTTCATAATGACCATTACAGTTCCCAATATTCAATAACTAGGGAAGGAGACTCAGTATCCCAAGAATTAAAAAGATGAGTCAGTCTTGTAAAACAGATGTTCATTTCACTTTGCACTTGAAAGTATAAGACAATTAGCAATAGTGAACACAGTATGAAGTAACTACATACTTCTAATTATTTATATGGATAGAACTTACCATTTTATGTTACAACTTATTTTATTCAATGTTTTTGTTTCAAAGATTTCATTTAATAAAACAGCTCCAGGTAGTCAGTGGGCCGGGTATTACCATCCTGATTTTACAGACAGAATTTACTTAGAGATTAAATGACTTACCCACAGGTGTCTGGTACCTGTCATGAAATGCAGTTACGAGTTGGTGACATTTAGGTAATCCGTGGCCTTCTACGTTACTCTCCCTCTCCCTGGTAATGGGCTGGGTGGCTGGTGTTCTCTTCACAGCAATTAATCATTTCCAAGGGCTGCAGTGCCAGGTCTGCTCCCAGCACTCTAAAGGAAGGGCTGGGACAGCCCTCTACTAGACGCTGCTGCCAAGGTTTCGCAGGTCCGTTATGGTGGGGCTGCTAAGCCAATGTGGCCATTTTCCCCAGTCTCACCAAAGTGAGCAAGCATTTCTTCTCACCTGTGTTTCTAGCTCCCGGTTTTGGTCATCACCTATGGCCTAACTCTATCCAACTTGACAGCTTTGTTTCTGAGAAAAACTCAGAAGTTCCCTTGGGATTTAGATATAGGACATTTAAGTAGCACCAACTGGCACTCAACGGCCTTCCACTCCTCAGCTGAGAAGCCAGAGCCCAAAGATCTCAGTTCTAACCTCTTCTACTGGGTGAGTTTCTTGCCTACCCAGGACTGACACCTTCCCTGGCAGAAGGAGGTGACTTTTGCCCACCTCCTTACTTGAGAATATTAATCCCATTATTCTCAAAAGTGAATGATTCAGTTGGGTGGGGGCTTATGGATATTAGTGGTGTCATTAACAGAAGCAGATTGATCAAAATAGGAAGTCAGTATGATGACAAAGATAAGGACCTTGGTAGGAAGAAAGTGTCAGAATTACATGTTGGAGAGGCTAAGAGAGAAGAAAGTGTGTCATAGTCTGGGTTAGCCTGAAAGACACCCTGGGACAAGGACTGGGGTGCCTGTAATTTATTTGGGAGGTGCTGCCAGGAAGCAAGAGAGAGGGGTAAGCAGTGAGACCAGGAAGGAGGAAAAGGCAACAAAGGGTGTTTTTACTGCTTTCGGGCTCAATGCTAGCAGGATTGGAAGAACCATATAAAATATGCCTGAGATTGGGCTTCTGAAGGTGGAGAGCCTGGGATATTTATTTTATCCACCAGCTGCCATAGGTTGAAGGCTGGTCTCAGAATGTTTTCTGCTGGGCTGAATGAGTCACTGCTCCTTCAAAGAAAGCCTGGAGGCACAAAAGTGGAGAGACCCCTATGGGCACTTGAGGTGGGACACTGACAGTGTGCATGGTCTGGTCTACCACAAACACCGCCACAGTCAGAGGAGGGCTGAGGGGATGTGACCCAGGCAAGCAAAAGCACCTACTACAGCATCTAAAAGGATTGGGAAACAAATGATGTCTACTGCTTTAACAGGGCCCAGCAAGATGAAAAGAGCCATTAGATTTGGTGGGAAAGCCAAGGGTAACTTGTAAAGGGGCAGCTTTGGTCAAGTGCAGGAGGTTGGAGACAGTGGACAGAAATGGACAAAGCAAGCACAAGCTAATCTGCCAAATAGTTTGACACTGAAATGAGTGAGGGACTGGGTCATCTTTTTAGTCTGAGAACAAAGATACCTGCTTGCAATAATGATAATAGCTAATATTCACTATGTACTAGCCACTCTTTTGAGCATTTTTACATATTTTAAATCATTTAATCCTTGCAACAATCCCCTGAAGAGGATACTGGTATTATTCCCATTTACAAAGTGGTTAACAAAGAGGTAGAGAGAGGTTAAGTGACATATTCAAGGTCACACCACTGCTAAGTGGCTGAACTAAGGCAGGCTGGCTCCAGTATTTGCTCTCTTAGTCTCTAATGATATCCCTGGGTCTTGTCCACAGAAGGAATAAAAAGGGAGAGACTGAAGATGCAGGAAGGGAAAAATAATAGAATGAATTCTGGGAGAAGACAAGAGGTATATCAAGACTTCAAAGCTCAGATTTTATGGAGACTCTTCCAGGAATTATTTTCAGGTCGCTTACTTGCTCAGCGTGGGCTTCTCATCATTAACTGGGGTGACCTCTACTGAAATGGTTTTAAGTATCTTATGTTTCCCATCTGACAACTGGATTTTAAAGTCATCAACAAGGCTCTCTGTGCCATCATGCGCATATGTCAAACTCATTCCTGGAAGAAGAGAACAAAAAGAAAAAGTATATCTTTCTTAGGACTAAGCCATTCCAAAACATGTCACAGATCATCTGTTTTAACTTCCAAGGCACTGGTATTAGCAAGAGTTCATTAATCAGTGTAAGAGGGTGAAATTAAACTCTTGTATGCAGTTAAGAGTGTGTTCTTCATTCATTAAAAATTCCTACTTATTGCAGGATACAAAATTAATACACAGAAATCTGTGGCTTTCCTATACACTAATGATGAACTAATAGAAAGAGAAATCAGGAAAACAATTCCATTCACAATGGCATCAAAAAGAATAAAATACCTAGGAATAAACCTAACCAAGGAAGTGAAAGACGTATACCCTGAAAACTACAGGACACTCTTAAGAGAAATTAAAGAAGACACTAACAAATGGAAACTCATCCCATGCTCTTGGCTAGGAAGAATTAATATAGTCAAAATGGCCATCCTGCCCAAAGCAGTATACAGATTCAATGCAATCCCTATCAAATTACCAACAGCATTATTCAATGAACCTGAAAAAATAGTTCAAAAATTCACATGGAACCACCAAAGACCCTGAACAGCCAAAGCAATCCTGAGAAGGAAGAATAAAGTGCGGGGGATCTCACTTCCCAACTACAAGCTCTACTACAAAGCCACAGTAATCAAGACAATTAGGCCCTGGCACAAAAACAAAGCCACAGACCAGTGGAACAGAATAGAGACTCCAGACATTAACCCAAACATATATGGTCAATTAATATATGATAAGGGAGCCATGGACATACAGTGGGGAAAAGACAGCCTCTTCAACAGTTGGTGATGGCAAAACTGGACAGCTACATGTAAGAGAATGAAACTGGACCATTGTCTAACCCCATACACATAAATAAATTCAGAATGGATCAAAGACCTGAATGTAAGTCATAAAACCATAAAACTCTTAGAAAAAAACATAGACAGAAATCTCTTGGACATAAACACGAGCAACTTCTTCATGAACATATCTCCCTGGGCAAGGGAAACAAAAGCAAAAATGAACAAGTGGGACTATATCAAGCTGAAAAGCTTCTGTAAAGCAAAGAACACCATCAATAGACAAAAAGGTATCCTACAGTATGGGAGAATATACTCATAAATGACAGATCCAATAAAGGGTTGGCATCCGAAATATATAGAGAGCTCACGCACCTCAACAAACAAAAAGCAAATAATCCAATTAAAAAATGGGCAGAGGAGCTGAACAGACAGTTCTCCAAAGAAGAAATTCAGATGGCCAACAGGCACATGAAAAGATGCTCCACATTGCTTGTCATCAGAGAAATGCAAATTAAAACCACAATGAGATATCACCTCACACCAGTTAGGATGGCCAACATCCAAAAGACAAACAACAACAAATGTTGGCGAGTTTGTGGAGAAAGGAGAACCCTCCTACACTGCTGGTGGGAATGTAAATTAGTTCAACCATTGTGGAAAGCAGTATGGAGGTTCCTCAAAAAGCTCAAAATAGAAATACCATTTGACCCAGGAATTCCACTTCTAGGAATTTACCCAAAGAATGCAGGAGCCCAGTTTGAAAAAGACAGATGCACCCCTATGTGTTTATCACAGCACTATTTATAATAGTCAAGAACTGGAAGCAACCTAAGTGTCCATCAGTAGATGAATGGATAAAGAAGATGTGGTACATATACACAATGGAATATTATTCAGCCATAAGAAGAAAACAAATCCTACCATTTGCAACAACATGAATGGAGCTAGAGGGTATTATGCTCAGTGAAATAAGCCAGGTAGAGAAAGACAAGTACCAAATGATTTCACTCATATGTGGAGTATAACAACAAAGAAAAACTGAAAGAACAAAACAGCAGCAGAATCACAGAACCCAAGAATGGACTAACAGTTACCAAAGGGAAAGGGACTGGGGAGAATGGGTGGGAAGGGAGGGACAAGGGCGGGGAAAAAGAAAGGGGGTGTTATGATTAGCATGTACAATGTAGAGGGGGGCATGGGGCAGGCTGTACAACACAGAGAAGACAAGTAGTGATTCTACAGCATCTTACTATGTTGATGGACAGTAACTGTAATGGAGTTTGTGGGGGGCACTTGATGAAGGAGGGAGCCTAGTAAACATAATGTTCTTCATGTAATTGTAGATCAATGATACCAAAAAAAAAATCCTACTTAAACCCTTTGGTATTTGATAAGGGTCTTATTTAAAATCAGTGAGGAAAGGATATATTATTTAATAAACTGCATGAGAACAATAGTTTTGGTGTCTCTAAAGGAAATAGAAAATTAGTTCATTACTTGAGGAGGATTAAGTTAGATCCTTACCTCAAGCCAACAACCAAAATACATTTTAGATGAATCAAAATCAAATATAAAATTATTTTTTTAAAACCTACATAGCAATCATATGGAAATGCAAGAGACCCAGAATAGCCAAAGCAGACTTGAAAAAGAATAGAATATGTTAAGAACTCTTATGACTCAATAATAAAACACAATTAAACCAAATACAAAATGGATAAAAGATTTGAGCAGACATTTTTTTCAAATTAGATACAAGATATACAAATATCCACTAAACCCAACAAAAATAAAATAGAGGTGAAAATCCAGCCTCTGAGAATATCACCAAAGTATTAATTCATGTGAATAATATTTATTGTTTCTTCAAATTATTGTACACTGCAAACTTCACACAATATGCTTGTAATACTTTTTAACCAAATAATAACCAACAAATGTTATTTTTAAGAAACTGAATTTCTTGAAAGTAAAATTTGAATTATCATTCCTTTTTTACTTTGTCTTAAACTTGAAAAAAACCCATAACAATTTATTATATTGTTTCCTACACGTGGTTATTGATTTGGTAATATTATCATTTATGCTCCAGAATTCATTTATTTGCAATTGATATACTGAGAAATACATGAAGAGTTTCTCAAATTCAAACATGAGGTGATGTTGTGCAACTTCTGCAAAATAAACTTTGGGGGCAGAATGCTTATACTCTAATTGGGGATAGGAAACATTAAAGGACAGTAGCAAAAATATTGAATAAATGCTAACGTGATGCAAACACAGAGAAGAAATGGTTTGGAGTATTTGGGTGGGCCCCAGGGGAGAGGTCAATAATAAATTGGTTGTGAAGGTACAGTGTTGGCTGACCCAGCAAAGGAGGGGAAGGACCCTGCAGGTTGGAGGAACGCAGTACATGGAGGCAGGAAGGAGAGTTGAAAGCAGGCAGTGATTCTAGAACCATGAACTTGTCTCAGATATTTAGAAGTATTTTTGCAAAGAGTAAATAAAAAGTAATTCAGGCTGCTATTCCAATGTGTGATTTCTTTAAAGAGAGAATTATGCGTTATTATATGTGGTTCTGTATTTGTTTCAAATGTGGAAATTTTGGCAGACAAATCTCTTCAAATTTAGTTCCCTGGTGTCAATATATTTAAAAAGGAATGTTTGTCACAACATCAAAAATTTCAGCTAAAATATCAAAAATCACAAATATATATACATATATATTTTTTCATGCTCTAAAAGTAAATCTCTAGCTGGGGCTTCATGCCCTACACTAATCCAGAGTCCAGAAACAATCCTTACAGGATAAATGAATAAAGGAGGTGAATGCTATTTCTTCACTTCCTATTTCTGTGATTCATTATTTTCTTTTGTGGGTTAAGTTATTAAATCAACAACAACAAATGAATAGAAGTGAAACATGATATACCATTCTTGAGAAGGTCCATGGAAAAGTTGTGAACAAGTTCATGCTTCTGGCCAAGGCTGGCTGGCTGCTTATACTGAGGAAAGCCTTTGCTAAATACCCCATTGATGAGGATACCATGGCGTGGTTTGTGAGCGATGCTGAGTAGCAGAGGGTCCTTGGGGACATCCAGGTCAACAGCACTGATGACGGAAGAATCCAGTTCTTTCCTCTGGCCCTCACATACCTGATGAAAACAAGTTAGAAAAGTCAGCTGCATGCAATGAACATCTGTGTGAAAGAGACTTGTCTTTTTTCTGAAAAATTGCTCAAAATAAATAATTTTAAGATATTCTATTGCAAATTTTCCATGGAATCTGTATATAATGAGTTCTAAAAAGAACTCAGAAGAAAAACTAAATCTATTTTCTCACATTTTTCCCAAAGATTTCAAAGCACTTTCTTCATTTCCATGAAGGACAAAGGATATATATACACATATGATCAGACATATATATAATATATATACATATATATAATATACACATATATACATCATATATACAAATATAAAGGATAAATATATATAATTCAAAGGTAGGAAAAAGTAACAAATAGGATGCTTGCTTTCTGGAAGTCACAGAGTTCATTGTAAAACTGTGGAGACCCCTCACTTTCAGATCCTAATCTATTATTTTAACCCTTGTACTTTGCTGTTTTCACAATTTTTGTGCTTGTTTAAGAAATGACAGAAATATCTACAGTACACACTGAGGATATTTGTGTTGTTAATTTTTGCCATTGCAGTGAAAATTTCTTTTTTTCAACTGCAATCAACAACAATCAAGAAGGATGCTCTGGAAGCGTAATAGTATGTATGTTACATTTGGTCCCTCATCCCTTTCCAATCCTCACACCTTTAATTTTCCTGAACTAACCCACAGCCCAAATCAGGTTTCCTAATTCTTTAAGCACAAGAAGAACTGAATGTTTTTCATATCAGGCAGTACCTAGTCATTTAGAACTTGACGTGGTATTTAGCTGTCTTGATTTTCTTTTTTCTCACAGCAAAAACAGAACAAGAAATATTTCTTTCTCCTATTTTGAAATACAGCAAGATCTAAATAATAAGAGGCTATAAATTTAACAGATGCTTATCTAGACTCTGCAGTGTCACTGTACTACACGCTGTGGAGAATGTGAGTATTCTAAAGAATCAAAGTTAGATGAGACTGGGAAGGCCTGTCCACTAATAATTATAAAGCAAGGAAGAAAATATTTAGTGCTATTAAATATGGATAAACAAAAAGTAAAAAGGGTGGGAGACCAGGAATATCTTAAGGATACGTGTGACTGAGATTTGTGAAAATGCCTTTTCTCTTCAGCCTCTCTTGGTAACTTTGAAGAGAGCCTTCCTGCAGCCACTCTTCACTGGATTTGCATGAAGGGGAGTCACTTGCTGTATCTAATTCTTGACTAAAATTATACTAGTTTTCTGTATCTGGCCCTTTTTACTAAGGACTAAGATGGTATCATGATTTAATGCACAGTGATATGTTATGGCATCATCTGTGATGGTGACTTGCCTTTTTCTCCAAGAACTTTATTAAAGCAATCTAAAAAAATCTTCTAATTATCCTTATTCAGAAGGCTTGGGACTCCCAGACTCACTGTATGGCAACCTTTCTCATTTATAAAATGGAAAATGAGTTCAAAAGATAACTGGAGATTTTGCTGGAAAAATATGGATTATTTTTTACACACTTGTTTTATTGAGATTATAAAGTCTAGATCAATATATACAAAATGCAGAAACTCTGTAGTAGACATGTTTGAAATAAATTATGATATCTGACACTAAAACCTCAAATTTTTTTTTTTGCAAGTTGCAGTACAACTTGATGGAAGCTTGACCATCTACAAAATAAATCCTTTTTTTTTTTTACAAGGAAGCAAATAAATATGACTGCTTTTAAAAAATCACTTGAACCTTAAAGCTAGCTCTGCCAATAACACATGGGGCTCCATATTTGTTACTCTGCAACAGCTTCTCTAAGGAAAACACAAGTAAAAAGCATAATTACTTTCAGAGAAGAGCAAGGGACAATTTCCCAGTGGTCTAATTATTTCAGAAACCCCAAAATGCTAGGCAGATACAAGACAATAGAGGTAGGTATAGAAGGAATCTTTTACAGATTTTTTTCTTCTCTCTCATAATTACTGAAGTGCTCTCCAGAGAAACCCATGTGCCAACGGAAAAGGAAAGGCAGGAGCTGGCTTTTAAATCTCATCCTGAAATGGCTCACATATACTGTTAAAATTCAGTACAAAATTAAAATCAAATATAGACTTTTGCATTTAGAATTTGATAATTTGTAGTGAAAAACAAGGCAAGATGATGGTTTTGAAATAGATCATTATCTGCTCTGGTATCAGAAAAAAGATGACAAGTATATGTGCTTGACCGTTCTGAACATCATAGCTGCCCCTTCAGGAAGATTTGATGCACTTTTTGCAGGTGAGGAAACAAGGATAGACAGAAATAACTTACCCAGGATCCTACAATTACTGAACAGCAACACCCAGTCCCTTTATCCCAAAGCCTGTGCTCATCCATTTAATCAGGATTTTCTATACATATATCTGAATTAAATAATCATTTATAAAAAATAGGATTGTTTCAAAATAATTACATGCTGACATGAAAAGATTTCCAGTATACATAATTAGTTTTTTATAAGATTATCCTTGGTTTGTAATTTAAAACATACAGAAAAATTGCATGTATATATATATATACACACACATACACACACACATATCACTGGCACATGCACAAAGTATTTTTGTGGAATTAATTACTAAGAACAATTGATGGGAAGTGACTATGGTAGAGGCTTCTGAAGGAGACTTTCATATTTCAATGTGTATGTTTCTCAATATTCTAACTTCTTTAACCACATACATTTATTAAATTTTAAAAAGACAACAGATATTAAATGAGGGGTGATATTATGGGCCATTTAATTATGTGTCTGAATTTTTAAATAAAACCAACAAGTATCATATAAAATATTTAAAAACCTGCATATGTATAAAAAGAATGGCCAAAATTAATTTTTTCATTTCATATATCCATATTATATAGATTTCATTCAGTTCATTTGGCAATATTAAAAAGATGCCTATAATTTGCAAATAAGAGTCCTTTCCCTTATAACATTGGTTAAGAGGACATGGTTAAAAGGCACACAGCAGGCTGCCTGGGTGCAAATCCCCTATGTGCCATTTACTACCAAGCTCTGTGATCTTGGACCGCTAAGTTAACTTCTTTAAGCCTCATTTTTTCAGTTACTAAATGGCAATAATAATATCATTGCCCTAAAAGCCTATTGAGAGGATTCAATATGAGGACACAAAGGTCATGAAATAGAACACACAACCTAGTAAGTATTCCATCTTATACATATGCAACCATAATTGCATCTATGCCATTCTATATGTTAGCAATTATTATTATCATTATCATTAGAATAATATTTTTCCAGTGATTACATTACATAACATAGATTATAGCCCTCCCTGCCCCTCATCAACTTAATGTGTGAAGTGCACTTGAACCAATGTGAAGTGCGCTACATGAAAACAGAAAACGATAAAAGAGAAATTGAAAATTCTTATATTTTTCTTACAGTAATATTCTGCACTACAAAGTCAGGAGCTTCATCATTTGTAGGGTTGATTATAATGTAAAATGGTATCTCCAAGGAGCGTTGCTTCCCATCTGTGACATACACCGTGAACTGGTCAGCTGTTGGTTCCATCCTCAGATGCCTGGACTGCACATAGTTAATGTGTAAAGCCTTCATGTCTTTCCACTGAAACGAAGCTAGAGCACACCAAGATGGAGCAGATAAATAAGAAAAACATTTTCTTCCAAGCTACTGGTCCTTAATCCTTAATCCAACAGCCTATTTCTCAGCAAAGCAAAGAAGAGATCATGGCAGTTGATCTAAAAATCAGCTATCAGGGACTGGTAAAATGACTGTCAACCATCAATGTAAAAACAGATTCTGTAAATCCTAAGAAAGGATTAAAATTTGCCTGGAGAACAGAAGGGAGACAACTGCTAACCAGGATGGGTAGGGACTTCATGCCCTTTCTTTCCGTACTTGCAGTGAATGTCACAGAGATCTTCCCTTGATTAAAACCACTGCTCCTGTATGAATAGCTATTCTCATGCTTGAATAAGAGAGAGACCATCTCCTTCCTATAAAGGTAAAACAAGAGTCAGCCAATTATCTGCCTACTTGATGTACTTATCCAGCAACTGTTTGGATTGAGCAGAACTAGCTGACCTGCTGTTTTGGCTTTTTGACATTACCTTAAATCAAAAGAGCAAAATTTTGTAGGCTATGCATTTGTAGGAGAAACTGTATACCTTTAATGCAGTAAATCTTTTTCCCTCAGCTTTCCTGAAACATAATTGACATGTAAGATGGTTTAAGTTTAAAGTATACAATGGGATGATTTGGCATAAGCATGTATTGCTAAATATTAACCACAATCAGGTTACTTAATAAATCATTCACCTCACAGAATTACAATTTTGCTGTGTTCTCATGGTGAGAACATTAAAGCTCTACTCTGAAAGCAACTCTGAAATATAAAATACAGTCTTGTTAACTATAGTCACCATGCTGTACCTTAGATGCTAAGAAGTTATTCATTTTGTAACTGAAATTCTGTACCCTTCAACCAACATCTCCCCTACCCCTCAGCACCTACCAAACCACTATTCTATTCCCCTTGTGTCTATGAGTTCAAGCTTTAGGTTCCACATATAAACAAGACCATAACAGCATTTGTCCTTTTCACTTAGCATACTGCCCTACAGGTCCAGCCAGATTGTGACAAATAATACTTTCCTTCTTTCTCATGGCTGAATAATATTCTATTGTGTATATATACAACATTCTTTTCATCTATTCATCCATCAATGGACACCTAGGTTGTTTCTATATATTCACATATGCTTCCCATATGTGAATAACGCTGTAGTGAACAGGGGAGCACAGATACTTCTTTGATATCCTATTTAGGATTGTTAGATTTTGAAGTATTGATTAAATCCCCTTACTCATTATTGGTCTGTTCAGATTTTCTATTTATTTATGATTAAGACTTAGTAGGTTTTATGGTTCTAGGAATTTATCCATTTCTTCTAGGTTGTCCAATTCACTGGCATATAATTTTTCATGGTATTCTCCTATAATCCTTTGTATATTTGTGGTATCAGTAACACCTCTTCTTTCATTTCAAATTTTATTTAATTGAATCCTCTCTTTTTCTCTTGCTGAGGTTAGCTAAAGGTTTGCCAACTTTACCATTTAAAAAATCAGTTTTACTGTTCTTTTCTATTATTTCTCTATTCTCTATGTCTTTATTTCTGCTCTGATCTTTCTTATCTCCTTCCTTCTGCTAACTTTGGGTTAATCTGTTCTTGCTTTTCTAGTTCCTTGAAGCATAAAGTTAGATTGTTTACTTGAGATCATTGGTTTTTGCGGGGGTTTTTTGTAGGCATTTATTACTACAAAATTCCCTCTTAACACTGCTTTTGCTGCATACCACATGCTTTGATATGGTATGTTTCTATTTTCCTTTGTTTCAAGATTTTTTAATGTCTTTTTTCCAGTTTTATTGAGAAATAATTGACACAGATTACTGTGTAAGTTTAAGGCATACAGCATGCTGGTTTGATTTATATATATTATGAAATGATTATCCCAATAGTTTCAGCTAACATCTAATCTTCTCATACAGATACAATAAAATTAAGGAAAAAAGAAAAAAATTTCCTTGTGATCAGAACTCTAAGGATTCTTTTTTGATTTCATCTTTGACCCATTGGTTGTTCATGAGTGTATTGTTTAATACCACATATTTGTGAATTTTCTAGTTTTCCTCGTATTGTTAATTTTAATTTCATACCATTGTGGTCAGAAAAGATACTTGGTATGATATCAATATTTTAAATGTGCTAAGACCCATCATAGGATCTATCCTGGAGAATGTTTCATGTGTCCTTGTTAATACACATTCTGCTTTTGATGGACAAAATGTACTGTTTATTTCTGTTGGGTTCATTTTGTCTAATGTATAGTTCAAGTCCCAAGTTTCCTTATTGATTTTCTATCCAGATGATCTATCCATTGTTGAAAATGGGGTACTGAAGTAGACATTACTCCCCTCAGAGCTATTAGCATTTGCTCAGCATATTTAGGTGCTCCAATGTTGTATGTGTGTAAGTTTACAATTGTTATATATTCTTAATGAATGGTTCCTTTATCATATATAATGACCTTCTTTGTCTCTTGTTATAGTTTTGACAGAAAGTCTATTTTGTCTTTTATAAGTAGAGCTACCCTGCTCTCTTTTGGTTTCCATGGACAGAGAATACCTTCTTCTATCCCTTCATTTTGAGCCTATGTGTGTCCTTGAAGGTGAAGTGAGCCTCTTGTAGGCAGCATATAGTTGGATCTTTTGTTTTTTCAGTCCATTCAGTCATTCTATTAATACCATTTATCTTTAATCCAGCTTCCCTCATATTTAAAATAGGTATGCCCCAAAAGATGCTTAAAGAATTATCTACTTCTAAATTGTTGTCCTTGGACAATTTTGGTTTTGGTGTCTGTTTTTGTTTTGTTGTTTTGTTTTTGTCTGAAATACAAGAGCTATTTAAGTATCTGAGACACATTTGGGTCTTGAAACTAAGTTCACCAACTTCAACATTCCAGGCTTTCTCTCTGTTATACTCATGGTATGTATTTCCTAATTTTGGGGGGAAGTATATATTAAATATATTAAAAGTGCTAAAATATTGTGATAATGAGACTGGTGAGCTCCCACCAGATTTATTGTATCACAGTATTCTGTTGCTATGAGAGCCTTTTAAAAACATTGTTTCTTCAATATTTGTTCTTTTATGTTTCATAAGTGAAATTTCATTATTTTGAAATAAACTTGCACAGGGAGACCTTAAAAATAAAAAATTATAGTAAAAAGCAATAATATTCAGAAGTCTCAGCTATAACAATAACAAATCCATCAATGTATATAGTACTTTGAACATTTTTGATGTCCTTACCCAGTTATTAAGCATGATCTGGCCAATCAGATCCATAAACATAGGCAAGTTATCATGAAACCATGTCTACGTTTATGCTTACCTATGCTTATTCCCATATTGCTCTTTTCAAAACCTGCAGAAGGGAGTGTGTTTTCAAGGTAGCCAAACTGGGGAGAAGAAACCAAAATAAATTCCAAGTCATCAGACGCAGTGTCAGGATCAGTGGCTGATAAATGGTTAATGGTAAGGGCTGCTGAGAAACCCTCATCTACAACGAACATGGTACCTGCATACAAATAATAACACAATTATCAGTTAGCATGAAATCCTCTCATCAGAATAGTGAGGACAAAAGAGAGATTGAAATTCTAATTCAGAGAAGCTTCCCATATGCAAATATACTTCCATGGGAGGCGTTCATTTCCTTTGGCATAATTCTCCTAACAGTGAAAATATTCAGGGGTAATGGGTGGAATTTAATTTGACTTATGGAATTATATTTTTTTCTTGTACAAGCAAGCCAGACAATAATGGAAAGACAGCAGAAATACTAAATGCTCCGGTACAGGCCTTTAGTCATTCTCAAGGAACTCTGATTTCCCTTGTGTCTCTGAGAAACGACAAATGGAAATAAGAATTGCCAAACTGTTTTAATGATAAGCCACTAAATGTAGTTTATGTACTCTTCAAGATCAGTTGTTACCTCTGTTCGTCAGAGCGCTAATTGCCAGCAAGCTATTATGAATTGCTCATAACAAACATTTTTTTCGTGCCTGGTGCTTAATTATTCTGCAGGGACAATGCTTCCTTTCCAGAACATTGCTTGGGAAATAGTTTGCAAATTACAAAAGCATTCATACATATGCTTGCATTTTTTCTGACAGACAGAACATATACATAATGCCTATAAAAAGATGACTTTCTAAAAAGCAAATAAGGTTAAATGTATATAAATGGTCTCTCTGGTTTTCTCATTTTGTTCTACTAGAAATTATTATGGATAAAATAAATTACTCTTTCTCCAGCAGTAATATGATATTTTCCCATGTGAAATAAAACCAGAATATTTGAGTATTCCAATGTTGTTCTCAACCTCCCCCCCCACACACAGTTGCATTCTGTCTGATAAAGAATAATCTTAAATTTTTAAAAAGTAAATTCTTTTGCCCTTGTCTTTTATATATCTGGGGTCTCCCATAAATTTGTGCTGAGGCAATTACTGGAGGCAGTTCTGTATGTTGGTTTTCTATTTTAACTATAAGTAAAGTGCATTATTTTACTGATCACAGATGTGACAGTAGACAAGATAATATTCACCTATCACGATTGAAGGTAATTGGTTGTCTACTGGATGTACTGTGATGTTGAGATCATATACTGGAAAGGACTCATGAAGAGGAACAGATGGATGAGGTCCACTGTAGCAACAGCCATTCACAGGAGGGCCAACTTCTCCATCCGAAACCACCAATGTAATGGTGTCAAAACAAGGCACCAGGCCAATCTCACCACCTGGAAGACACAACTATACCTGAAACCTGACTTTTTAAAAACACAGAATCCCAAGATGAAAGATGGCAAGAAAAAGAACTTATGTGACTAAAATGTAAAATTCAATTTTTTTCACTATGAAATCAGATAGTCATGAAAATAATACAAAAATGCGTGCCCATCTCTTGCCTCTGGTGAAATCCTTGCCAGCATCTATCACCACATGAAAGGGGCAAACAGGACTAACAAGGATCTGACAGTGCACAATGAACAAGAGACAAAAAGCTTGACTAGTGATGGCTTCATTCTTCCCTCCTAGGTCTCCAGTGTTAGGACCAACCTCAGGGAGAGCAGAAGGGACCCCCATTCTTTTGGTAATTGTCTTTTCATTTGCACTAACCACCTTAAATCAGCAACCATCAACCACACAGCACTTTTGAGTAACAGAAGCTGGAAAGGTGAAATACAAATTTAATCCACATTTTTGTCATTTGTTTCAATATTTTCCTCACTATAAATAGCCAAGATATTAACAAAATAGCAACAGCATGGGGAGAATAGTGCCATTTATTTTTATTTTCATTTTACTCTTCAGGGCTACCTCTCTAGGACTCAAAATGGCCCCAAGATAGGCAGTAAGAGGAAGAAAGAAGAAAATGTCAAGACTGGACAGCTTATTGGTGAGCAGGACAATCCGCTCCCGGGTGACTAACTACCAGCACTGAGGGAGGAATACTAGCCACCTGGGGGAAAGTTCTGCAGATGGGCTGTTAGTAATTCTCATGCATCACTTTGAAAGTACCAGGAGGGAAGCAATTATGTTTAAGGTTCTGATGAGACTAGGGCACAAAAGACCTGATGAAACTAGGGCACAAAAGACCAGGGATGGCATCTCTTTTCACAGGACGCATTGGTCACATCTACAGATTTGTGCTTGTCATTATTCCACCTGTTTCAAAACTAAAGGAAAACCTAGAGATGATATTGTTGAGCAACCCAGTGATGAAAAGATGAAAAAAACTGGGCTTTTGAAGAAAAGTAGAGTTTAAGTTGAGAGACTTCAAATTAAACAATCAGCCTTCAACTTTAGGAAAAATAAAAATAAGATGCCTCTCATCTATTCACATGTATAAAAAAACAAATTGGCATAAAGCTTATTTATTCATCATTCACGAACTATGTGTGTAATGCCTACTATGTGACAATTAGTGTTCTAGGTGGCCCAGCAGAGAAAAGGGCAGACATTTTGAAAACATCGAAAGACAGTTCAAATGAATGTCAAATGTCAAAAGGCCTACTATGTGTCAGGAGCTGACAGAGTCTAATGGTACAGAAAGAAAAGCAATTTGGTTAGAATACCACAGACGTGTGTATGTATTAAGTGGAATATATGAAATTGCCACTATTAAGCTGTCTTTACCTGTTAAATGGAAAATGTTTTCTGTCTGAATATTTACAAGGTGTGAGGGTTAAGGACAATGAGAATATTGGTTGACAGTGACATGGCGGCAGGGCACACGTGCCAGATCAAGGCAGAGAAGTCTTTCCAGAGGGCTTTGCTGGCTCTGTGCTGAACATTAAAAGATGAGTAGTTTACCAGACAAATAAGGTAAAGAATTAGGAGGTAGGAGAGAGGACCTGCAGGGAGAAGGAATCAGGAGAGAAATGGAAAAATCATCCCAGGATGAGAAGACATATTGAAAAAAAAGCAAATACTGTAGATTCAGCAACTATAATTTCAATATAATGGACACAGGATACATTTACAAAAAGAGCTGGGAAAGCAGGCTGAGCATTAAGCTGTGAGAAAGGCTACAATATGGGCAGAAGAATCCTTTACTTTGAAATGGAATACAGCCCAAGGACACGATTTATACTTAAAACTGTTAACCATAGTGTTATTTAAAGAAACATTTTGAATGACTTCATGTTTAATGTTGGGAGAATAGCAATTAAGTAACACACTTTTTTATCATAAAATATTATAAATTATTGAAACCTATGTTTACAATAACTTCAAAGCACTTAAAACTATTTTAATAAACATTTTAGGTGATAATCTAAATGAAAAAAGGGATCTAAAAAACTGTACATACAACATGATTGCAACTACATTAAAAGTTGTGATTAGAAAAGATAAGACAAAATACCAGAAAACTGAGACACTAACAGTGATTATCTTTCTGAGTGGTAAATAAGGTGATATTTTTCAAAACCTTTTTATATTTTTCCACACTTTCCAAGTTTTCTGCCATAAATATATATTATTTTCACAATCACAGAAAGCCAAAAAACAATGGCAACAAAATTATGCTCAGGTGACCTTTATAATCAACATATGGGACAAGATCGGGGCCACTGAAATATTAGATCTTATAGTACTGTGGTTCTCACTACTCATCCTAGCATAGTGCTCAGTAACCACCAACTGAGTGATTGAATGAACATTACAAGAAAATGTAAACTTCAAATAACAAAACATCTCTGGAATACAGTGTTTCTGTTACTTTAGTAACATAACAAAAAGCCATCTGTCTGAAGTAATTTGCCCCAGTGCACCACTAGGTCATATGAAAAAAAAAATTCATTAACACTCTCTCACACGGCCATCCCACTAGAAGAGATTTATCAGCAAGAATACCTGTTGTTTAGCACCTGGAACAAGACACTAGAAGAGAAGACATATTCATCTCACCCGTAATTTTTCTAGGCTGCGTGAGGCTGCCACATATGTTAAAATTATGTAAAACAGAACAATCACTAGTCCAAGGCCCCTTTCCTGCCAATCTATTTGAGGTCTACTGGGGGAATTACAAAGCAGCACCTAGTCGTGAACCCTGGAGAGACAGCAACACTTGGACTATGCTCTGCAGGCCAGGGAAAGACCCAATGAAGCTTTTCCTAAGATTAAACACAGAGAAGACTAGGAAATACCATTAAGAAAAGAAGATGTCTGGACAGTGATTAAAATGTGCCATACTAGTTGGCCATGAGATAGCTGGAATCCTAATAAATCAATGTTTTCCAAAGTTCATGCAAAATATTATTTTGAAATGTTTTCTCCCATTTCCAAATGAATCCTTAGCTATTTCAATTCCCCCCTCCACAAATTGTCAGCCCTGCTCACTGTTAGTATTCCCTGGATTCAGATATGTCCTATTTCCTGCACTGCTCATCTGGCTTTCCATACCCAGCCATGCTTCTCAGGGGCTGACAGCTTAGGGAGGGGCATTCATGAGTCAACAGGACATGGTAACTGAGCGTGAGCAAAGGCAGTCAGAGGGAACACGCCCAGCCCCTCAGCAGATGTGTGAGGTGTGACGATGGGCTGGCACACACAGGTGCCACACTGCCCTCCATGCTCTGACTGGGCTTGTCTATTCGTTTGAATCAAAAGTCCTTCACAGCAGGGTCTGGATTACACTCCTTTGCAGCCCAGGTGCCTAGCCTGAGCCTGGCAGATATCAGAGGCTGAATTAATATTTTCTTTATTTGAATATTTTATGTGGAGAACAAATGCCACTTGGTTAACAATAACAATGTGATGCCAGAAATGTAAGCACAATGCTAAAAAAATAAGCATTTACTGTTTCTCAAATCTGTGTCCACCCCTGTTGTGCACTATAGGCAAGTCACACAAATTATAAGATGTCCTTGCTTTTCAGGAACTCAAAAGGCAGAGCATTTACTTCTTAGGAGCTGGCTAGTGATCAGTAAACTCTTAAAATTAATAGAATAACTATCTTAGGGAGCTTAATTCAGGCACTTCTGTTATGATTTATGAATCCAGAAGCTGTGATAGTCAAACATTAAGCCTTCTTCAAACTGACAAAAAGAATATAAGGACACGGCGGGGGGGGAACTGAAAGTCTATACGGAAGCATCAGGAGCAGAGCAGCCTTAACAGGTGCTCCTTCTCCATTCTTTGAATTCATTATATTACTAAAATCAGAAATACTTCTAAATATGGTGATTGTACTTGAAAAATGAGATACAGGCCACGGATGTTGCTCTTCTTTTTCAGCAACAGCACTAAGCCTGTTAGGTTATCAGGGTCCACAGCGAGGAGTGGGGTCAAGGCTCTGTCCCGGCACCTGCATCCCTCGCTCAGATCAGTCACAGTGCCGTCACCTACCTGTGTGTTTGTATGTCACAGCCCCTGAGAGCACATCTCCCTGAGAGAACTGAGGCACTGTGATGCCAGCTCTCTTTATTGCGCCGTGCCGAGGTCCTCGCGCAATCACAAACAGCAGTGTCGCGTCCTCACTGTCCCCATCAGTAGCAAAAAGATATTCAGAGGTGACAACCACCTCTCCGCCCTCTGAGCAGTGCATCATGGGGATGAGGCCAGCCTTCAGGACTGGTGGCTCATCATTTACAGGGAATACCTAAGTACAGAAAACAAAACAAAACAAAACACATTTTCAAGAAAAAGAAAGCAATGACAAATTATCCAGCTGGGAACCCATACCTCATAGCTGGAATGACGCATTTTCAGTCTTCCAGACACAGGAAAAACAGCCATGGAATTTGGCCAAGCAGTCTATATCTTTTAACTTTCCCCATATGAACCATCTTGTAGGAAATGCCCCACATGAGAGACATTTTAGGTAGGAATGGGAGAGTATGGTTATGGTTGGGGACGCAAAGCTCTCATTTGTTTCTAAACGGACAAAATATAAATGTAATATAAAGCATTCTTCACCAAAGCTCCTATTCGCCTTCGTTAAATTCACACATACTCTGGAGGAAATTCAGGCCTTGTGGTCTGATGCATTTACATTTTCCACATCAAAGTTATTTATATTTTCAATTACATGGTGATTATAAAGCTTTCCTCTACCCTCAACTTCCTGCCACCCAGGAAGTTTCTCTGGACTTAAAATAAGCGGCAGCTGCATTTTAAACACTTTGAGTCAAATCCGAAATTCCATAATATCAATGCCAGGTTGCAACTTGACAAACGTTTTTCTCCCACTGTTATGATAATAAAGCTCCAAGGAAAACTGGGGATGGGGTGGGTGGGTGGGTGGGACGCAACATCGGATCACACTAGATCTTTGAATTTAAAAAGATGACATAGAAATTTGAAACAGCACAACCTGTAAATTGGAATGAAGGATATTTCTTCTCTCAGTTCACTATTGCTACTGGGTGTGCATTCCAAGTTTATCCATCAAGTCTCAACTCCCCATTTCCTTCCCCCTCACTTCCGCCAATGAGATCTTTCTAAATGTGGCTTCTATCATGTCACTGCCCTGTGGGAACCTTCAGAGTCTCCCCAGCATTTCTCCTAGGTATCTCTGGCCTCATCTCATATGATGAGGTGCCTCCTGCTCCATTTTCACTCCAAGGCACTGCGTTCCTCACATCCCAGGTCTTGGCCCCATCTCTGCACCTGCTCTCTGCCCCTTGTTCAGTATGCTCTGCCCCCACTCTTTGTTTGGCGACCTCCTCCTTCAGGTTACAAGTAGATTCCTTGGGGAAAACTTCCTTTGAAAACTCAGGCTCAGCTCACTCAGGTACTTCTTTTGTTTGTTTATTTATTCTCTTTTTGCACCCCACTTATCTGTAGAACCTATTCACATTTTAACTTATTATTTGTGGTAATCTGTTTAATGCCTGCCTTCATCCCTTGCCTGCAAGCTCTAAAAGAACAGGGATGTTATTTATCTTGTTTATCACCAGACCCTAAGCATCTAGCATAGGACCTGAAAGATAGACAACACTTATTAAATATTTATGGAATAAATGAATGAATGAATGTAACTATATATATATGACCTGGCTACTTAAACACACTAACAGCTCTACAACAAATATACATGAAATTATGTTGACATTTTCCTTTAATGGGTAGAGGGCTGAGGTGATGGACACCCAGGCTTATTTATTCAATCAAAGGTTAAAAAGAAAGTATGTCATATTCTTCTATTTTCCATTGACTTATTAGGAAACAATATCTTTGTTCTAGTCCTCCGAGTGAATTCATTAAAGACCCTCTTTATTATTTTTTCTTGACTCTATCTGATAAAGACCCCCAATACATTCATGATGACCGTCTTGTAGCAGTTCACAAAATAGTTTCAGCTTTCAAATGGATAATACAGACCAAAGGCAACAGAACTAAAAAAACAACCTGGATAAAAAATGTATTCCTCCTGGATTAAAAAAAAAATCACATACAATTGCCTACACTTCTAATTGGCTTTTTCAAAGACCATGCCCTTCTGTCTAAAAAGTAACAATGAACAGATTGTTTTTCCCAATGCACCACTTATTGTCATTAATATGAAGATGGTCATGGATAGAAGATAGGATTGAAATTTGCTTTTGAGGGAAAATAAAAGTAACTCAGAAAAGCTTTCTCTATATGTAAAAGTCTGCCAATAAAGGAAATTTTCCTTTTGGAAGCTGAAACAACATATTGTTCTTCATCTAGACCTCAAGGCCATCATGAGGATTAGGTGGGAAAAATGGAAAAATGGGGATCTGCACTGCGGCTGGCGCAGATAAGTACTCAGGAACGTGAGCAAGCATGGCACTTGTAATCACCTGGTATTTACAGTTGTGGCACTAGCTCATCAAGGAGCATGAGAAGTCTTGCTCCAGACCTTCCTTTGTCACTAACCATAATATCTGCAAATCTGGTGACTTATGCTTATACACTTAGGTGGTCACTCAACAGAGAATCTCGGGGATCACCACCAGGCCTTGGGGAATGTACTCAACTTTTATGTGCAGATTTTTTCATCTGTCAAAGAGGAAAGATAACCGTCTCAAAGAGACTCTAGGCCAGGGTGTACAGTACAGGAATTCATAAAGGGGCACCACCCACATACAGACATGGCCTCTTCCTCTTCCTCACAACAGGGAAAGCCCGTTGATGGTAGCCTAACCTGCCCAGCTGCTAAATAAACATTTCCAAGTGTTACAGCACAAAAATATTAGAAATAATTTATACATGGAACCAACTGCTGTTTAAATTAAGTATTTGGGTTTGAGGTCAGAGTAGTTTTGTCTTCAAACAGACTGGAAAGAGAAAACAGTATGTCCATTTTACCACCATAGCACTGCTCTCCATTGCCTGTCCCGAGACACTCAAAGATATAAGCAGGCACCTGCATGCTTTGGAGTCCATGTGCTTCAAATTCTATCAGAGATTCTAAGAAGTGTCCAACCCCAATGTGTCATTTCTATAAGAACCAGGGAGGAAATGCTCTACCCACCTCAACATGTAGAGTAAATGCTGCTGAATTTGTGCCATCTGTGACCTCCAAGAGCATGTCATCCTGAAGTACCTCGGATCCATCATGTTGATACCTATGAGGATGATATTTGTTACTAACTTCTCAAGGCCACTATGAGAGTACACTGAGATACTTGACACAAGGGCTCTTCCATGGCTTTGACCATGTGTTCAGTAAATAAATATAAAAAAAAAACACAAAATAGTTACGCAATCAAATATTTAATTATTCAAGTATTCCTGAATATAAAATGATTCTACCCTGGAAAACTATATTATATACATCATAATTTGTCCCCAAATCAAAAAGCAGCCCTTTAAGTTGACACTGTGCCAATGGGAACCAGTTCGTGTAACTCCACCTACTTATGGAAAACATGAGTTGGGGCCATGGAGACACAGAGCCTGAGCAGTAGACAGGCAAATGTGGGACACTCTGTGGATTCTGATGCTTCTCCCTTCTCCCCAACTTTCAAGGCCAATCCTTCTGTTTGCACTCTGGATCTCTTCAGCTCTTCTCTAAAACTTTGATCCATGGTTTCTTTATTGCCCCTCTTAATATTCATGGTAATTAACTTTTATCATTCAAATACCCATAACATTATTCCCACCTGTCCAACAAGCCCAAAGAAAAGAAAAAGTCTGGAGGTTAACTGAAAGTTTGTCATTTCTAATTTTCAACGGACCCTTGAAAGTATTAAGTGGCATGCTGGTACCCCTAAAAGAATGAAGCTCCTTTCTTCTACTCTGTCTCACAATTGATCCAGATGGAAATCAAAGCATGTAAAGAAAAAAAGCCAGGAAATGTTCTAACCTAACTTTTAAGGCATGGAGCTCTCCCCAGGAAAATGTGCACCCTGCATTTAGAGGAAATCCATTCAGCTCCACCCGTCCATGCTGAGGCAGTCTCTGCACGGAGAGGTTGATATTGTCTAGTTCAGTATCAACATCAGAAACCAGAATATGCTTTGTGCTGATGATGCATTGGCCTCCCTCAGCCACTCTCAGGGGGTTGGTAAGTACCTAAAAAGAAGGAAGGAAACATTCAGAGCCTTGTTCCATGTGGTATCCCTAAAGACAGAACTCACTGAACTAACAGAAAACTCCAAATACCATCTTTACACATTAATTACTTTTTTAAGAATATGGTAAAGGTGATCAGTTCATAGTTGAACATCTTGGCTGAAAAATGATTTTTAGTAAATGTTTCCATTTTAAGCATTGGTGCATACAAAGTGCATTTCATTTATCTACAACCCTGCAGAGAAGCAGTGACAAATTGGTTCCTGTCAGTGGTGTTAAACTGAGAAAATAAAAATAATGACATGAATGTTGTTGCTTGGCACATATATATCTTAGTCTTGACACATCTTAACCTATGAAATAAAATATATGTCAGAATAGAGAGCCCGGATATAAACCCACACGTATATCACCAATTAATATACGATAAAGGAGCCATGGATATACAATGCGGAAATGACAGCCTCTTCAACAGCTGGTGTTGGCAAAACTGGACAGCTACATGTAAGAGAATGAAACTGGATTACTGTCTAAGTCCATACACAAAAATAAACTCAAAATGGATCAAAGACCTGGATGTCAGTCATGAAACCATAAAACTCACAGGAGAAAACATAGGCAAAAATCTCTTGAATATAAACATGAGCAATTTTTTCCTAAATACATCTTCTCAGGCAAAGGAAACAAAAGCAATAATGAACAAATGGGACTACATCAAACTAAAAAGCATCTGTACAGCAAAAGGACACCAACAGCAGAACAAAAAGGCACCCTACAGTATGGGGGAATATATTCATAAATGACATATCCGATAAGGGGTTCACATCCAAAATATATAAAGAGTTCACATGCCTCAACACCCAAAAAGCAAATAACCCAATTAAAAAATGGGTGGAGGATATAAACAGACAGTTCTCCAAAGAAGAGATTCAGATGGCCAACAGGCACATGAAAAGATGCTCTACCTCACTAATAATTAGGGAAATGCAAATTAAAACCACAATGAGATATCATCTCACACCAGTTAGGATGGCCAGCATCAAAAAGACGAGGAACAACAAATGCTGGTGAGGATGCAGAGAAAGGGGAACCCTCCTATACTGCTGGTGGGAATGTAAATTAGTTCAACCATTGTGGAAAGCAATACGGAGATTCTTCAAAAAACTCAAAATAGAAATACCATATGACCCAGGAATTCCACTCCTAGGACTTTACCCAAAGAATGCAGGAGCCCAATTTCAAAAAGACATATGCACCTCTATGTTTATTGCAGCACTATTTACAATAGCCAAGAAATGGAAGCAACCTAAGTGTCCATCCATAGAGGAATGGACAAAGAAGATGTATTACACATACACAATGGATTATTCAGCCATAAGAAGAAAACAAATCCTGCCATTTGCAACAACATGGATGGAGCTAGAGGGTATTATGCTCAGTGAAATAAGCCAGGTGGAGAAAGACAAGTACCAAATGATTTCACTCATTTGTGGAGCATAACAACAAAACAAAACTGAAGGAACAAAACAGCAACAAACTCCAAGAAGAGATAGTGGTTACCAAAGGGAAGGGTCGGGCTGGGGGGAGAGAGAAGGGGATTGAAGGGCATTTTGATTGGCACACATGGTGTGCGAGGGTCACGGGGAAGACAGTATAGCATGGAGAAGATAAGTAGGGATTCTGTGACATCTTACTATGCTGATGGACAGTGATTGCATGGGGGAGACTTGATAATATGGGCAAATGTTGAAATCACAATGTTGCTCATGTGAAAACTTTATAAGATTATACATCAATGATACCTTAATTTTAAAAAATTCAAGAAAAAGAAATAAAACCTATATCAAATTCCCCTAGAGAAAAAAAAATTCATCTTTTTTTCATCATAAAAATTCTTTTGAGATTTGGGAAATTAATCAGAGTTTCTAAGAGTAAGCTGTAGAGTATTTTAGAGATAGAAGTAGAGCTGAGAAATCAAAGATTGGAAATTGAACATTCCATAGGAAATATATTTATTCAAACATTAGGCTTAAAATATTAAAGCCATAAAGATAATTTTCTATAATAGAAAAACCCACTGCTCAACTGACTAATAACTTTCATGGAAGTAATAACCAGTTAGAAGGGCTCGGGGCATTTTATCACCATGGGAGCAGCAGTAAGTGTTCCACAGTGAGGTCTAGAAAACAGCCACATATAATCTTGGAGATTTATAAGGCACATAAGCCTCATAAATACCCTAAGACCCTGCCGCAGGCAAATCTGTCAACTTTTTTAACCTATAATTTCCCTGGATTTATATTACCACATAGAAGCCAAAGCAAGCAGAACAGTTGGGGTACAAAGTCATGGGCTGTGAAGTCCAATCACAGAGAGTCTAGGGTGAGTGTCCTGCCAGTGTGAGAACAAGGTGTCTCCCAGCAAGCGGCTACTCTCCTCAGAGCAGCTGCGGCTCCAGAAAGGAGAACAGTCCTGCGGAAAGAGCTGGTGACCGGGTTGCGGGAGGCCACAAGGAATGGAAAGTGAGCAAGGGGGAGTCCCAGCCTCCACTCTGAGCCCTGCTCTGTCCCCCTGCCCACCAGGGAGCCCTGCCCCAAGACCACCCCCTGGACCCTGGAAAGGATGGGACCAACCACCCCGAGACAGCGGCCTCTGTTCTTTAATAATCTACTTACACCAGCAAAGGAAAACGTAAAACAAGAGCCTTTTCTCCTTACACTCGCTCTCCCACAATTCTTACCAAGGTCTCACTCTCATTTTCCCAAGCCTACATTTTCACTGTTTGCAGGAGAATGAAATAAAGGACACTCTTACTTTAAAAGGAGTATTATTATTTAAAAGGCATTTTTATTTAAACAGGACCTCTGAAATAAGGTCTGTTTGTCAACCTCATTTTTTCTGGAGTTACAACAGTCAATATCCTAAGATGCTAATGTTTCCAGGAATCTACCTTGTTATTTAGTTGATTTTAAAACATGTACGCATTTAAGAACAACTTCCAAAAAATGAAAGCTCAAGGCTAATTTGCCCCCACTCATTAAACATTCAATATTCAGTCCCTACTGGAACCCAGTATTTAGATTTCTGGGACTCCAGTTTTGCATGGTGTCAAGATTCCCGGGTGGTCACCCTGGCTCAGCCATCTGTGGGTATTCACAGCAGGGAACCACTCCTGAGACTGGTTTCACTGAAGCTACTCATCTAATTTTATTTCAAATATTCTCACTTCTCAAAGTTATTATTTTGTTTGTCGCCTACACTGCAGAAAAAAGGCCACTACGCCACTTCAGCCCCGCATCCTTATAACTGTTCCGTCTCCCTTCAAATGCTCTTCTGTGTGAGCTCTTCAGCTCATCTTCTACCAAAAACTACAAGCTCAGAGGCCTGAGGGGGCAGGCCCATGGGGTAAATGAGTGTGCCAAGCTGGCGCAGGACCTTGGGGACTGGAGAGGATGCCCTGAGCAACTGGGAAAGGTGGACTCAGTGTTGCTAGTGTTCCCAAATTTTCAAAACAAGCCAGAAATCCAGACTCAGTGTGAAACCTCCTGATGTTTAAATGTTGGCAACTCATTATTTAAAAATATTTAGAGCCATCAGAACAGTTATGTGGGTTGGATAAGACCTCAGGCCCCCCAACATGGAGGAGGCATAGATGTGGTGAGGAGTGAGCAGGAAGGGAATACCAGGGCTTTGCTCACTACAATGCAGGGAGGTACTTGGGAAGGTGACCTCTTTCTTCAGGAACAGACATGTGCAGTTCTAGTCCCCTCTGGTTCCTAATGAATGGCTAATCCCACTTTGTGCTCTTGAGGAAAAAATGAGCCCAGAAATAGCCACACTAAGTCTAGCACTGAGATGGGGTGTGGCAAGTATGAAACAAACTCTCAGTATGAATCTCAGCCTTGCAAATAAGAAGCACAAAGTGGCATCGCATTTGTACTTCAGTTCTAATGGGAGACCCAAGTGCCTTAGAGCCTACATAAACACCGGGGAATGGGATGGGGCAGGATGGAAGGGCCCATTTTAATTCATTTGGAAAATTAAAGAGCTTATTTAGAGTACAGAGCAGCATAGCTGACCTGTGGTGAAAGCAAGTAAGTCCCTCTGGTTGCTAAGAGACCCATGACTTAATCCCCTTCCCTGATCAACACGTGAAACTCAGCATAAAGGAAAGGAAAGGAAAGGAGATTTTGATAAAGCTTTGAAACTAATGCCAAAGTCAGCATCTGGGAAATCTCACCTTTTACACTGAAAGTTCCATGGGAGGTGAAGGACTCCCCTCCCCATGCTTTTTTTGTCCTACACTATAGCTGGAAAAGAAAATATTTCTTAAAAATACCCTAAAGAAAAGATAGTATTGCCAATAAGCCTTAAAGTCTGCCCTTTCTTTCCTTAGCCCTTCTCTCCTTGCCATCCTTCACATCCAGTACTGTACATACCTCAGGAACTTGATTGTCCACTGGAAAGATTGTGATGTTAAAGCAGATCCCGTGCAAAGTGCCACCATGCTGGTTTCTGACGGAAAATGTAAACTGTACATGTCGCTTATGGGGGCCTATATCCTGCATGGGTGGCATGTAGGCCACTTTCATATAGTTCACAGCATCCTGCAAAGCAAACCAAGATGGACACATAGGTGCCAATTTGCAAGGATCAGGGACTTCCAGAGACCTAGGTCTAAGGCAGCTGTCCTGTTCATCAAGATCCAGCACTGTAAATGCCACCATCATCTATTTGAAGATTCCAAAAAGCTCTGCTTCACAAATCACACTTTCTAAAAACAGGAGGGAAAAGACCAAAGAAATTAAGTAAATACATAAAGTGCTTGAAGCCAGTCAATTGTATAAAAGATGGGAAACTTGGATTTCAACCCAGCTCCACCAGGAAGCAGCCATGCCGTATTGGTCAAGTGACTTACACTTGCTAGGCCCCTGCTGCCTTATCTGTAAAATGAGCAAAATAATAAAATAGTGATACTTAGCACATAGGGTTGACATGTACATTTACAGCCTCTAACTACAGTGAGATTCAGGATGATTAGCCCTAACTTGGCAGCTGCTGCTTTTCACCATTATTGTGACCCCATGGGGTCCTCAGAGGAGAGTCCCCAGGACTAGAAGGAGGGTTGATGAAGGATTTTGGAGGGTATCATAGGTTGAATTGTGACCTCCCCCTCAAAAAAAGTATGTTACAGTCCTAGCCGCTAATACCTCAGACTGTGATCTTATCTGGGAAGAGGGTGGTTGCAGATATAATTAAAGTGAGGTCGCACCAGGGGGGAAGGTGGGTCCTTAAACAAATATAATTTGTGTCTTTATGAAAAGGGAGACACGTACAGGGAGAAGATCACCATGGGGTGACAGAGGCAGAGACCAGAGTGGTGATTTACCAGCTGAGGAATGTCAAATATTGCCAGCAGGCCTCTGGAAGCTAGGAAGAAAGAAGCAAGGAAGGATTTCCTGCAGGGCTTCAGAGGAGAGTGGCCCTACTGACATCTTGATTTCAGACATGTAGCCTCTAGAACTGAGACAATAGATTTCTATTGTTTTAAGCCACCCAGTTTGTGGACAAGACAGCAGCCCTAGAAACTAACACAGTAGAATAGGGGGTGGACTGAATATGGTGGAATCAAAACAAATATACCAGGTCCCCAAATCAGCCCTGCTGCTGGCACAACAATGCAAAAGGCTGTGTTGAATTATAATAACAAGAGTTTGAAATCATATCCGGCTTCATCAAAGCATTTTCCAAGATATGTCAATGCTTATTGGAAATGTGTAAGTGTTTGATGCTCACAAGAGATGTCAAAGGCCCACATTCTCCAGGGTAACACCACAAGTGCCACACCTTCTCAGAAGACACTCCCATCAGGTGTGCCAACACTTCAGTATAGCGTATACGCAGGTCATACCTGTGTGAATGACCGCAATCCCGGGGCTGCAGGATTTTTGGTTAGCTTTGGTATGCTGTCCACCATGAATAATTTCCCAGCATCCAAGTGTCTAAAGAGAAACAGGAGAATACATCAGCCTAATTTTCCAGGTAAGAAAAATTAAGTCAAAAAGCCCACAGCCAAATCTTCTAAAGCTGAAAGAACTGATTGAAGGAAGAAATCCAGTGTTCATCTTTATATTCTCTCTTTATGCTGGGGAGCTGTAGCCTTAAGTCCAATATCATGAAGACCATTCTCATCATGACTGCAAGAAGTACAGACAGAATCTTCTGCTTGGGTATCTGAACAGTACTCATTCTCATCCTAAAAACTTCTCCTCTTTATCATGTACATGGCATGTGCCTCGGGTATTTTCATGCCACTTTTCTTAATTGGGATCATAGAATAGAACCATTTTGTGGCCTGCAATATCTGAAAGAAGATTCAGTAAATGTTACTAAAAAGGAAAGAAAGTATTTGCTTTAGAATGGGAATTAAAGACTGTTCTAAGCCTACCTAAGCTGAAGACACTACAAGCTGCAGGTCACATACCAATTAATACAGCTTTTGAAGGGCGGTAGGAGGTAAGTTTAAGATCAAATGCTGAATTGAATATAAGTTCATGTCTGACCAATGAGCAATTGAGCCACAGCACTATATACTGACACTTACGACTCAGTCCTAGAATGCAACCCTCAATGAGTAGCCCAGGTGATGACTTTTCATAGTGATACCTATGACTGGAGGAAAAAAACGGAGGCACCGTTATTGTGTAGAGCAGCTCCCTGTCATATGATTCCATATCCATAAAATGTAGATGTTTCTTAGTTATGTGAGCCACCTCAGTTTCCTTGACAACCAAGTGGCGAGAAACTCCAGGAGCCTCTTTTGGAAGCTGGTCATCCACTGAAGTGATGTGGATTGTCACCACCTGGAAAGGAATTATCTGTACCATTAATTTGAAACACCAACAAGACATGAAAGAAAACACCCCACAATTGAGTCACAGTTAAGATGATTTTCAAAAAAGGCCGTTTACAATGTACTTTCATTGAAATGATTCAGGAGCTATTAAGAATGTGAATCAGAAATGCAATATTCTTGCCCATTTTATATTTTAAGAATCTAATTAGCCCTATTATAGTTAATGTAGTCACAAATGTTAGAATGGGCATATAATACACAAAATATGTTCCTGATTTGATTTTATTTCTACTTTTTTCCTTCCACCAACAACCTGCACCTTCCCTACTGCCTCTGCTCAGTCACAGATTCTAGAAACCTTGATGTAACTTTTGGTTCCTCCTTCCCCATGCACACAGGACACATCTCCAAGCCCCCAAGCTTCAGCTTTAGGCTATTCACACTCCTGAAAAATCTAAACCACTACCCAAGGAGGGGTAGAACTATTCATACTCCTTAGCACACCATCCAAGACTCTCCACAGTTGAGACACAGTCCAGTTTTCAACTTCACCTTTACGATCTTCCAACATTGGTCTAGCCCTCTTGCTGCATTCAGTGGGCCGGGCCTTAGTCCTCAAGCCCACCTCTATGCTGCGGTCATGATGTTTCTTCAGTCCGGACAATCTGGTGCTCCTGTTTCTTCTTCTGTTTCCTCTGGCAAACTGAGTCCTTCTTACCCTCAAAGGGTCTTCTTAAAACTTTCCTGAATTTCTCAGTTGGAATTAACTGTTTCTGAATTTTGCTTAATCCTCAGTAAACATTATTATTTCATTGCCTTGTATTATTAAGTAATAGCTCACAAACCAGTCTCTGCTAGACTGGAAGCTCCACAGGTGAAAATCATAGTGTAATTGAAACTACATGGAAATTGGCAGTGAACAGTTAAGGTCCTGGGTATAGCACTTAGTAGCTATTGATCTTCAACAAGTCACTCAATTGTTTGAGTATCAATTTTCTTATTTGTAAATTAAGCATAATACCAACAACATCACAGAGTTGTCAGGAGGATCAAATAGCACAATGTAGATAAAATGTCTGGAACATAATAAGTGCTCAAAAATTATGTTCATCTCTGCAACTGTATGTCTGGCATAGTATTTTGCAGGTAGAAGATACTTCTTCAGTGCTGACTCACTGAATGAGTTAATATGCCTTGCTTGTGATTTTAAGAATTCTCAAAACCACACGCGCAGGTTTGGATCATGCAGGAGGGCAACGAGGCTTTGCCAAGCAGCTATTATCATCACGTTAATTTTTTTTTTTTTGCAGTAATCCATGATGAGTTGTGGGAAAGCAATTACTAACTATCTCTTAAAATGGTACAATAATAGTGTTCACAGTACCCAATTTGAAAATGAAGAGAACTCCTTTTTAAATTGACATACAAAGCAAAAACTAAACACGCTTATGCTTTTGCTGTGATATAGAAAACACTGGAACATCAGCTGGGCCATCTGTGTGCTCTGCTCCCTGGGGCCAGCCATGTACCCCCTCAGCACTCAGTTTTTCTTTGTACTAGGACAGTGAATGCCTGGTAGTAGGTGCTCAATAAACCAATTCTGTCTCCACCCTTCATTACTTTTACAAAAGCTACAGCATATTTACTACTTCATTAGGAAGGATTTCAATATTTAAAAACTAAAGCCATTTATCAGAATAAAGGAATACAATGACAGTCATTTCTGCAGTCTCCTGAAGCTGTGTCACAATTTTTTTTCCCAGTTATAGTTTTCTGCTAATCTACAAAGTTCGGAAATTCTCTGTGGGACCTCCCAACCATAGTGTGGATCAGTGAGCCCCCACTTAATTGAAAAACTGGATTTAATAAGGAAACAATAGTCATTGTGCCTTCAAAGACACCATTTTCCATGCTAATTTATTCTCCAATGTGTTCTTTGTGTAACAAGAATGTACAAGAGTGCCTTTTTATACCCCTGGAGTAATTCGTGGTGGGCACATTTTTCTACATGTTTTATGATCATCTAAGCTGATGTGTCTTTACATATTTATTCATGTTTAAGTAATTATTGTATGTGTATCTGTGGGTGAGAAAAATCCTACTTTAATGAACTCTACAGAGAAATAAAGTGTTCTCATTGTACTGAAATTTGGTTAACAAAGACCCTAGATACCCATTCCCAGACCAATCTGGGCTCTTGCTTGTCAGCTTCCCCTATATCCCTCCAGGTTTACTTAGGGCCACAAGCACCCACAGACTTGCAGGGAATCAGAATATAGAGTAATAAATCAGTATACAGAATGACAAAGCCTGCCCTTGACCCTCAGAATTAGGCTAACAATGCGATACTCTGCCAACTGGTTATCTGACTTTCTTATAGGCCTGGATTCTTAATTATTTCTCTGCCCTGAGCTTTGATTCCTGTCTGAGCCTTTATCCTGTATCATCTTTTGAGATTATCTAGGGCTGCTTCTCACCCCCAGGAACTACTTTCATGTTAGTTTTGCCCACCCCACATGACCAATGCCCATGGCCTGGCACCTGCTCTCACATCTGGCCCTGCTTCCTGCTTGCTCCCACTTTCACCCAGGCCTTGTGGCATCTGCTTTCTTTCTTCCTCTGATTCTTAGTCCTCTTTCTGCTTCTCTCATCTGTCTTCATTTTTCTCTCTCCATTTTACTTTAACATTACTCCTCCTGGTTTAAGGTCTCTTAAGGCTTAAGCTCTAGAAAGCCCTCTATTGAGAAAGGCGAAGAAGAAAATATTTTTCAAAAGTAAATGGAGTGGGCGAGGCTTTACTTGATTCTAGTAGTCACAAGCAAGAGGAAAAGAAGGAAAGGGTTCTTGCTGATAGGTAGACTCCTCGATGTGTAGGGAGATCTCTCAGTAGGGGTACTCTGTTGGGAAGGATGAGAAGGGGTAAGGGTGTTCCTGTTTATGTAACTTCCTTTCTGCTTTAATTAAATTGTTTCTCACCTGAGGAGATCCTTGGTTTCTGCCTCTTGAAAGGAAGTGTTTTAACAATATGACCTCAGTAATCTTGTGCCTGAGTTTAATCTTTGGTGACTATGGAACCTTCTGATCACAAAAGTTCCCACCAAGTAATTATCTTATCTGGACCTTTACTTGAATAGCTTAAAGTTACAGAGTTTCTTGAACATTTTAAATACATTTTAATTTGTAGGACATGACTAGATACTTGTCTAAATTGAAAGTGCAATCATCAAACTGACTAGATGATCAGGTAAGTCCCTTAAACACTGGAGTTTCAGTGATGATACTGGGATTTAATAATACAAAAATACTCACCAGCACACATACACATAGTACTTGTTTTGTCATTATGCACACACTAATTCCTGGAAACTGAAGAATACAGCTTTATACTTATTACCTCCCCATCTCACTCCCTCCCCAAATGTTTTAGTCTTCCTATTTTAAACTTGTTTCAATAAGAATGGAAAGAACCAGAGTTCATCTGGGGACCAACCACAGTAGTTCTTGAAATTATACCCCAAGGCAGGTAGCAAGGTCTGAAGACACAGAGATAATTCAGGTTTCCTAGCATCAGTGAGCTCACAGCTGATCCTCTAGAACAAATAATGGCCTCACATTATAGTGATTTGATATCAAATCATATAAAAGGATCTTGTGTTGTTAGGGAATGGGGGCATGAGAAAAGGATCCTTGGAGTGGGTGATGTTAAGCTGAGAGTAGGTTCACAGTCTGGAGACTAAGGCTGCCACTAATCAGAAGAGAGAGAATTGGGGAAAAATGAATACTGATACATTTTCTACTAAATACATTGCTGCTGCATCTGTTGGATTTTAAATGTTCTCAATTACAAGCATGTGGATCATCTCTTCCATTCTTAAGAGACCATATGAGGGATTCTGAGGATAATCTAGTCCCTTAAAGATGAAGGTTGGAACTAAAGCAATGGCAGTGGGGTGGGGAAGTAGAGATAAATGAGAGAAATTTAGCAAGCAGATTTAGGAAGACTTGCTGACTGGTTATGCAGATATTAGAGAGAGAAAGGGGTCAGGGATGACATCAGAGATTCTACTTGCAGTGGTCTTATCCAAGTTTTGGGGGAAATATTCTAAATGTCTTATGGCCATGGTGAGAGTTAAAAATGCTGGTGAGACATACTTGTAGAAATATCAGGTGGAGAGGTAGATACATAAGGTGAGCTGGAGAATATTTAGGAGCCAAAAAATAGGTGGTGCATGAAGTCAGAGCAAATTTCCCACTCTCTTTCAGCCCTTCTCTCAACATAGATTAACAAGATGCAAGCAGAGTAAAACATGATTATGACTTCTTACATAGAAACTGTCCTTCATAAGGAACACATAACTGGATCTATAGTTTAGTCTGAGTTATTTGCCAAGTTTTAGAAATAAGTCTGTTTCAATAAAGTTTTCATTAACATGGTTCTTATTACAGAGGGATCTAGCACCTATATTTGATCTATAAATGATATAAATAGAAATAAAATCTGATCAATAAAATATATAATAGCAGAAGAGAAAAAAAGAAATCCTGAGCTTTCTATTTTTAGAAAAGCATGTAGTCTGCTGAAAGTGATGCGGTATTCTAGTCAGAAACAAAGGTCAGTTCGAACAGATATAACAGAAGATTAGAAATAAATCCTATGAATAGTTGCCATTTTAGACTATCAGACTAACACCTCAAGCAAACATATCATCTAGAAATGGCATATAATATTGATGAAAAAGGGGGCTGTTATTTGTATAGGAGTTGATTTCTTACTCAATAAGCAGATGAATTGAGAATTTCTCCTTTTCCATTTCTACTTACTCCCCCCAGCTTCTGGGCTCTCTCACATTCCTCCTGATCACCCCTTTTGTTAGCTGCATTGTAGCAGATGACAAGTTCAGTCATGAGTGAGTGACTTTGACATTATGAGAAGACATCGTAGAACAAAACAGACACATACTTTAAGTAGTCTTCCAGGACTGATTCAAGACTTGCTAAGAACCCTATTTATATATGCTATCAAGCTAAGAAAATAGGCATCAAATTCCTAGCAAAAAGAACCATATATTCAAGGTCATCATTTACTGCCAGCTGTCTATTTTTCTACCCCTACCACCAACCATCCTGTCTTTGCAAGAAGTCTACCCTTTCATAGCTGTCCAGCCCCTACACTAACCCCATTTTCAGTAATTTCTAGATGAGAATGCCACCATAAACCTATTTCTGCATACTATGTATTTAAATGATATCCTTGAATGGTACTGAAACTTTTAGTTCTTCAAAGCAACAATAGTAGAGAATTTACCTACTATTTAATTTACCATGTGCCAGAAAGTTCTAAGTACTTTATATGTACTATCTCACCTTCACAATCACTCCATAAGGAAGTTGTATTATTACCTGGTTTAAGATGAGGAAACTAAGGCACAAGTTAACCAGTTAGTCGACGTCAAGGTGTCAAGGGTAGGAGAGAAACAGACAGTCTAACTCCAGACACCATACATAAATGTCAATGTTTTCTTGACTGTTATGAAGCTGGCACATTTTATGAGGTGCTTTGTATAAAAGGGTCCCATGGTTAAATAGCCTTGGAAATAATGCATACATGGAAATTTACAAAACTCATGAAAAAAGTAAATGATAAAGAAGTCACGTTATAAAAAAAATTGACTTAATTTTACTTAATCAATTGCTTTGCATATTTTGAAACTTGATACTGGTTTTCATGTAGTTTCTAATAACACCTCCCAGAACTGTGATCTGCAGATGAGACTTTGGGAAAGTGTTCAGAGGTGGCCTCTTACCTGTGGCACTGAGAGATTAGGAGGTTCATGGCTGTCCCACAGGACAAATTCAAAAGAATCTTCAAAGATTTCTCCACCAAAGTGACGATAGTAAATGATGCCATTAAACAGATCCTTCTGAAAGAAGCCAGGGACAGGATAGCCTATGGGGTCCACAAAATACCACATACTTTAGTGACAGTCTGCCACATCTGCCACATGTTGGGTTATATAAAAATATTGGGCTTATCTCCAAAGTCTTTTCTACCTAGTATGTGTATGTGTCCAAGGAATCTTCATTAAATGCTTTTATCAAAGTTTATAAATACTAAAGCAAAAAAATTTAAGTTACTATACCTGTCTTAAAATATGTAGAAAACTTAGCATTATAGAAATATTTTTAAGAAATAGTCTGAAGTTACACTAACTACTTGATTTCTATTTTGTTACTCCTAAGTACTTTAAGAAGTTATGAATTATTTGAACAAAATGTAAACAAATGTCACTCATGAAGTTACTTTATCATAGGCCAAACATCTCTCATCAAACTTATTTGTTTTATCACCTTGTTTGACAGACTTAATTTTTCATGATGCAATGGGTACCCTGAGACCCAGCTCTGAAACTTTCTAAATAAACAACCTTGGATAGATCAACTTCTCTAAGTCTCAGGCTTCCCATCTATAAAATGGGAATAATAATGGTATCTTAACTCATAAGCTTGTCTACCTTTGCATAAATTCTGACACAAACCATCTTAACTGCCCAGAACTTACCTATCAGTCCTGGCCCTGGTTTCTTCAAGATCTCACCAGCCTGAGGGGGTTTCGTGATGTTAAAGAAGATGTAGTCGTCCCCAGAGTCCATGTCTGAAGCTCTCAGCATCGAGCCCTGGATCAGGAGGGTCTGCCCCTCCTCCACCTCAATCACAACATTAGTTATGAGGAATGGGGGACTGTCATCTTTGGGCAAGATGTTGATGGGAAACTTATGGATGCTGTGGTGCCCATCGAATATTCTGAAGGCTACAAAGTCTTTGGTGGAGTCACTGTCGTCGTGATGATAGCGAACAGCTCCATCCTGAAGGTCAGCCACAGTGAAGAGAAATCCTTTCCCCCCTGATGGAGAGAGCAGAGATGAAACTGGTGAAAGAGGGGTGCAGATGCAGCTGCTGTCATGGAAGCAGCGCTAGAGGAGGGAGAGTGAAGGGAAGTGGCGCAGCTGACACCCTCTTCACCTAGAAGGACAGTGGACTGTTTAGTAGGCTCTGGGCCTCCACAAACCTGGTTTTGAATATTGGGCGTAACATTTATTGGCTATGTGGACTTGGGCAGGGCATTTAATTTATTTGAGTTTCATCTATAAAACAAGGGTAGTAATACCCACCTCCTATTCCCTAGTAAGGATGAGAGATCTTAAACAATAGCAAGGCTACAATAAATGTGAATTATTCTTCAACTCGTTGCCATCATCCTACATGGCAGCATCTCTCAGAGGAGAGGTCTAGAGCAACAGCATTAGCACCATCTGGATAGTCATCAGAAATGCAGGTTCCTGGGCCCTGCCCCGGACCTACTGAATCACAAGTTCTGAGGGTGGGGCCCAGCAATCTGTGTTTTGTCAAACCTTCCAGAAGAGTCTAATGTATGCTGAAGTTTGAGAATCACTGGTTTACCAGCTGTAAGCTGGAGTTCTCACATCAATTGGCCTGGGTTCAAATCCCAGATCTGCCACTTTCTAGGTTCATGACCTTAGACAAGTCAACTTCTCTTAAACTCAGGTTCCCCATTTGTAAGGTGGGAATACTAATGTCACCTCACATCATAAAGTTGACATAAGATAAAGTATGTAGAATGCTTTGCACAGTATCTGGCACAAAGTAAATACTTAATAGATATTAGTGCTATTTTCTACCTCCCCTGAGCCAGAACATCATTGCATCATGGACTACCATTCTCCACTTTATGTCTACAATATTAATAAACATTTCTTCACTCTGTATAAACTATTCTTGATGGCAGTTGCCCCAGTACTCCCCCTGTATGGTTGTATTAAAGACCTCACTGGAATAAATGATTAAACATTAGTATAATGGACACTATGAGTTACTTGCCCAATAGCCAACTTGTTCTCAGGACTAGAATCTTAGCTTTCTTTGGAATGGCAATATGACCATTTAAAAATACTCAGGTTCCAGAGTGCATTGCACCTGGGGTAGTATGTGACTTGGTAGGAGATATAAGTGGAAGTTATTGTAACAGATGCCTGGGAAAAGTTGTTACAGAGAGAAAACTAAATGACATAACTTTTTAACTGTCCCTTCTCTTTCTCCCTTCCTCTAACGCAGACCTGAAGCCTGAGGTCTGGGTGCCATCTTATTATCACTGGCAGAGCAGAAGAGAGCAGCTGGCATCATGGATATGTAATGCTACCTCTGAGCAACTTTCACATGAGGAAAGTAACTCTTGAATTTTTAAGTCACTGTAATTGGATTTCCCTAACATGCAGTTGAACATCTACCCTGATACTTAAGCAGACTTCCAACTGTCCTGGATTAGGCAAGATAACTTATCATGAATTTATCATTTCATATTTTATTTCAGAACTCCCTAATCACAAATGATGATAAATAGGAGCCCTCTTTAGGCTTATATTTAGACATACTAATCAGATAATTAAATTAAATCCTCTGAACATAAGGAATGGACTATATTATCATGATATGAATTTATTTTTAGCAGGGCCATTATCTTGTTATCTACTATCCTTATAATTACAAATCCATTTATTTTAAACTATGGTAACTGCCACTAATAATATAACAACATAATGATAAAGTGAAAAAAAAATAGGTTTTCCTATTTCTCAATATATTTCTCTGAAGTAGAGGAATGAGAGGGAAATACTTTGTCTTCCAGCTGGGATAATGTAGTCAGTTGAGGAGGAGTATATTTAGGAATCCTAGATGGCATTTGAGACTTAAATAATGAGCTAAGTATGAACACTGTTCATAAAGGGTCACCCACTGATGTCAATGCCCTAACACAAAAGCCAATGGCTTCAAGATCTCCAGCTTTTGAAATTTTCTCCTAATTTGTTTTTGGAGAAAATAGTTCTTGGATTCTTTTCTAGGTTACATGGGTTGATCATTCACCTCTAAGTGTAAGCCGTCCATGCTGCAGGCCACCCACAGTGACTAGCTGGACAGCATTAATATCATCATTGTCAACAATCTGAAACTGTTCCCAAGTGATGGCCCGAGACTGCCCCTCCAGGAGATTCAGACCTACAAGAGAAAATAGAGAAGTGTCCTGGAAAGTTCAGTGACATGCCAACATGCCTAATTTAAGACAAAATCAATGAATCTTCACTCACAAAACTAGCTGAAAATTGTATGCTCAAAAGCTTTTCATGAAACCAGATTTTAGCTTTTATTTTTTTATAACATTTTTACTTTTACTAGCAGTAACTCCAATCTGACAGCTGGTTCCTTATGATACATCCTTAAGAGGCATGACAGTATAAGAAAATAAATACTAAAGAAAGGGACAGATGTTACGTTCAAGGTGCTCTCTAGTTCAAAAATGTCCACAAGGAATTTTTCAAAAGCTACCTCCAGAAATTTTAAGTGGGCCAAAGAATCAGAGTGCTTTCACATATAATCTGTGAGTGTGATAGTAGCCACAGGACAGAGAATGTAAAGTGGTTAAATATGCAGATACAGAGCTACTGAGCTAGGGGAGTGTTTACTGGTGTTAGACAGGAAGTGTCTGACACTTTTCCAATGAGGGTTGAACTTTCGTCAAGACTCTGATACGGAAGGAACTTTTACAACTAAAGGAGTTAAAATAAAACCTTCTCCTTGGACCCTGGATGCGGGGGGAAATCTGGGGAGGGTGAGGTCTGCTCAAGCAAGAAGAATACAGATTCTAGGCTGAACACTCAGAAACGGGAGCCGTAGCACCAACCATTCCCCTTATTCAGTAGAGCTGGGAGCCAACCGATTGCAGGGAATCTTGTTTTAAAGAAACAAATCGATAAAATTTAAAGACAATGTACTGGTGAAGCCTGGTGGTACCCCACTCCAATCTGCCTGGCTTCCTGGCCTCCCTGGCTGTGACCTGCTTTCCAGCTGAGGCAGCCCCGTGAGTGTTCCTCACAATCATAAAGCCCGGGCTGCTGCCACTGCCTCACCTTTTGACATAGCTGGTGACCTCAACAGCCCACTTGGGCAATGGCCTGGTTTCGGCATAAGCTCCCTTGTGACCGTGGCCACATCCCACACCATGGGTCCCAGGAAATTTGTGTGGCCCCTGCTGAGAGGAACCAGGAAACGCAACATGAACATGTAGGGAGTTAATATCCAGTGAGGCAAACTGAGGGGAAACAGGAGACAGGAAGGACCTGACAGTTAGATTGCTTACTTTTCTCCCACCCCAACTCAGACTCTCCCCCTGCACAGTGGTTCTATCTCCTCCCAGAGACATTAGCACTACTGAGCAATCAGTTGTATTTTCTCATTAAGCTGTAACCAGCTTATTCACACCACCTTTTTATTTGTCCCCTTCACTTCCCTTTTCCCCTTTCCCTGTTTCCAGTATAGGGTTAGTGTATGTGATCCGCCTCAGGGTTGTTTGCTAGCAAACCTGTGCTAAGACGTAGAGTATATAAGATAGACAAAGAAAGAAAAAAAGAGAGAGAGAGAAAGAGAGAAGGAGAAAGGAAGGGAGAAGGAGGGTGGGAAGCACACATAAAGGATCTTTGTGATGGGCAGTAAGGGTTTGAGAGCCAAGAGTACCTAGTGCCACACAGCTCAAAGCATCATGGGAGACAGCAGAAGGGCGAGCAAGAACACTAGAAGTACTTAACACCAAAATATTCATAATGGTTATATTTTCATGATGGAGTAATAAATGATTCTATTCATTTATTACTATTTCATTCATTTATGCATTATCATCCATTTATTACAATTTATCCTATTAATGTGCTTTCCAAGTTTCCAACAGTGAACATATATTAAGTTCATAATATGTAGAAATTCATTTTAAAAAGGATTCTGCTCTAGCCAAAACCAGATATGGAGCTCTCTTTAATAAGTCTGGGTTTCAAAGATCATACATACACATACAGATATTAAGTATCTCTGCTCAAGCAATAATGTACCTAAAATGTGATTATTACTAAACTTTCGGTTACTGATTTCTTCTTTTCTCTCATTATTCCTCAACAAATGTAAAGTAGGACATAGAGCCAGAATTAAAAATCAAGACTGCTGAATTGGTGTTCTCAATCTCTACTGAAACTCACGTGCTTACAAACACCTACATGTGCATGTGTCGATCCATTTGCCAGCACACACACACATACATACAGAAAAGGCAACTTGTTTAAGCTGCCACCTGAGGATTTAAATCAGACACAGAAATTTTCCCCTTAACAGAACCTACCACTGCTTTTAAGTATGTTGTGAATGTTACTGATGGGATTAGTGGAAAGGAAGAAATCTTCATTCACATCCAACATTTACATCTGATCTAAATATATACATTGCATTATAAGTCCATCTAGAAATGAAAGGCAGAGCAAAGCCCTCTTTTAAAACAAATAAGCTTTCATTTATTTACTGTAGTTCACATGCAACCTGACTTAAAAATAGGAATACAGATTACAGTCTACTCTTTCCTTCAATCTCTCGAAACAATTTGAGTTGGAGACCTTTTCTCTCTCAGTCCAACTACAGCTAATATCACAAATAGTCACTCTTTTGACTCATCAAATTGAAAGGTGTCCCTTTGGCTTATCTTCTGCAGAGGAAAGAACTGAGCTCCAGGACACAGGAATCCTGGATTTCAATTTTTCACCCTGTCCGTAGGTAAAACAAAACAAAACAACTATCGGATACTCTTCACCTGGCTGGGTTTCAGTTGCCTCATGTGTGAAATGGGAATAAAACCACCTTCCTTTCCCGACCCATATATTTTCTGATCTTCCTTTAGGGCTAGGTTGCTGGACACCCTATATTGAGCTTCACCTGTATTCCAGGATACACGCGGGGCATTTGTATCTGCTGTTCTGATGGAGATGTGGACTGTAATAGGTGCACTCCTTTCAAAGAAGAAGTCATATACCTCCACCTCCACCTGGAAGCAAACAGTTGCATATGAACCATATGTTGACAACCTATAGTTTTAAAATACCATTATTTCTGGGGTATATATCACAGATGGAGGCAAAACAGATTCAGGTTTCTGATGTTGCCTGATCTCATTTTTGACAACCTCAGTTCACTTTTTTTCAGGGTCTAGATTTTGTACCTTAATTTATCAGGATTTTTAAATCTCACCCCACACCCCAAGAAAAGAATTTCCTATCCTGAATGGAATAAATATGGTGGAGAAATGTCTTCGTATTTGCTCAGGAGACTATGTGTCCAGCATCAGCCCACTTGGGCCTCTCTCAGTGGTACAGAGCCTGGAGCAGTGCTCTCAACTGGGGGTGATTTTATCCCATGTGGGGACATTTCAGAATACCTGGAGATATTTTTGGTCTGACAAATGGGTATACGTGTGTATGGGGCTGAGGGGGTGCTAATGGCATCTAGCGGATAAAGGTCAGGGATGCTACTAAATTCTACCATGCACACGACTGCCTCCACAATTATCCAGCCCAAAATGTTAATGGTGCAGCTTATAAAAGACCCTGAACCACAGGCATGTATCCCACTAGACATATTTTTATATATCAAGACTTTATGTGCTCCCATCAAATCCATAACTAATAAGTGGGGCTGTAAGTTTTGAGCCTTATTACGTGCTATGTATATATTTCACAAGGTATTGACAGAGAAGGATGTGTATAATACAGAAATGGAAGGTACACTGCCTATTTTTGAAGAATGTGTGGTACACTTGAGAAGAGAAAATTATAAGACAGCAAGATATCAACAAATACTATATAACAAAAGAAACAAACCCAATGGTGCCAAAGTAACAGACTAAAAATGAAACTATACTGAGGTGGGGATGTCTTTTTGGAGGTGTAATGTAAATATTTATTAGGTTGAGCCATACAAAATTGTGTTATGTTCTCACTTAAGGGAATTTATTCTCAAATAAACATAATGCCTAATAAAGTGAGTTGGATTTTCATGCCTGAAAGAACAGACTGCCCTGGAGCTACAGCCCAGGGGAGGCTCTGCTCCCGGGGGCACCACCCAACTTGGAGGAATAAACCAAGTTCTACAGAGGCCCAGGACTTCTGGCCCACGTAATCTGAAAAGCACAAAATTGCTGAGAAAAATGAGAGTTACCTTCTAACAACAGCAACAAAAATCACACATTTGGACAGGTTCTGCTTTAAGGTTGCATTATTCAATGCCAGAAAATACACACACTTCACAGCCAGAGCAGTGGCACTTTCTTTGTGAACTCCAGGTAAAACCAGATGTTTAATGGGAAATGACTTCATCATGTGGAAGGAACGGGAAGCGAAAGCAAGAAAGCAAAAAGCAGCTGCCACCGATGATTATGAGGTGAAGGAAACAAAATCAAAGGGGAAAGCACGGCATTTATAGTCTGAGTCTTTTTGTCTACCCTTGCAGCTAAATGCAGAAAATGCCTAAATTAGATGGAGGACAATTTGCTAACACCAGGGACACTCATTTTCCTTAATAAACCTAAACTCAAGTCTGCATCAATCTGCTCATTTAAACTTTCATCCTCTTTCAATCAACTTGCTGGTAGGTCTGTAAGTTTGTGCAGGGTTATTATGTACAAGTGTGTAGCCAGCTGTTCTCCACTCTCATTCTATACAAAAGAGGAGGAAAGAGGCTGAAACAGCAGAAGGTATTTAGATTAGATATAAAGAGGACTTTCCTGATGAAAAGTGTTGGATAGTGAAATTAGTCATCCAATAAGATTATGAAATCTCCTATCCTGAGTCAGTATTATCAATAAAAATTAAGGATCCCAATAAGAAAACTCTCCTAAATAAAAAAGAAAAAGAATTTATTCAAGAAAGAATTGTAAACAAAGTCGTCTCTAACATTAATGGTCTATGCAATGCAGGAAGGCTGTCGAGGGCACCAGAGCTCTGAAACTGGTGAACCTTGGGCCAAATGGGGCCCTAAGAAATATTTTGTAGCTGGCACAATATGTATTACAATATTTAATATGGTTTTTACATTTAAAAATGGAAACATTTTTACAAAGTAAAATAATAATGGATTTCCAACTTTTCTTGACAAACAAGAGCTATAGCAACATTGGGTCCGACTGTATTTGCAGAGGGTCCGACTGGAGCTGAGTTGCAGCAGCTTCCTAAATCCTAAATCAGCTCTTCCTTCAGTTCCCTGCAGTCTCGCCCCAGGCAGTCTTGCTCACTTGCACCACTTCCCTGACTCCTCTAGGCCCTGTGCTTGCCTTCTGGCTTACAGGGTTTGATTCTCTTTTAAGGCACTGAATGTACAGACTAACCCGAGGGCAAAGGGAGAGGCCTCTTGAGTAACTCTGTGAATACCAAATGGGCTAGAAGCTTCATCTCTCTTCTTACCTCAAATTGTCTCCTCTCAGAATGGCTGCTGTTGGGTGGCTGATAGGCAATCTGCATGTCACTTAGGTCTCTCCAGGTGAATGAGGAGACTGGTCTGGTGTGATCCCACAGGTGCGTCACATAGCCCTGGCGTGGGGCTTTAGTAATGTTGAATACCAGTAAGGGTTTGGGGGTCTCATCCTCTTCACAGTCCAGAACCGCTGTTGTTAAAGAGGTCAGGATGAACTGATCCACTTCCAGAATATACATGGCCATGAATGCAGCCCTTGGAGTCTGATTAGGAATGCCTGCTCTGATACGCACAGGCAACCATGCATACTCTGACTGTTGAAAGAGAGAGAAAGTGTGAAGGGGGAGTGAGTGTGAAAGCAGCGACAGCATACAGGGTCAGTTTGATCTTTAACCCTAAGAGTGCAGTAGCGCAGTTTGAAAAAGACATACGCAACCCTATAGTTTATCACAGCACTATTTACAATTGCCAAGAATTGGAAGCAACCTAAGTGTCCATCAGTAGATGAATGGACAAAGAAGATGTGGTACATATACATAATGGAATATTATTCAGCCATAAGAAGAAAACAAATCCTACCCTTTGCAACAACATGGATGGAGCTAGAGGGTATTATGCTCAGTGAAATAAGCCAGGCAGAAAAAGATGAGTATCAGATGATTTCACTCATTTGCGGAGTATAAGAACAAAGAAAAAACTGAAGGAACAAAACAGCAGCAGACTCACAGAAACCAAGAATGGACTAACAGTTACCAAAGGGAAAGGGTCTGGGGATGATGGGTGGGAAAGGAGGGGTAAGGGGAAAAAGGGGCATTATGATTAGCACACATAATGTAGCGGGTGGGTGCATAGGGAAGTCAGTATAGCACAGAGAAGACAAGTAGTGACTCTATAGCATCTTACTACGCTGATGGACAGTGACTGTAATGGGGAATGTGGTGGGGACTTGATAATGGAGGGAATCTAGTAACCACAATGTTGCTCATGTAATTGTATATTAATGACACTGAAATGAAAAAAACTTAAAAAAAAAATATATATATATATATATGATCTTTAATCCAAGGCCACAGCCTAAAAGTTGTGTCCAGCAGTGGTCTGGCAGGCACCTGGATGCAGAGTAGAATCATGTGGACAGTTTTTAACACATTCTGATGCCCAAGGCCCATCTCCAGAAATTCTGATTTATTGTTCCAAGGAGGAGGCCTGAAAACTGGTATTTTTAAAGCTCTCTGGTGAATCTAACACACAGCCAGGGTTGAGAGGGGCACCGATTTAGGCATTGGGATGAATGGTGCCTTAGGTTCTATCCCCAGCATTTACAATTTGTGTAACCTTAGACAAGTTATTTACTCCTAAATCTTGTTTTCCCCTATTTTTAAAGTGGGAGTACTGGCTCATAAGCATCAAGTGAGGATTAAATGCAATAGCCAAAGCAAAGCACTTGGCAGTGTGCGGCACACACCACCACGCTCCTCCAGCCACCCTGCCCATTTCCAGGCATGTGGCTTTAAAGCGGCAAAAGCAGAATGAAGGAAAATGTCTCTATAACTCGGTACATATGCAACTGAAAGATGGTGGCTCAGTTGTCTAGTTAGTTTAAATGCTGGGTTTCCGGGTAAGGAGCAGATCATTGGTGCTGTGAGCGACCACTCAGGCCAGGAATGCATCTCCTCAGAGGAGGGGGCCAGGAGCAGGAGGCCCCACTGGCAGGGTCTCCAGAGAACCATGAAACTGCATCTTGGGGTCTGAGGCTTCAAGAAGTGCTGCAGAAGGAATCCCATAGCAGGAGACACTGATCATCACAGGATCTGATGTTTCCCATTTTGAGAGAACCAGGCTTAATGACCAGAGACACGTTTGTCCAATACTGCTGAACACTGGATATTGGCTAGAAGCTGTAATCTGTATGTAACAGAATGTTAAAAATGGCATTCTTGGCTCAGTCTCAACTGAAGTTCCAATAGAAGAGATACCAGATTTCAAAATAATGTGAGAGAATTACTACAGGCAGAAGTTACAAAGAAATTACAGTTCCAGACTCTAGAACCTTCTCACCCACTGTAAGAATCTGAAAGGGTTGAGAGAGATAAGAGAAAGAGATTCATTTGGAAAGAAGAGTGCTTTCTTGTGCTGAGTCCCCCCTCAACCCCAACACCACACACCCCACAAAGAGGAAGAGTGAGGCAGTGCTATACCCCTTGTCTCAGGGGTCAGCAGAGAAGTTTCCCTGAAAATAGCCTTAAAATGTGTCTTCTACAGGTGGGGCACACAGAGGGCTGATGCTGGGCTCATACCCAGGGAAGCTCAGAGGCCAGAAGCAGAGGGTAATGGCGGCTGTGCTGGGATCAGCCTGGAGCCCTTATTTGCAGCAGGAAGGAATACATGAGTGGTCCTGGATATGGGCCGAGTGGCACAGAGGGTCGGTTTGTGATCATCCTGGACCCTCGCCTTTAGGCTGCATCTGAGAGAATCCCAGCAGCCAGAGCTGGAGGTGGAAATCCCATCCCAGGAGCTGTGGGAGGAATTGCAAGAGGTCTCTCAGGCTAGAAACACATCCTCCTGAGATGAGAGATCTGCTGTGAGAGACCTCCACGGGGTGGCATTTCCACAGGAATCGTGGTGCTGCCCCAGAGACAAGGCAACAGCTTGAAACATCTGCCAGACTCAGATCATGAAGTCGCATTCCATTGGTTCCTGATCAAATCAGACCTCTCTCTCCATCATTCCCCACAAATCACCCACCCCTTAACCTGGAAGTTCAGAAACCAGCCAGCAAAGCCTGGAAGAGACAAGCATAGCAGAGAAACAGAGAAGACAGTCAAACCTGACCCTCACTGGCGCATGGTTCTGAAAACAGATGAGTGGTGTGCTGAGACACCCCAGGGTTCAGAGTCTCTATTCTTCAAGTGCTCTTGAGAATAATTATTTAAGATAATTAATAATTATTTAAGATTCATAATTGGAAAACTCAAGAATGGGGAAATGACTGTATAAAAAGGACTGGTGCCAAACCATAAGACCAATTAAGCCTCACGCTAAGCCTAAATACGTTGCTTCAACAAAATGGATTTTTCAATTACTTGAAATAAAAGAGAGGCGATGTAAGAAATAATAAGATATAACAACCCTATGCTAGAACTACACTGCAGATAGTATAAACAAATTCTGGAAGTTGGGCAACTGCCAGGAGAAAGGATACATAGGATCAATCCTCACTGTACATAGGAAGAATCCAAGGGACCTCATTTCATATTTTTGACTTTAATATTAAAAATATAAGTTAAATGATTTTTTAAAATATAGAACTAAATCCTAGTAAAACATAGTATGAGATAAAGGGTTTTCTAATAAGTAAGAAAAAGGCAAAGAAAATATAACCTAATTTGCAAGACAAACTTTTTTTAGCAAGAAAGCATAAGACAAGATGATAGGGTAAAAACATACATGTCCATTACTACAAAAATACAGCTTATATTCCCTTGTTCAAGACAAATATTCTGAAATTAAGTATCCAATTCCATGTGCCTTATAGGGGAGGCATTTAAAATAAAATTACATATGAAGATTAAAGTAAAAAGATGATCCAAAGTTATCGTGTAAGGGAAAAAAGCAGTAGGACCGTATTCACTTCAAAGAAAGATGAATTCAAGGCAAAAAGCATTAAGAAGGACAAGACAGGAAGTTGATATTGATAAAGTATACAAGACAAAGATTCTTATAAGCATCATTATATTTAATATTATTCTGACAAACAAGTGAGAAGTAGAGAAAAAGTAAGAGGAATAATTACTGAAAAAGAAAGGACAAAATTATCATCATTAGTGAGACATGTAATTACAGCCTTTAGAAGCCCAAAGAACTGAAAAATTCTTAGAATAATTGAATTCAAGAAAGAAGCCAGATAAAAGAAAATTAGAGCAAAAAATAGCTTTCCTATTTTTCATCAGTAACCAATGAGAAGACGAAATGGAGGGAAAAGTGTCTATTCACAACAAGTTCACAAAAACAAATGGCCTAGCCCTGGACTTCCTGAGTGTGTTCAGCTTCCATGAAGAAATGCAAACTCGACAGAAACCTATTGGAGAACATTCGCCTAGATGAAGTGAAATCTCATTTCTGGAAGAGAAAACTCAATGTGGTAAATGCTCTAACATTCTACTTATTTCCAAAATAATCTGTACTTTTAATCTATTCCTGATAAAAATACTTAGGAGGGTTTTTTCTTTTTAACTGATATAATTTATTTATCTGGAACTAAGAATAGATGAAAATGGGTAAGAAAATTTGAAGACGACTCGCCTGTAAAATACCAAAGTGTATTACAGACCTTTCATTTTCAGAAGGATACAGTACTGGCACAGGAATAAGTTGGCAAATCTAAGGGACAAAAGGGCTAGCCTTGCAATGGTAAACATAATATCTTACTACATAATAGAAGAATGATCAGAAATCAATGGGAAACTCTATGACCCTGTTTTATCAGTTCCTTATCATTCTTTGTCTTATCAATTTCTTGGGGATTAATGTTCACTATTTGAGTCTCTTAAGAGAAATCCTAGGGAGAAGACAGATTTTGAAAGATGGAGGTATTTCACAAATGTACTCCTAGACCATCTTCCATCAGCATAAATTTGAGCTGTTTCAGTTGGTGCACAGTTGCCCCACCCACCCACAGAACCAAATATAGAGCACATGAATGGGGAGCATAGCATGTTAAATATTTCATATAAATAGATTTTAAATGAAGTCATTTTCTCTATCATTTCAACTTGAAGGGATCAAGAAGAGGAAAGGGCAGGAGAATTTACAAGAGATTGAAAGACGGGGGGCCTCTGGGGGCCTGACTCCTTGAACACCCCATTCTCTACCTCAAAGGAAGAGTGAAAAAAATACAATCTGCTACAACCATAGAAACGAGGCTGAGGCTTCCTTTCCCCCTGATCTCCCATGGCCTTGCATAGTGGGTGTGTGGAACCCCTGATTTCGTCTAACAGGTGAAAAGAGGTCCTAATAAAGAAGAGGAAAATGAAGCATCAAACAAAAGATGTTACAAAAGATTAAAAGACCAGATGAAGAATATGGAAGGAAAGAGAAGGGTAGCATGTAACTGGCCCCAGTCCTTCTCAAGTTACCTTAGAGAGGGCAGAGCTAGAAGAGAAGAGAAACTATACTGAATCACATACTAAAGCTACTGTTGGAAGCACTTATTGGCAGAACAAACAACTGCAGTTGTAATGAGCCACTGGGCGGGTCCACCCACCAGAGCAAGGGGACCCTCCGTGGCACGGGAGCCAGCATGAGCACCTCCGTGGAGCCAGCTGTCTTGCTGCGGATCAGTTGGGGGCCTAGATACACATCCCCAAACTCTACCTTGTATACGATTTTACTCCTGCTATCTGTGAGGTCTAGCTGGATGGAGATATAATCAAGGTCGGGAGAAGGGGGATCCATATGTTGATAGCGAAGCCCCATCAGCAGGAACTCCTCACAGCTCACTGTGACACTTCCTATTTTCTTCAGTCCCAGGGTACAGCTTCCACTTGGACACTTCAGTTCTGCTCGCAGTTCTAGAATGCACAGCATTGACTTAAGATAGTCACCTGAGCACAATGACTGCACAATTTAAAAGCCAATCCTCCCTCCCATGGGTACTTATTCCCTCTCACTTCCCCAAGAATATTCATAGGTACCCTTAATCATTCACTGAGTGGGGTGTCATTTTTGTAAAAGGCTGTACTTTCCCTTCCTGAAAAGAACAGTTGACCAGTTGTCTCATGAGATCCTGTCTCACCAAAAGTTACACTAAGAGGAGAAATAATAAAATACATTTTCTATTGCTTGAATATCTCTGACAAATAGGCCGATGACTCATTATTAGCCCTGCATGGTCTAGCTCTGGTCTTCCTTCTCAGCATTCACTTTCTTCTCAGCATCCACTTCCTTGACTCCCTCACACAGTCTCTACTAGACTGTTCTACTCACTGAATTTCTCTCCCTGTTGTGCTTGCCACACACTCAAGTCCTGTCTGCCTTTCCAGGTCCACTTAATGGTTTTACTAAACCTTCCTTTAAACATTCTCTGATTGCCTGAACCAACCTGCTCTCTCCCACTGAAACCTGTAGCTGTCTCTCTAATAGTCTCCATGTCTCTGCCTAACTGCATTTTTCATTCTTACAGGGTATAAGATACACATAGGACACTTATTTTTTTAGGGGAATTTTGTGCATTTCCCTGAGGTACAAAATGGTATTCTGCTTTTTAACCAGATGGTTGTGAACACTAAATGAGGTAACTTAAGCACAAGCACGTTTTTAGCTGTAAATTGCTGCCCAAATTCAACCATGACTATAATTATCCCTTGTATTTCTTGGTCTTCCCATAGTGCCTAGAACACTGTCATGCATGTAGGAGGTACCCAAAATATACTGATTAAATAAATAACAGAAGGAACATTATCCATTAACTCTTTCTGATTTAAACCATGGCTACTGCCCACCAGCTCTGCCTCAAGCCTGTTGATAATCTAATACTACCTAATAAATACACTGACTACTCTTATTACCACTGCCATTGCTACTTTTAATAGTAACAGCTGATAATTCTTGAGCCATTGCCACATGCTCCATCCCTACATGACCCCACGGAGAAGCTACTACCCTTGCTCACTTTACAGAGGCCTAGACAGTTTAAGTAACTTGCCTAAAATAACACAGGAAATAAAGAGCAGAACAGTTTTCAAATCCAGATCTTTCTGATTACAAAGTTCATACCCTTCACCACTAACCTACACTTTTTAACCAGCTACAAATCAGATTAAGTAAAACTTTTTGTCATAGTGGCAGATGACCATGCATTGCTATTTTTGTCAGTTTTAGTATGAAAACATCATACGAGATTCAGGAAAAAAACTGTGTGGCTGATCTCCACGAGGTTCCTCTGGCCGTGGCTCCACCAGCACCATCTGACCGTGGGCTGGCAGCTGAGTTCCCACAGGGTCCAGCCTGACTGTACATTCCAAGCTTGATGTCCTCTCATAATCAAACCTGAGCAGGTTCTTATCAATGGCTTGGGACAGACCGTAGAATTCAGACACCTCTAGCACATTGTCACTCATATGGATGATGTTACAGTCTGGTTCCAGGAGATAGACCCGTAGGATAAAGGTTTCCATGAGGGTGTCTGTTTCAGTAAATCTGAAGAGAACAGAGCAAAGGCAATATTTATCAGTGCTCAGGTACGTCCGATGCCTGTGGATTTGTTTGGAAGCTTTCACAAAATTTGTCTATAAGTTAGAGTTTGGATTTTGTTTTATCCTCTACTCCCAGTCTCTGTTCTTTGCCCTTCTCCTTATCTTGGGATCAACTCCTTTTTCTGCCATTCTCCTCTCCACTGATCCTTCTTTCAACACCTTCTGTTAAACCTGTCATGTACACTGATGTTTAAAGACTGATGTGAGCTCAGAGTCTTACTTCTGGCATATATGTAATTTAAGAGTATCAAGCTTGTGTAACTTATGGGCTGAGTTTTAATTCAGGGGTGAAGGGCTGAGAAGTTCCTGAAGCACCAAGACCTTTTGGCTCTTCAGAAAACCATTAGAAAACCATTATAGGCTTTGTTAATCCCATTTTATAGACAAGGAAGCTGAGGCATGGAGAGGTCAGGTGGCTTACCAAAGGGACTGGAGAGAAGGTAAGAGAGGAATAAACAAGTTCTCTGATTTTCTACCTCCAACTCCTCTGACTATTCTAAAGGAGAAAAACAGCTCCTCTAACTCTGCCCTCCACGTGTGCTCCTCCACCCCCTCCACTCCTTAGAAACTCAAGAAAGAAATGGGAAAGTCAGAATTATCAGCTGTCCAATCCTTCCAGGTAGGCTCTCTGAAAATAGTTTTATTTTAACTTCAGTCTTATAAAGACTAAACAGGTCTGTGTGCTGATTATATAGCTTTCAAAGGAATCCTCAGATGCTATATCATTTTCTGAACATGGCATTTTGTTCATGCCTCTCTTTTAGCACTTGACATTCTGCTTCACAATTATCTCCCCACATTTTGCATCAGACTATGGCATTTCCTATGCCTCACATAGGGCTTTGATCTATGCAGGTGATCAAAAGTGTTTATAGAATGATTCATTGTTTCAATGTCTTCTACAAGACTCTTTTGCATTAGTCTAGTGCTTAAGGGAAATTCACAGTGAAGTATTTTAGCTAAATATTCATAAGAGCAATAAAATCAAGTAAACTATCTAAAGGCCTACTCTACCTGCACTGAATTGTCAATTGCTTCTATGAAGTGAGCAATACCATAACCACGAGTTTAATTCTTAAATTAACTTTTATTGAGATATAATTCATATACCATAACATTCACCTTCCTGAGGTATACAGCTCAGTGGTTTTCAATATATTCACAAAGTTGTGCAACCATCACAACTGCCTGATTCCAGAACATATTTATCACCCCAAAAAGAAATCCATATGCATTAGCAGTCACTGCCCATTGACCCTTCCCCCAGCAACCACTAATCTATTTTCTGTGTTTATGGATTTGCCTTTCCTGAACATTGCATATAAACGAAATCATACAATATGTGACTTGCTGTATCTGGCTTCTTTCACTTAGCATAATGGTTTCAAGGTTCTTCCAGGTCATAGCATTTATAAGTGAGTCATGCCTTTTGATGGCTAAACAATATTCCATTGTATGGATATACCACATTTATGCATTCATGGGTTATTTCCTTTTTTTTTTTTTTGCTATTTTTAAATAATGAACATTTGTGTACAGGTATTTTATTTCTTTTAGTGTATATCTAAGAGTAGAACTGCTAGGTCATATGGCCATTCATAATTGATTTTTAAAACACTTTTATTATTTAATATGTTTAAAAATAGAAGCTACTGTACTGCTTATAACTAAGAAGATGATAATCAAAAAGAAGAATTTCATTCTGTTTTGGAATATATTTCCCTCTTAATTCTCATTAAGAATTTGTAGTTTGTGACTTCCACTTCCCATCATAAGTGGGGGATTGGATCATCAGAGATACCTGCATAAGAACTCTAATGGGAAACAGGATAGAGCTAAAAATTTGCCCCAGAAAAGCCTCAAAGAAGATGGTACAAATAAAGATAATTGAAAGTCAGCTACAATTCTTGCCTCACCCATTAGGTCTCTATTTTCAACTGATTACTTTCTTGTTTGGGATCTACTAACTTCCTCATGATATCTGCCTACAGAAAAGGCCCTAAGAAGTGCATGGAATGGTTATCTGTGCTGCTTACCTGTAAAGTCTAAGCTTCACTCTGTCTTCATCAAGAATTGGGCAACCATTGTGAATATACTTTACTTCATTGGGAAGGAAATGGCAGTCAAAGACCTAGTACACATGGAGAAATGAATAAATATCTGTGAGAAAATTGGTACAAGATATTTTATTTTTCCAGCAGTAGAGTACCACCTAGAGAAATCATGGTCTGTTAGTGTTGTGTGTATGTGCGTGCATGTTTTAACCACTACCATCTCCACCCTGTCCAATGCCCAATCACAATTCTGCTTACATAGCTGTGTCTTGTTTTCAATATCTAAATTATGAAAATCCAAGCAGATCAAGCTTACAGTCTCTAGCACATTTAAAATATGGTTCCATTTATCAAAATGTTGCATGTTCACATCCTTCAGGGGTTCACAGCAATTGAGTTAGAGAGGTCCACTTGCGTGTTATGCATGAACACACTCTATTAGTTTTATATATATTTTTTCTTCTCCTTTACTTCGTTTTCCATATTGTGTTTTTATATTCAAAAATGAAGCCACTGACTATAGACACTATTGTGGTTGATCAGAGCCAAATATCAACCTCAATTGTTCCTCATATACCTGCAAGACTGCTTTTATTAGTTATGTAATAGCAAAAATGGTTGATGAGACAAACAGCAATCTAGAAGTGACTTCCTCTATTCAAATAAAATTATAATTAACTGTATCACCTCATTCAGAACTATTAAGGAAATTGCTTGTGGTTGTATTAAAAGAATTTTCTCTTTTGGCCACACCTTGACCCTCATTGTGCCCACTCTGACTTGGTAGAGTTCTAAGAAATAGCCTTAAGGTATTCACACATCATCACTGTTAAATTCATGACACTTAACTTTACCGTCTTACAGTCTCAAACATTTATAGACAACATAATCCTCTCTGAGAAGACTTTATCTCTGATACAAATTATCTTCTTTTCCCACAGACATCATGGGTTCCTCTTTTTAATTGACAATAAGGAAGAAGATAAAGGAAAGACCTTCCTCATATCATTGACAAATAGTCACGGCAATAAAAAGACAATCTGCTTTGTTAAAAAGAAACATCTGTTTTATGTTTCATAATATGTTTCCTTTTATAAAAGGCGACAACCATAATTGTCCATAAATTTTCTAACTAAAACAAAGGAGAGCTAAATCCTTTTCTAATTACTGTCTAGCTTTGGTTTTTTTCCACTTCAACTGCTTTTCAATTACAATTTATAATTAAATTGTCACACATTCTTCACTCGTTACTCACTTTAATGACAGCAAACTGGTTCAAACTAGAAATATTTTCTTACTGCTGTATTTCCTATTCAAAAGAGCAAGCTCAGTTCTAGCATGGGGTGCTTTTCCACCCAGGAAATTCCTAGGTTTGGGACAGGTGTTAGAAGTCCAGTGTGTGAGGAAGTCTTGTCCTCAAACATGAGGAAAACACATTGCCATCGACCTTATCTAATTGACTATATCAAGAGGGTTATCCAAACAGAAGGTACTGGTGTGCGCCAACTGAAATCCCTTTCCAAATATCCAAAAGGAGAATGAACCTGTTGGTTCTAAGACAAACTTCAGTAATGAAATGACAACACTAATTGAACAGATGTTAAACAAAACATTTTCTGTGCAAATCAAATAAAACTGTTCATTACACAGCAGGGTGTTGTTAATACAGTCATCCTGCTAGAAATGGGTTCACATAAGCCGTGCTTTCAACTTACTTACTAGTAAGCACTATTAAAGAATAATGTTTAGGCTCTGTGTGTGTGTGTCTGTCTGTGTGTATGTGCATGTGCACACTTGGCTATGCTAACTTCAAAAACTTCATAAGAAATATATCCCTAGGTGTGCATCAGCCTGGATTAAAATCAAGCACACATTCTGAAAAAGCAGACTTGACTTAGGAATCGTTTTCATTGAAATCATCATAATAAAAAAGCAGGAAGATCACCTGGCAGTTTGGAAAACAAACTTTTCCAGGTACATAGATTTCTTTATGACACATAGTTCTAATATTTGACAAAAAGGTGATGAAACTCCATATTTCAACGGACTCCTTTGCCATAGAATTAATTTTAAAAGATATAAACCACATACTTACTTTAGATGATGTCAGATTTTGAAATGTCAGATTTACCTCTGGGAATATATACACTGAACACTTCCTCTCAATGAGCCTCAGCACACTGGGGGGCCAGCTGAGACTATCTGGAGCCCCACTCTCTTACCCAGCAGTCCAGACTTTCCTAAACTGGATGGATATATTGTTTCTGCTGTATGTTATCTTTCTAGTAACTGGATTTTTGCCTTAAAATCAGACAAAGTTTGAGATGGAGAGGACTTGGAGATCCATTACAACCCTTGATCCGGTGACCAAATTAGAGTTTTACCGAGTTTTAGTCACTTAGCTCTTATTGCTCTCCAGTGTCTCCGAGCCAGCCAAATGGTGAGGACCATGAAAATGTCACTGAAAATACGCAAGGGAGACAATTTCATTACTCTCAGAGACGGTACACTATATGTTTGGAAATCACAGGCTAGTTGGGATGGGCAGGGGATACCCTTCAGAGGCTGGCTTAAGTAACAGCACATCCTCCCCAAATTGCTTTCTCAGGAAGGACACTCTTGTGCATAACAGGGCTTCTGTTTTCCATGCTTGGGGCCTGAGCTAAATATAGCCAGACAGTATGTTGCCCCACTGCACTACCAGGAGCAGTTTTTCTTCTTTCCACACAATATATTCAGCCTCATTTCTAAATGAATGCTGAACAATTTTTTAAATTATGTTGATTAGACCAGATACCGAATTATCAGTTCATCAATCTTTATAAGGTACCCACATATAGCCATACAGCCCTGGACATCACTATCTTGCTGTTCCCCAAAACCCAAAGATTCGATTTTGACCCATCTCTGTAGCTGAATCTTCATTGCCTACTGCTGACTTATTCATGCCATTCACTCATTCACATTTAGCTCATCTGGGCTCCAGATATGAGCTATTCCAGGTCTCTCCTTTTCCCCTGATAGATTCCAACTAAACACACCTTTGGAGTATAAGTTATGTTGGGAGAAAGTGAGCAGATATTGCCCTTAGGACCTGGGGCCATTTTTATATATATTTTAGATGCCCATCTGAAGCTCTTTAACAGAGAAAAGAAACAGCTCATGGGAAACTAGAGGGAGACATTTGTTTACTATCACATCAGGAATATTCCCAATGTGTGAGCCCTGCATAAATTCTGATGTGCTCCACTGTAACTTCAAATGGGGTGAATGGAATGTCTGGAGAGGTCAGTTTGAGCTGACATCTATTAACTCTCTTTAGTCCACCTCTATAACATCCAGCACCTTTTTTTGAATAACCTCATGGAATATGTTTCTTTAGCCAAATGGAGGAGAAAAAAATTCATGTTCACAGTTCAGCAGATGGTGATGGTATATTTTTCCAGAAGAAGCAATGGCATCCAGTGTTGAATACTCCCAAAATTGTTTGCATTGGGAAGAAAGTTAAACCACAGTAGAAACAAGTAAAAGAATCAGAAGCAATTTTCTATTGTATGTTGGGATGAACTCCTATTTTAAGCAAATACAATATATAACACAGGCTTTTTAAAAACTGATTAGAAGGTAACTCTTCACCCTACAAAAGGATTGAGCATAGGATAACCTCAAAGGAAAAAGACGCCAAGGTTTTGATGAAAGGAAAAAAATTCATGCAGATATTTTTGAAGAACAGTGACTATTTAAAGTGAAGAATCTTCACACCTCTGTTTCATGTCTCTTACTCAAGGGAATGTTCAAGTGGTTGTTAATAGATGAAAATACCCTCATGTTTTACTTTTGCTATCCTGCAGTCACAAGTCTGTTCTACAAATGTCTTGAGATCCTGATCAAATCAAGACACAGGCACTCTGACTAGTAATAGATGAGACAATTTGGGGCAGAAATAATCCAGGAAGACTGCCACATGGCACCACACCAGAGGTCGTCCACTCCAGTCCTTGGAAGGCTGTCTCTGTTTTGTCTCCAATCTCCCTCTTTCAGTTTCTCACAGGGTGGTCATAGACCTAAGAGACATGTGGTAAGGTTCATACATTATGCCTTTGCCTGGGTGATTAGCTGCTCTGTAAGGGTAGGCACATGGTAATATTTACAAGAGTTCCCTTCCATAAAAGAGGATAAATTGGAAAGACTCATCAATTTGGTGATTAATAAAAAATATATCTATCCATACTTAGTTTGAACCTGCCTTCCTTCCCAGCTGTTATTATAATTAGGAGTAAATCCTATTGGTTTAAGGATTGTAATCCACAGTCAGCCAAGGACATTCAAACTCAGGTTTTACCAGTACAAAGTCATTACATGTACACCTGAAACTAATATAATGTTATATGTTGATTATACCTCAACAGAAATAAATTTAAAATAAACAGGTTTGCCCTCGCATAGAAAAACAGCACAATATTACATGTACTAAATGCAACCCCACCCTTTCAAATTTCAACATTTTACAATACTCACCTTTGGTAGCTTGAAGGGAGATCTTTTACATCTCTTACTCTCTGTCTATCCTTCCTGCCCTTCCACTCTCACACCCATACACACTACTGAGCAGAAAATCTGGGATATGACCTACCTGTGGAGTGAGTTTCCCAACCCTCTGGGTTATGGGCTCGTTCATCACAACTTCCACTTTGCAAGCATCTTTCTCTTTGGGGATGGCAAACCTCAGGTCATCTCCCAGCAGGAAGGCCGACCCGCCCTTCGGCACCCGGAGGCCACGGTTAATGCTGACGAGGGTGGGGCTGGCGCAGCCCAGCTGGAGGAGCAGCAGCAGGGTCTTCAGCCCACCCCACGTCCGATCGCTCATGTTGTCAGGGGCCAGCTCGTTTCTGTCCACCGGCGAAATCCCGTCAGCAGAGGAGGGCTTCTGTGCTTCCTCCGGCTTTGTCAGCTCCTAGTCCAAGGGGCAGCGCCAGGGGTTCCAACAGTGTGCCCCAAGATCTTAACATGCCCCTTTCGTTTCAGACTCAGACAAGGAGGCCTTTCAGGCAATCCCAGGGCTTTTAATAAAACTCGCTGATCACCCCTGACAACGCCGTCAAGATTAATGGGACTCCCAAGTGCTTGTCTAATCCTGCAAATGGGAGAAGGGGTTGGAGGAAAGTGAGAGACCAAAGGTTTGTGTGGCCATGCAAAAGATTCCTACCGACAAAGGAATCTTTCAACCAGCCTACAACTTCAGCTAAATTAAAAGCAAATAAACCAACTTGACCTCCAGGCCCATCTGAAAGGCAATGCGGCCATTTCATTACCCTGCCTGTAACTCCTGTTTCCGGACTCCGCATGCTCCAGCTGGGAGTCAGTTGTGTGGTCCAACAGGAGCCAGCCTGCCTCCCTGCCCAAGGGCGGCGTTTGGGCCTCTGCGTTCAGGGAAAGCTGCTCAACTCTTTATTTGTTTCCTAATTTTTACATAAGGACTATAACCTACTGTGTGTAAGAGGACTGATAGGATTATTTGCACATTGTCTGAGCACCTGAGTAATTCTACATCAGTGTTACCCAACTAAGAAATAGGCTTCATATTTTGTCATATGGGCATAATTCTGACTTTGCTGGGCAATGAATGAACTTACACCTAAGAAACGCTTGAGTGGAAATCAGAGAAAAAACATTTTTTTAAGTGAACATTAGGTTTTTGTTTATGTGTAAAAGGGACTAGGAATCAAGTAACATAGCTTCAATATACACAGCTAATGGCATAGTGTAGATACACGCCTGTTTACATCATCTACAACACTAATTACATTATAATGCACTGAATTTGCACAAATGGGGTTTTTGTTTCAAGTTTGGCCACTTAGAATTTCCAGATCATTTCTGTGTTCTGTAAGAACAGAAAGGATTTTATCCAAAGTAAAATGTATTGCAATATATCCTTAAATTCATGGTATGCTAAGGGGAATCAGTGGTGGTCTATTATATCCATAGAAAGGCTTTGCATTTTAATGATTCAGTAAACTTCTGTACATAACCAATGAATACAGAAATAAATGTTTGACTTTAGGTTGTGGACAAAAATGATTCTTATATCCACGTCTAATACATTAAGGGAAGACTCATCCACTTGTCACTGAAACATTTCATTTTTGAGGCAGGGTGTGACATATATCACCTGCTACCTGAGGAAGTGTATACTCTACAGAGCGGCCTAGTTTTCCTGGTATCAGTCCCAGAACAAAACAGTTCACACACTCCCACTGACAATGTTGCCCACAGTGAGGCTGAATTAGACTGGCTTATTTGGGCAGGAATGCCAATCTGGTTGTTGAACTTTCACAGCAAAATCAAACCTTGTTTCCATTCACATTTGGCATTTAAGACCACTCAAAAGGACAGCGCACTCAGAGAGAAGAGAGGCGGCACGATGTACAGATGTCTCCCCAAACAGAGATAAGGAAAATCTTTACTTTCTGAGATCTAAAGAAATTAAATCAACACGTAAAGGCTACAGGAGCCCTACATTCCAGTACATTCTTCTATCTCCCTTCTTTTACTGCTTCTTCCTAGATTCCCTGACTTTTTAACGTTTGCAGCTTAGGGGCCAGGCTTTTTCATCCACCCTTACTCCTTAGTGATCTCATTCCTTGGCTTTAAATATCACTTCCATGCTAAGGAGTCCCACATTTACATCTCTGACCTCCTTCTCCTTAACTCTCCATTAGTAAATGCCGCTGTCTCTTTGACCTCTCCCTGTGGTGTTGAATAGGCATCTCATACTTTACACAGTCAAATTTGAGCTCTGTCTTCCCTCCCTCAGTCTTCCCTGTCTCAGTTAATGACAACTCCAACTTGTCATTGTTCTCTGCTTCATCTCACACTCTACATCTAAACAAACAAGCAAAAAAAAAAACCTGTCTGTTCATTGTGGTGAACAGACCTTAGCGTGAACCCCTGTAATTCCAGCCCCCTAGTATCCAAAGTTCCCTCCCCTTGAGTGACAGCAGAACTTGTGACACGTCCAACCGAAAGCATGAGGCAGAGGTGCTTGGATGACATTCCCATGAGTACATTATATCATGTACGTCTACCCCTTAGCAGCCTGCAGCTAGAGGCACTCTTGATGCTCTGGAAGAAGCAAGCCTCCAGAAGTTTTTGTGTTGCAAGGAAATGAATTCTGCCAACGACTGGAATGAGCTGGGAGAAGACACTTCCTAAATCAATCCTACAGATAAGAATTGAGCCTACTTAACACCTTGCTTGCAGCCTGATTCCCTGAAGCAGAGAACCCAGGTAAGGTAAAAGATCCCAGACTCCTGACCAGTGAAAACTGAAATAAGAAATGTGTGTTGTTTTAAGGCACAGTTTTTAGTAACTTGTTAACACAGCAAAATAAGTTGAATGCACTGCTCTTCAACCCATTTGGAGAGTCCGACTACTTCTCACTCCTTCCCAGGTTATCGCTCTGGGCCCAGCCTCCACCCACTCTCTGCTGAGTGACCATAGTAGCATCCTATTTGGTCCCCCTGTGTGGGTAAAATTGCAGTATTTACAGAATCTCTTGCCTGGCCCTAGTCCATCTCCATATCAGTAGGTGATTACAAGGGGGGTGGGGAGTAAGGGCATACCTGGACCGGAGAGGTTTGGTGGACTCCTTCTGCAGCCAGGGCACAAGAGACACGGACGGGCAGAAGTAGATGACAGCTTGTAAGCAATAAACGGGTTTTTCCCACTTTATTTCTCCCTTCAACTGATTTTGGCTTCAAAGGTTATTTGGCCTGGGCTGGGAACATGTTTTCCCCTGGAATATCCCCTGCTTCTCCTCTTGCCTCCCTTTCAGGCATTTCTTAGCATGGCAGTGAAGTTTCCTATTAAATGTTATTTATATCATGTCACATCTGTGCCCCAGACCTCCAAGGGCATCTTATCTTAGATAAAACCTGTGATGGCCCACAAAGGCCAGCGTCATCTCATTCCCCCTTCCCTCCCTCATCACGTCCTCTGTTTGTTTTCACTTTCCTCACTCCGCTCCAGCAGAACTTGCAGTTTGCTTTTCCTCAGACAAATCAAGATCAGCCTTCCCCTTCTTACTCCCATCCCAAACCTTCCCACCTGCTGTTTCCTCTGCTGCAAACATTCTCCCCTCAGACGTCCTTCTTTCCATCTTCCACCTCCCATGTTTTCCATCAAATGTCACATTCACAGTGTGGCCATGCCTAACTGCCCCATTAAAATCACAGCACCCTCAACTCTAGCATCCTTTTCTGCTTGGTTTTTAACCTTAGCACTTAAAGCCACCTAACGTAATACATTTGTTTGTTTTTATTATTCATTGTCATCTCGCTCATGAAGGTGAGAATTTTTATCTTTTTTATTCATAGATTTGTTTTTATGATTGCCTCCACCCTGTTGCCCATATCAAGGATGGTACGTAGCACATAGCAAACAGGGCCATGTTGTAGGCTGCCAGGGCTATGAACTAAAACGAGGCTGGGTCTCTGGAGCATCTGCAAAGAGGAATCACCATATTAACCCATACTTCCAGAATTGTACATGGCAGTGTATGCAAATTTTCTTTTCTGTTTAATCCACTGTTAGTTTGGGTTTATTTTGTTACTAGTGACTGACCTTTACACCTTTAAAAATTATCTTATTCTTCAAGTTTTTCTATTAATTTAGCTACTATTCAGCTAAATATTGTAACATTTTACCTAACAGTATATGGGGCAATAACTCATTCTCTATTATCATAGTAAGTCCTTAATTAGGAGATTCGGACAAAGACCAAGATCCTAGTGTTCATCTACCAGGAAGAAACAAGACAGAAAGAGAAGGAAACCTACTTCTGCAGTTCCCTGAGAAACCATGGTATAGACAAAGTAGACCTGAATTCTGAAGACCCAGCTTCTAATTTTGGTTCTTACGAACAGCAGTTTACTCCTTCAAAAATGGGGCCATCTATCCTGCCTCTTCCAGTTTCCCTGGAGAACCAAATGGAATAATCCATGTGGAGGCATTTTGTTAACTAAAAAGCCCACCTACAATCATAACATTATTATTACAAAATATACCAAAGGACTAAGAGAGTAAAACTTGTCTCAAGAGAAATAGAATGGCAGATGAAGGCAACAGAATTGGTTCAGAGTATATTTTACTTACATTTTAATTTTATAGTTTTCTCCTTTTCTTCTGACAGTCTTAGGACAGGAATATTTTGAAACAACCTGAAGCACCCAACTGGATGAATAAGAAGAGCACAGGAGGAACAATTTCCAAATTCAAAATCAAACAACACTCATCCTTTAATCAACTGGGCCTGGAGTTTACAAAATTAGGCTGAACAAAGATCAAAAAGAGTACGTCATATTTATGTTTTATTTACATTCTAATATGGCTCTTGTATTTTTCTCTTGGTTGTTGGGAAACACCAATCATGTGGCCATTCCATGGAAAATGTTGCTGTTTTATTTGAAGAGATGGCAGGGGAGGGAAAAGAGAAAAGGGTTAGATGAACAAACAGAGAGGAAAAGGTCAAAAGCAAAAATACTCCAGAACAGTAGCAAAGAAAACCAGCACTCTGACTCAAACAAGATTTCACAGATGATGATGAGTCTTTTTATCTCCCCCCAAGTAAAATGGTACTAATTGTCATCTCTGTGATAAAAAGTTAGGATGTCCAGAGGCAGCCAACATTTACTTGACAACACTTTAGTGGGAAGCCTAGCACATTCTGAAAACTCCATTTTCTTGGTCTTACCATAGGACCGAGTCAGATACTCAGGAGCCATCTCTCAATAGCTTGCTCAGAACGCTGATGTGGGCATCCATGGGGTCAGCAGGATCAGTGGAGGCATTCGGAAGTGTAAGTAGAAAGGGGACTAGGCTTGATTCCTCAAGGGAGCTTGTAAACTGACTTTTAGTCATATTGGACTTAATTTGTTTCAAATGAAGAAACAAATCCTTTCTCTGCTTTTGCTTGTGTGATTCAGTTGCATCTCAGCATTTCAAAATCCTCATGCCATCACTGCAGATCAGCTCTGTTCTTACAGAACATTCTCCCACCACTCTTTTTTCTTCATGTGGAAATCACATAGTCTAAGTTTATCTGCATGAGCCAACAAAAATGGGTGAAAAGAT